GGGCACTGCGGTAGTTGATCTTGGGTACTTGGTCTCATGCAGCAAGGAGAGCGGCACGCGGACGCATCGTTACGACTGGTTAATCGTCAACTCTTACTCTTACGAAGCCAATGAACGGGGTTTAATTTGTTAGAAATGGTTTTGGCATCGAAGTTGCAAATTCTTTGATTGCTAAAGGTGTAACTTCAAATATCCGAATCAAATTCCCGAAGTGAATTCGAACGTAGTTAATTTCGGGAATTTGATCAAATTACAGGTTTGCTAAATGTCTCTAATTTAACTAAATTCTAAAGAGATCCAATAATGGCCTCGGACTGTTCTTGAGGGGGGCGACGATCATGGTAACTGAGGTCGCTTTGGTGGTACATCATCCACGGCGAAATTGCCGCCGCCCATCACAAGGTCGAAGGACGAGACGCCCCCGTGTTTAAGTGTCAGCAAATGTCAGCCCCAAGTCCCCCGCACCTCCTCGAGTTTCCAAAAGGAACTACAAATTAGCCTCTCTCTGTTACTAAGTATCAGCCAAGGGCCATTATTGGATCTCTTTAGAATTTAGTTAAATTATGTATTATACAAGTCGAATCTAACGTGGACGTGCGAAATCTCGTACAGGCAATGGCGATATCCATGTACAGTTAGTTGGTGGTCAACCAAACCTTACCCAATGGCTACTGTCCTAAAAAATACTAGGTGCCAACAAAGGGATGGCCCGTTGTAGGGAAAGCACAACTAACAGCTTTCTCACAACACGCTCAACCACTCGACAAGTAAACTACGAACCAGAACCAGGGGCCTTCGAAAATAATACTTTATTATTCTACACTGTGTTAAATCCCGTGGGGTCTGAGAGCAGGAGCGTGCTCAGCGCGTCTTGGAGGAGGTCTTTGGTCGGGTACAATGGCAAGTCGAGGCGGTTAAAGCACGCGTGGACGACGGGGTACTTGCCAGCTGCGTACGCCACGCCATTCAGGGTAAAGTAGCAAATGCGACCGTCGTAGCTCGTCAAGCCTACAATTCAACCCCATCAATTCACATCTCAATTCACTAGTCATTCGGAAAAACCTAGTTAGTACCTTTGAAGCCTTGCACGGGCACACGAGACGACCCCGTGGTGAACTGCAGCAGCTTGGCCTGGTCGTGGGTCTCCATCGCCCCCACCACGTCCCAGAACCACTACAGTATCGCAGAATGAGTATCACAACCACGTTCCAATGGCAATTGAGATGTCGTACGTCGACCAGGCGCGTCTGAGTCAAGTTGGGGGATGTGACAGTGTTGCGTTTCCAGTCTTGGACATCGACCACCGCCAGCCCACACAAAATCAGTTCCAACTACCACCAACATATACATGTAAGTCGAACGAGAATATCATCGTAGTCGATACAGTACCTCTTTGTGGTCGAAAATCACGAGCAATTCAGGCGGCACGATGTCGTACAGCCCCTTCACCATGGCCATCAATGGGTCTTGGATGCGACCACAGATCAAGTACTTCGTCTACAAGTACAGCTTTCATGACTACTATCCAACCACGAGTATGTACTACTTCTACTGTACGTAGTTGGTACCATTGTCTCCACATACTGCACGCGGTTGGTCTTGTCCACACAGATGTGGCGGCCCCCGTCGATCAAGTCCACTTCCTCCACATGACCATCCACATACTCGTTGGTGGCGCAGAAGGTCAGGCACAGCTCAGCCACGTCTTGGCACTCCAACACATACGTCAAGCTACAGTACCGACCGTGAGTGTCCATATCAGTTTGCCATGGGCAATCTCAAACCTCTTGAACACCACAGGGTCCAAGCACTCCAAATCTTCAAACTCCACGGGAATCCCCAACAACACTACAACGTAGTAGTTGTGTTTGTAAAATATATTATTAATATATATCTTGACGTACGTTGAAATAGCACCGGGTTGAGCTGAATGGGAAGCACTTGGCCGTCCAGTAGAGCTCGACCCAAGAACCGGCCAAACGCGCGATACTGCTCGAGGTGGCTTCTACCCCCTTGCGATTCAATATCATAGTGTACTGTAGATAAACATGATTGTACTTTGAATTATCATTGTGTTGTTGCTTGGGGTTGACGTAGTACGAGTTGTTGGTACGGTTGGTAATGTCGAACAGCCCTGTGGTTGCTGGGTCCATCCACGCTTGAGCCACCAACGTGTACCTACATCATCTCAAAGATCATCATTCCAATGCGAATGAAATACTACCTACGTGGATGCAGAGCCTGGACATTGGATAGATATATTTACAAAGGGACGTACCATTCTCGTTGGACGGCGCCAGCATCGATGGCCACTTCGCCGTCAAACTGGTGTCTGGCAATGGCACATCGGGTCGGACCTTGCAGGTCGAGTAGCGTCGCCGTCGCGTCCGCCAGCAAGGTCATGCGGCAGGACTTGACTTCCAAGCGTCTACAACAGAATTAAGCAATTTGTCCAACTACTGGCACGACGCCGACGACTCACAGCTCGGCCACTGGCAGCCGCATGTCTGCGACCTGTTGCAGGAACCACGCGTACTTGGACGAAAACATGAGGCGAGAGATGGCCACGAGGCCTTCCCACACGGGGACGGACAGCGCCTTGCCGAGCATCGTGCAGTTGGCATCGCGTTGCTGGGACGGACTCCATTGTAATTTGAGCGGCATGGACGCGACGTCGGGCCACACACTTGTGGCCGCGGGTGGCTTCAATTCCGAGTCACGTGGTGGCACAACGTGCATCGGTAGCGTTCCAGACTCCCCAGACAAGGACACCACGTCAGCCTTCCAAGACTTGTGCAACGTGCTGACTTCGCTGTGGGCCACCCAATGCACGTGATGGTTGTCGTCGATATCTCGTGTCCACTGCCTTCTCCTCCTGCCAGAATGATGACGGGAGGTGATTACAGAGGAGGGACGGAAGCTGGTTACAGTAGCTCACCTAACCATTCGCTGGGGCGTGGTCAATGGCTCGTTCGCGTTGACAAGGGCAGCTGCAATAGCATACATTGAGGAAACGGATTCGGGCTGGTGTTGCTTGCTACCTGTGCTACAGAGGCTGCAGACGAGGGAGGAATCGAGGTTCTTGAAGCTGCAGATGCCACAAGTCCATCGGGATTCGCTGGCCAACCTACGGATCGATTTGAATGGCAAAGGGATCCCTGCAAATATCACGAAGTGGACGTGCGTACTGCTCTTCCAGCTCCCTTCGGTCTATCCCAGGCATAAAGTTCAAAAAGCTAATGGTGGTGAATGTGATTGACATGTTGTACAAGGTGTGCGAACGTACTCGTGGTCGAGTAGCGGTACCGGTCGAAAGCCATGCTTGGTGAAAAAGCAAGTGTAGGCCATGGCGACGATGCAACCGATGCCAGGGAGAATCGACAAGAGGCCCAGGATGATGTCATACGTGGTAGCCGACATTAATGCTGGTGGTGCCGCCTACCGTTGGATTTGGACAATGGGCAAGATCGATTTGGGTTAAACGCTGTTGGAATCAGCATATTTAGGTTGGAATGGTCCGTATCATTCCAACCAAACGTACTACTAGTAATATCCACGCTTGGCGTACCAATGACACATGTGCTCAGGTGGGACTCATTCCAACCCAAAACACAGGCAAAGTTCCGATACCCTTGGCGTTAAGGAGGCTTAATGGCACTAGTACCGAGATTCGTGCCTAGTACTTGGCCATACTCCCCCTTCCCCCAATTTGTTGTGAGCAACAACATCGACGGTGAAAATTGCGACTGACTTCCTACACTACAACCTAAAACTGTTGGTCAATGGTCATTTCACTTTGATTTTTGCAATTGCCTTTAAATTGCGATTGGACAAAATATAAAAAATGATTTTTAATTGTGATTGGTCGACACACATCCGGATACGGAGGTTGGTGCAGAAAGCACGACGTTTCCAGCACCACCAAGCAAGAAGCGCATTAGGCTCGATGAAGGACATTTCGCAGCGACAAAAGGTGCGCAGTGCACGCAAGGGCCGCAGCAAGAAAGGTGCCGAGATCTTCCACGAGCGCCGCAATGAATCGGTCCAGCAGACCCGCGACAAGAAGAAACAGGCGCGGAAGCGGCTGCGCATGGTGCAGATCCAGCGACATGTCGACAAGAAGCTCGACCATCTTCGTGCGTATCCTGTTGACGTCGTCCACGTATGTACATGTGCTTTCACGATCATCATCTTAATCATGATGCACGTCGTAGGTCGTGAAACGGCCCAAGGGCCCGCTGAAACCCGAGGAATGGAAGCTGCGCGGCGCAGCACGGCCGGCCGCCTTGCTGGCCCGGATTGCCAATGGCGAGTGCGACGTAGATGGCAACGAGTTCAAAGCTCCCGACCCGACCAAGGACTTTTACGAAGAAATGCGCGGACGATTCGCCGAGCACAACGACACATTGGAGTACCTTCGGTGCGTCCATCCACCTTCATCCTCACCAGGCATCTAACCAAGAACCAACCTCCTTTGACACAGGCTTCGAAAAGACTTGGCGCTGGCCACGTGCGCAGCGGGCATGATGGAGGCGGGGATTGCGCACTTCGAAGAGTGCATCGAGTTGGACCCGACTGACGCCGCGTGTGCGCGAGATGGCCTCGTGTGTGCGCTCATCGACGAAGGCCGGGCCGATGAAGCGCGCGGACTCATCGATCGCTACGAGAACGTGTCTCCCGTGCTGGAGTACTGCCGCACGATCATTGAGTACGTGTCGTGGGAAGTCTTGGAAGAAGACGGATCCTCCGAGGTACAGTGATGATGACGTGATCATATGACGCCGACACTTTGTCACAGGACGTGGTGCAAGCGGCGTTCACCAAGGCGTGGGACGGCAACCCGTTCATTGGCGTGTTCATTGCGGGCCTCGACGCGTTCAATGCGGTCGTCGAGTACGTCGAGGATATCAAGAACCCACCAAAAGGTTCCATCGAAGAAGCATTTGTGTACTGCGCCCACAACAGTACGCTGCCATCCCATATCTATATATATATATATATATATATATTGTCCTTTTACCCAAAATTTGGACGTTTGTGCTGATTCGCCAAATCTATCGATATCGATTGTTTGTACTCACTTTTTTGTATGTAAAGAACGACCAGTTTCACACTAATTTTAGTCACTCACTTGAAGTGGTCGAAAGCGAGTGGATTTGATTGGCTACTTGATTCTTGATCTCCGTTTTGATTGGTCAATCGGTTGTCTGCCGATTTAGTACTTCATTTGATTGAGAGCACCTCACTCCAATTTCGAATAACTTGACAATATATGATGACACTGATAAAGGTGTATTATTATTTAGTCTGTACAGACTAAACAATGTGGATATATATGTATATATAGATATAAATATTTAATATATAATGGACAATAACGACGTGCGACTGTAGTTGGGGTGTGGCTCGACACGGTCGGTGCCCAAGCGTGGATTCAGAAGGAGGTGGCGGCGCGAGGCATCCCGCAAGCCACGGAAGTGCACTATGTCGACCCCATGTACCTTGGTATGTACGCAACGGCCGTGGAAATGTATCAGGAAGAGCTGGACGAAGCTGCAGCAGCTGCTGCTGAAGACGACAATGAAGACATGCACGGCGACGGACACGATGACCAAGCCGAAATGTATACTAAGTAGTATTTTATAACCACAATCCCAAGCTATGCCATGAAAAAGAAATAGCCGCGTATCAGTCAATGCCTATGTATCTAAACGATGGGCAGAGAGATTTCAAAGCCCGCTTCTGTACAATACATACTGTACACTGAGGGATGAAGAAGCATGGCTGCTCTTGGAAATACTAACTGTATTGTAGCTATTAATAGCTAGCTAGTCACCGATACTATGGCGGCGACGACAGCTGGCACGACCAGCAGCAGCAGTGGTGGCGGGTCCTTCGTCACCCCCCTCGACGACATGAATGGTAATCCTAGAGGATGCCGTCGTCGATCACAACGTCAGCAATATGTTTTAGCTCTCATGTACGCATCGCGCATGCAATACTTGCACCAAGATGAGTCGAAAGATCGGACGCGACCTGATTCACTGTTTATGTCGCGGAAGCAAGCGCACAAACAGAGCGCGTACAACGCGACGGGAAAGAAGCTGGACCACCATCACCACCACCACCACGGACACAACCGACGCACCAGCATCAAGCAACGTACGGCCATAATGTGATATTGTACTTTTCTCAACAAGTCCAATACGCCGCCATGAGTAGACTCGTCGCAACATCACGACGCCGAAGCAAACTGGCACCCTGTTTTCCAGGCAGGCTGTCATTTCTGGCAGAATGCCGTGACGGGTGAATGCGTTGCCGACGAGTCCATGGGGTGCTCGCCATGTCCGTTCCATCAACCCGAAGTAGCATGCGAGTGGAACGCCGACGACGACGAACCGGATGGCGACTTGGCGCCGTTTCCACCGTCCTTTCAGTTCCTCGATGCCGCGGCAGCCCGTACGAACCGTCAGATTCTCATGGTGATGGTGGCGGTCACATTATTTTGGTTATTGTTTGATGACGTAGCCAAGGCTGCCAAGAACAAGCACATCAACAAGTCTGTGCACCACGTTGTCATGCGCAAGAGCGAGCGGTAAATGCCGTACCGGCCAACGCGGACATACATACCCTAGTGAAGTACATACCGGTACCTCGCCAAAGTTAAGAATTGGGAGGCGGCATACATGTGTAATAGCACTACACACCCCGCAAGTCCAGTGTTATATCATAGTATTACACGATCGCTACATGTATATGGCTTAAACGTTCCCTGGGTGTCCGACATGATGTGTGGCGAGTCTAGTTTCACGATGTCGCACGAGTACGTCACATGTATTACACACCTCGTTCAAGGTTAAGTGGAGGTAATAAGCCAGGAGGGCGGACTCGAGGCTACACATGAGGCCAACGTAGGGGACCCACAAACTAACTTCCTTGGAAGATGGTCGTCGATCATCATGCCAGCAATATGTACGCTGTAGCCACGGCGGTTCGACAGAGGTGGACACTTGAAGTTAGTCGCAACTCAAATGTCGTTCGTGTTTTCAAATTTTAAGGTGAGTGGTCCGGATAGAGGATTATCCGGATGATCGAGGATATCTTTCCCCCAACCGTCCAGATACGAAAACCAAAACTTCATTCTCCGATTGGGTACCACGCGGCAACATGCAGCACAGTCAGTCGGCGGTCACGCTCGGCGCGAACAAGGGGTCCTGGGCGGACATCAAGAAGGAGGAAGGCATGCGCAAGCGGTCGAACACAGCGCAGAACCTTCAATTCTACGGTAGGTGCATCTAGTGTCTGATGTGGAACGAGCAGCGAGCTCATGGATATGATGGATGTAGTGGAAGAGCAAAAGCGATTGTACCATGAACTTCCGTTTATGGCCCTGCCGGGGATGCGTCGGCAGAGTTTCCAACGCGAACGCAGCTTTTCCAACATCAAGTCGAAGAGCTCATGGGGCAGCTTCACCAACTTGGTGAGTCAAGGCCAAGGGGAAGGCCAAGCGTTGTTGGGCGAACCGCGCGGCGAGCCGGGGTACACATTGCCTCTGTTGTTGTCGTGCTGCGTGGCGCTCGTGAGTGCTTTCCAGTTTGGGTACAACATTGGCGTGACAGGGGCGCTGAACACGGACTTCATCTTCCCTGAAACCGTGAAATCCGTGTCCCAAAAGAATTTGGAGTGGTCGATTGTCGTGTCCATCTTTGCGATCGGTGGGCCCATTGGGTCTCTCGTCGCGGGCCAGATCAGTCAAACGTACGGTCGCAAGAAGGCGTTGATTTTCGACTCGTTCCTGTTCATCTTGGCGGGGGGACTCATGGCGTTCGCGAACAACATCTACTGGCTCATGGCTGGCCGCTTCCTCGTTGGGTTTGCCGCCGGGACCGTCAGTGTCGTCGTGCCGTTGTACTTGGGCGAACTCGCCCCGCCCAATTTGCGAGGTGGGATTACTAACTACTCTATTGAAGATGCGATATAGCACAATGTACTCAATCGTGTGGTGTAGGGGCGCTGGGCACGGGGTACCAATTCGGAGTCGTGCTGGGTATCTTGGCGGCAGACCTGCTGGCGTTTGGGTTTTCGGACGTGAGCGATGGATTCGCGCGCCCTGGCTGGCGCTTTATGTTTGGGTTCACGGCGATCCCTGCATTGTTGCAGCTGGCGCTGGCATCGTTCTTGACCGAGTCGCCTCGTTGGTTGCTCACCCAAAATAAACCCAAGGAAGCTGCAGGTACAGTCCCCAAGGCATATGTGCGTACGTACATAACGAGTGTGTAGAAATCTTGCGTCGGCTGCGCGGCACCACGGACGTGTACGAAGAAATCGACAGCATTTGCTCGGCCAGTGATAACGAATCGTCCGACATGACAGTGTGGGAAGTGCTCTCGGGTACGTTCATATATACATGTATCGTTGCTTTCTATAACTGTTTGTATAGACAAGAGCATTCGCTTCCCGTTGATTGTGGGCATTTCGCTGCAAATCGCGCAGCAATTGAGCGGCATCAATGCTGTCATGTTTTACGCCAACTCTTTCTTCAAGGGCGTGCATTTGTCCAACCCGTTGGTCGGCGCGACGCTCGTGGGGGCAATTAACGTCGTGTCCACGGGCGTGGCGTTGGTGCTCATGGACACTGCGGGCCGGTACGTACGTACGCCTGGCTATTGTCTGTATTTTACCCAAAATGTGTAGACTTTTTGTGCGGATTCTTTGCCAAATTTATCGAAAACTCTTTGTACTGTCTTTTGTATGTACAGATCGTCGAGGAGTATCACACTAATTTCATTCACACACACTAATTCGATGTTGAATTGGTCGAAAGCGAGTGGATTTGATTGGCTACTTGAATCTTGATCTGGGTTTTGATTGGTCGATTCGGTCCTTCTGCTCGTACTCGATTGAGAGCACCCATACAAACTGCAATTTCGAATCATCGACTTGACCATATCATTTCGATCGTTGCTCTAGTCGTTGTAGCTGACCAACACTCTTTTTTATCTTGTTGTCCTAGCCGTCCGTTGCTTCTGTGGTCGTGCGGAGGCATGATTGTGTCGTGTGTGATCTTGACGTTGGGGTTGTGGCACATGCTGCCGTACTACGACATGGTGAGCGTGGGGGGGGTGATGCTATTCGTGTGGTTCTTTGAGATCGGACTCGGGCCCATTCCGTGGCTGATTGTGGCAGAGATGTTCCCCGCCAAGCCGCGCCCGACCGCCATGTCGGTGGCCACGATGGTCAACTGGATGTTCAGCTTCGTTGTGGGCATTGCGTTTCCCACGATGCAGTCGTCCTTGCTCGAAAATACCTTTGTCCCGTTTGCTATTGTGCTCGTGATCGCCTTCGTGTTTGTGTACAAGTACGTCCCCGAGACCAAGGGCAAGACCCTCGAAGAAATCCAGCAAGACATGACAAAGATGTAAACGCCGCCGCCGCCGCCACGTCAGTGACTTGGTAGATCGTAGCTTAATATACAGATTCGGCTAGGGAACTATAATACTGTGTGTCGAGGGTGTGGAAGGCTTCCCCGCAAAAGCCAAAAGGACCAGGGACATTTGAGATGTGAATTCTTGTGCATTCGCGGTAGACTTTTTAAATTCGCATTCACACTGTCTGAGTGAATCACTCTGGAACTTGTGATTGGCTAAATATATACTTGAGCATTCTGTAAGAGCCAATCATATCGACTCATTGGGTTATTTGGACGTGACATCGTCGTGTCGTTGGTCGTTCGTTCGTTGGCATAATATGACGGAATGGGATGTGTGTTGTTCCGTCTATTCTTAGCGCAGGGCCACTGCGTTGAGTTGGTTGCGCAAGGGACTCTCATGCTGCGGCGAAAGACCGATTGCGAATATGCCAAAGGCCTCGTGGAAGCGTACGTGGGCACTTGCTGCACGAGGGCATCCATGTTGACGTCATGTCTAGGTACTTCACAATCCTCACGCAAGGATGCGGCAACTCGAGTTGCACCAACGCAGTATGTCGGTCCAACCCGGCCGCGGTCGAGCTCAATGCCACCGACGCAGCGATCCAGAGCATCGCGTTGGCCGTGACGTCGCCCGTGGCCATCTGTCTTAGCTTACGTCCATCGCCCGTCACGCCAACCCAACATCATGCGACAGTGTCGCCACCGCTTCTTCAACTCGAAGTGCCAGAGACAGACGATGACGACAAGGCGGCGGCGCCATCCACACCTCGGAAGCGACTGGCCACGGCCGTTCAGTTGGACTCGTCCATCAACTTGCCGAGTCATCCGCGTCAAGCTCGCTCAGTTCCAAAGAAGGTCGCTTCTTCGTCCATACTAGTGGGAAAAGGCAAGCCATTGAGGAGTCCAGTCAGTCGCGCTGCTGTGGATGAGGCATAAGGTTCAACGACCAACATTCTACTCCCAGTACCAGCATTCTCCGTCTCTTTTTTCTCTCCCACGCAAATCTTTTGTTTCCACATACAGTACACGACATGTATTTTGAATTAAATTACCCTTGGGGGTCTACAGCTGCAGGCACGTTGGCGGCAGGAGGGGCCGACGCCAACGGTCGCCACGACGGAAACAAACTCAGGACCAGCCCCACCGCAAACGACTGAATGTCTTTGATGATCCCGCCGTCCGTGGCGATGGTCACGAGGGGCGGGCCGGGCGGGCCGGCGTTGACCGCGTCGTTCAGTTGGTTGAAGAGGTCGCCGTTGTTGTCGGCGGCGGCTGCAGGCGCGCGGTCGATGTGTGGGTTGCCTTTGAGGATGTCGTAGATCTTGAGCAGGATACCAGTCATTAACCTACGGACAATAACAAAGCCTGGTCAGATTGGGTTGAAGTGACGTTGGACATGTGGACGTACAGGTACACGACAAACGACAGACCCACGAGGATGTAGGAGCGCGGAGGAGGCAAGTCTTGGCCGATGATGTACACCATCACGCACATTTTGAGCGCCAGGGTAAAGTCCAAGAGACCCACAATGGATCGAATGGCTTGAAAGCGTGGTGCCGCGGGGGTTTCGGCGCCGACGTTCGGAGGAGTAGCAGCAGGAGGAATGTGGAACGACGCAAAGTACGCCGTGGGAAAGGGCGTGGCTGGCGGAGAGGTCGAATAGGCGGCGGTAGCGGCGTCGGGGTTGAAGTGGATGCCATGCATTTGCTGGAATTGCTGAATGTGGCGAAGGTACTGGATCTGCATCGTCAACATGAGCTCCTGCTGGGCCAAGTAATGCTGCAAATGCATTGTTTGCAACGGCGAAATTGACGAAGGAACTGCAGACGGACTGTCGGCGGGTGTCGTCGGAGGGGCTGTTGTCGCAAACGTCGGGGCGGCGGCGCCAGGGACGGGTCGAGGGGCTGCATACGGAGATAGAGGAATCGAAGCAGCAGGGGCAATAGGTCGTGTAGGTGGTACAGCGGCGGTAGCAGGTGCCGCCACCGCGGCTTGCGACGGAGGTGTGCGTTGCGTTGCGGGTGTCGCTGTCTTGTTTGGCTGGCTTACCAACAAGTGGAACGTGTACGTTTCGTTAGGATCCATCTACACATGACGGTGTCATGTACACACATCAGTGATAAGAAGGTGGCAGTACCCGCTTGAGGACTTGAACCAACGTCTGAATGTCGTCGCAGATTTTGCCCCCAAAGATCAGGCGCTGGTGCTTCGGCAAGGCAGGCGAGGGCAATCGATCCTGGAGAAGTTCCTTCACCTGGAGGATGGTGCTGCTTCCTTCCATCTTGAGCTCCAAGGACAGGTTGCGCTCATAGACGCTCTTCACGACCAAGGTCACTTCTGTCGCCGACGATGCGTCACTACTCATGTCGCTGCAATATGCGCTTTTGATGTTTTCACTAATGCAAGTTGGTTTCTCTGGCATTTCCTGTGAAAACGAATTCCAATACCCTGGCTTCACGGTCCAGTATGTTCTTAAAGCCAGGATATAAACGCTGGTTTTGGGCGGTAGCGACAAGGCCGATTTCTTTACGCTCTGTTGTAATTATAATTCTGCCGACTCAATTAACGTATACGGCGGCGTATCCAATTATATTATTTGGCGAGCATGACGTGGCATGACGAGAACTGTAATAATACATACCCTTTGAAGATTAGAGTTTGCATATCGAATATGACAGTACACAGAATTGAACTTCATCCCAACTCTCGTGCTGTCGCACCAGAATCTGCCTAGGCAACCAAGGACAGCCAGGACAGTCAATGGCTTGTCCATGTAGGCATTGCGCCATGTAAGAAGCAGAATTCGTCAGAAACGGTTTCGGAGGATTTCGTCACCATCGTTGCATTGTTGTAGACAAAACCAACATTCACGTCGTACCGTTTCGTGGCGCAATGAACCAGCAGACAAAAACTCGATTGCTCGCGCCAAGGTGACGACATGCAACGGGCACAGGTCGCAGTGCTGGTTTGACGATAGATGATACATTAGGCATGTACACGAAATCGGCGACGCCACTGCACGAACCATGGACAAGCCGCGACATTCTTGTCTGCGCCCCGTCAGCCCGGGAGCCAACATGTACGTCAGTCATCGTTTGAGGTTGTGACTCGTTAATAATATCTTTGTGTAGGTCGAACCTGCGGACTCAAGTACTTGAATATACCTCGATTGCCGAATGCGAATGTATATCTTCAATGGAAGACACTCTGTAGGATCGACACGGTCCGCCTCGGGATGATCTACAAACACGAAGATGGTCATATTCTCATGCAATGGTTCCACTTGCAATGCGTCGACGCTCCTACAAAAGTGCTTGCTTCCGACATTGAAGGCTTGAACGACAAGGACATGAAGCCATATCGTGCTGCCGTGTTCGACTGGCTGAGCAGGCGGCCCAAGAAACAAGCTTCTCCCCCTCTAATGGTCCTTCGCTCGACCCCGCCACCTCAAGCCAGACGGCAAGTTGTGGGGCCGCCACTCCCGTCATCCACCTCTCGCCCCCCGACATCCTCTCGATCCATCCACAAGCCACCGCTAGCACCGCCTCGTCGTACTGCATCCAAACTCCTTCCTACCGGAATTCATGCTCCACCCAAAGCCATCATCGAACCCCCAAGTTCCCAACCTCCCAAAATCGACGCCGTGTATCGCGCCGAAGACATTGTTGGCACCATGCAATCGTGCCTGTCGGACAAGCGACACGCGAGCACCATGATGATGTCGTAACGCGGAATGGAGCTAACTTATTAATCCTATTTAGCTAGGGAACGACGTTCTTGGGGAAGCAAAAATAAATGGGTGGGTGGGGAGCTGGTCTAACGCGGAATCGGTGGCATTTAATGCGTCACGGGTTTCATGGGTGGGGCGCGGGATGTGTCGTCTTGAGATTGTTCTTTGATGTTGTCGGGGACTTCTCCAATGATGGCGCTACATGCACTCGGTTACACAGTAGTCCGTGGAAGACGTGTACAAGCATGTACATGTTGTCCCCGCGAACGATAAACAAGCCAAGGTTCTCGATTTGAACGTCGTCGCTCATCGAGTACACACGTTCGAAGCTGTTGTCGAGGATCACGTTGATGCACTGATCGTATCCTTTCAGCACACCCTAAAACGAACGATGAGCATTTTGAGTATGATGTCGTCGACACCATGTCGTACAATGATGTTCCGGCCGTCATTCGTCGTCACAGATACCGTGTCTACCATTGCATGAACACATCAACACCATCGACCACGCATCAACCATCGCCATGTGGGCACGTACGATTCACAAGGTCTTTGAGGAAGGTTGCCATGATCAACCAAGCTCCACACAACAACGAATGCTAGTCTAGTTATCCGGATGACGGATACGAAAGGAATTTATCCGGATCCCGTCACTCGTCACTTCTCCAGACACTTGAGAATTCTCTGGGGTAGTATGATGGAAGGATCGTAACGCACGACGGGCATTCTACCTGCAGCCTCACGGAGGCGCATGGAACATGCATCATAATGGTACATGTATTGGATTCCTGGTACCGCTGTAGTACGCTTAATGCTGCCGTAGAGCCCAACCCGAACGATTGGCACCGGGATTTCTTTCATTCATACGCCTATCCTCATTGGTCCATAATAAAAGAACGGATTTTAAACCTTTTTTTACAAAGCTGTGTTCTTTTAATTCCACGGCACACTGTCTTGCTTCCACAACATGTTGTGAGCGCGTGAAGGCGCAGTCAGTACATCACCAACATGGATTTGCCTAACGGTATTACAACCACCCGTTACTGTACTTGAGCTCAGGAACGAGCAATCATTTCTTCATATCGAGGAGGATAAGGTTTTAATCGTATCCGGTTCTTTTACTTTTCTTTAATCCACTGCATTTCTATTTCTGTGCAAGAACTGATCCGCGTGTCTTGTTGGCGACGTACTTCGTTTACGTAGCGGATTGAGATGGTGGTGCGCGGAGAAGCCAAGAAGCGGCGTCAAGTAGCACCGCCACCGCGACCGACTCCCAACTATGTAGCAGAAAACGTCCTCCACTTGATGTGTACTGAGGTCGACCTATGGCGCCTCTTTGATGCGGCGACCCTGGCAGCGTTGGCGACAACAAGCAAACGAATTCGAGGAGCGATCCCATGGAGCGAGGTGGTGATGCTCACAGCGGAACCCATCGTGAAATCAAAGCGCATCTTGTCCTTGAAGCGTGTACTTATGAAGAGGGAGTTCATCGGAAACCATCACTTGTGGTGGTGGACGAGTCCGGAATTCGAAGCGGGTGAGCGCGTGATCCAAGAATCCACGATCACCCCCGACGACGTCATGGAGCATTGCTTGATCCCGACTCCACAACCCAGCTGGCAACTAGCGTTTCACCGCCTGCACGGACGGTACCAAGCGACGTACCTGGGCGAGCGTCACCAACTGTACCTCACGCATTTGTGCACGTTCCTCCAATTGGCAGACCATCTCAAGGAATCGCTCTTTCGTGACCGCAACCCAAGCTGCTACGTGAATGGTGTCGCGTACACGACGGACGACGTCGTGTCCACGGTGTTGCGCGCCCAACGCACGAATGTGATTTCGATCGTGTGCCCAGAGTTTGGCCAGCCCCATATGCTCGACGTGACCGTGACGTCGTTTGACCTGCACTTTATCTTGCCGTCGACCGCCGCCGTGGTGACTCGGCACGTGCCGATCCCAAAGCCGTCGGATCCGGCTATTGGCTCGTCGTCTGTAGACAAGTGGTTTCCGCACCTGGCGTCGTTCATTTCACAAAAGGGATGCGTGAGCCTCGGCCGCCAAGCGCACCATTACATGATGGTGTTGTCAGGGGAAGAGATTGTGCATCGGCATTTCAAACACATGGGGTCCCTCCAGCGATACCTCGAGAGCGCCGACCAGCATTGCCGGCGGTGGCTGTCGCGATCATCCGATGGAAGCGGCACGTCCGACGGTGGCGGCGACGACGACGACGACAGCGACGAAGACAATCCGCCGTTCGCGTCGGCCAACATTGAGCAAGAGGTGCAGGTGGACTCACTCGCAACGTTCAACGCAGACCTGTGCTTTCCCCATCTTGCGAAATTTGTGGCCGCCAAGGGCTGGCAGTCGGTCGAGCTCAACGTGTTTAGGTCGCGGTATGCGATGGTGTGCAAGGGTCCGCAAGCCAAGTCGATCCAGGCATGGGATCTGACTTCGTCCGAAGCATTTTCGCTGCAGCACATGCTCAGCGAGCTAAACGCGTGCGTGTGCGCGGCCAACGTGAAGGCGCGCAACCACCAGATCCGGACGCTCAAAACGCTCGAGGAGACGATTCCCAAGGACAAGGAACATCTCCGCTTCCTCGTGTACATGAAGCATGCGACCGTGGTCCAGCGCGGCGCCGTGTTTAGCGTCGGCGATCGAAATGGACTGTACGTGAATGCGATGGTCGGCCACAACATCTTTTTGCCGCCGACGCCACCGTTCCTTGTCGTGCAGTTCGAAATCACGTTCAGGGAGCTGGGCGAATACGCCGACTTGTCGAAACTCGTGAGCATCGGGTTGGTTGAGCCGGGCGAGTACCCCAAGACCCGCGTCACAGCGCGATTCGTCGACTCCAACTCGGAGTTTCCCGTGCTGTGCTGGAAGAACGGCCACTCGCAATTCTTGGTCGGTCGCAACTCCGTGTTCCCGGCAACGTACGTCATGATGCCAAGCCTGGTTGTCATGGATGTTGTTGATCTCTCATCTAGGGACGAGGCGCGGTGGGGGTTCTTCCATCGAGAAAGCCCCATCAAGAGCGGCGACACCATTTCTCTCATCTACCAGCGCGAGAACGGCACCGTCCAATTCGCACACAACCAGCAATTGCTTCCGTTTTACTTTGCCGGTAAACGCTAAACGTTCAAGCGTGCCTGTGTAAAGGTCGTGGCTGTATGTGTATGACATATATATGTATGTAGGCGTGTACCGAAGCAACTTTTACGAGTCGGGACTCATGGTGTTTGTCACGCTCGAGCGTGAAAATATTCAAGTGCGCAGCTTGGACAACCCCAACATGGAGTTTATCAAACCTGTGGAACAGCGCCATTTCTTTGACTTTGGTGCTGAACCCGCCATGTTCTAACGAATATCAAGCACTAATATATCAAGTACCCGTCGTCGTCTGTCTCGTCGCTGTTCGTACACGGAGCATGGAGAAAAGGATGGCCATAATGAACACGGGGTCCGTCCTGCTTTGGTTTCTACGCGGTTATCACCTTGGCATGGCCTAGTACCTACTAACGAACGTTACGCTTCCTGTCATGGACACATAGTCCTCTGGGTCCATCGATCACGCGTTCGTTTGTCCTCACAACCACCAATCGCTCGTCGGCGAAAGCGGCGTCGGCCTCATTCGAGCATTTGCGCGCGAATTGCCAAATGAACAAAATTCGAATCGTGATCATCCGGATACTTGGGGAGTGGAGTATCCGACTCGGTCGTCGTGCATTCATTCTGTCCTGTATGCCGCAGGTTGACGGCGCCGCACCTTCACATCACCAGGACGACTCCCCTGCCGCGGGCAAGAAGCTAAAGCCGAACATGACAGTCAATCGCCGCGGCAATGAGCGGCATTGGGACTTGTACCGCCTTCTCCAGCGCCCGACGCCATTTGGGAACGAAACGAACGAAGCCATGGGGCTCGGCGAATTCGTCCCGGGACAAGCGACCGTTGACTTTCTGCACAACGAGGCCAAGGTGCTCGTGCTGGGTGCGGGGGGGTTGGGGTGCGAGATCCTCAAGGACTTGGCTTTCTCGGGTTTCCGCGACATCCACGTCGTGGACATGGACACTATCGACGTGTCGAACTTGAATCGCCAGTTTCTCTTTCGCCGTGCCGACGTCGGCAAGCCCAAAGCAACGATCGCGTCCAAATTCATCAATGAGCGCATCCAAGGTGTCAAGGTATCGTCGTCGTATATCCCAATCAATCCCCGGAGCAAATAGATGCACCCCCCCTCCGACTAAGCCAACGGCTGTCCTGGTAGGTCACGCCGCACTTTTGCAACTTGAAGACGTTGGACACGTCGTTCTACAGCGAATTCAAAGTGGTCATCTCAGGATTGGACAACATTGACGCCCGGCGCTACGTGAACTCCGTCCTCGTGTCGCTGGTCGAATTCGACGACGACGGCGATATCGACCCCAGGTAGCCGCCGCACATCCTCTTGGGTTGGATTCTCATGCGCATGTCCTCGTAGCACGGTAATTCCGTTCATCGATGGCGGCACGGAAGGGTTCAAAGGCCAAGCGCGCGTGATCCTTCCGCGCATCACGTCGTGCTTTGAGTGTTCGCTGGATGCGTTTCCGCCGCCGACGTCGTTTCCATTGTGCACCATCGCCGAGACGCCGCGCCAGCCGTCGCATTGCATCTCATACGCGTCCATCATCCTCTGGCCCAAGCATTTCCCCGACACGAAAATGGACACGGACTCCCCCGAGCACATGCAGTGGGTATTTGAGCAAGCCGAGGCCCGCGCCATTCAATTTGGCATTCCAGGCGTACGACGTTGCCCCCCATCTTATGCTTTTTCCATTAAGTTGCTGTTTATAGGTGACGTACACGTTGACGCTGGGGGTTGTCAAGAACATCATCCCGGCCGTCGCCTCCACGAACGCCGTAAGCGTCGTCTGGCAGTTCAAATACGATGGCAAAGGTGGAAACTTGAATGTAGATCATCTCGGCCATGTGCGTGAATGAAGCGTTCAAGGCCATGACGTACTGCAGCCAAACGATGAACAACTACCACATGCATATGGGCACCACGGGGATCTACAGCCACACGTTTGTGTACGAGGTAGGTAGGGTCGTTCGTACACACGACAGTGGATGCCACCATCTGCTTCCGTGTCGGAGCAGCGCCATGGTGCACCATCTGATTCCGAGTTGATTGGTAGAAAAAACCCACTTGTGGGGTGTGTGCGTCCGAGTCGCATGTCGTGTCCTTTGATCCGAACACGACGCTGGGGGACGCGCTGGACGAGGTGGGTGGGTGGGTGGATGACATTTGACGGATGTGAAAGGACATTTGAACCTGTGGCATACATACTATAGTTGAAAGGAACATTCCGGCTGTCCAACCCGGCCGTGAGCTGGAGCCGCGGAAACCTCTTCATGCCCAACCCCCCCGCGTTGTTCGACGCCACCAAGGCGAATCTGGACAAGCCGCTGACTGCACTGCTTGGAACGGCCGACGCCGTCTTGACCATCACAGACCCCGTGTATGCCGGGGACATGTCACTCCAAGTGCAAGTGCACTTTGCCGAATCGAGTTAAATGCAAGTTGAACGTGTTTGGGTAGAATTGCAATATTCCGGTTTTTCTCGTTCCATATCACGTTAAAGTACGCCCCTCGTCTCTCGATGCCAATGTCGTCATGCAAGGAAACACCACTCTGAATATTGGTGGGAAATCAGTCGTCGTCTGATTGCACTTCACCAGGCAGGCACGCCCGACCATTTGGGTCCGAGAACCTTGTCCAACAGTGGCGACATTAGTTGCAGTGTTAAAGCGATGCACACGTTCGTGTGCTTAGCTATCTACCTAACGTTACATAGGACAAATTAAGAGTACATATATCGTACACAGCAGGGTATTTCTGGACGCAACGCAGTTCCATTTGCGACGACGAACGAATGGCGTCAGATTCGGCGATCGTACGAACAGGCAACCCTATTCAATGTACCCCCTGGACGTGACTGCATTGATCGCATCTCGAGTGACTTGATCAAGGCGCCACGAGCATCCAGACAGCCACCTTATCGCACAATACCGGTTGAGTGACAACGGATGGGTAAGTAATATATATGGAATTGACGTTTAACGTGGAAACAGGAGCATACGTTTTATCCAGAAGTCTATTGGGTTTCGGCCCAGCAAATGCACTGTCAAGTCTCTACGCCTCTCTCATGGACGCAGACGCAGCGGCGAAATGCTCACATATTTGCGGTTTGGGATACCTATTGTCCTCTGGTTCATGCGAGGTGGCGGCGGACGATTCTTCCTTCGACGTCATTCGTCCCTGATCTGGCGATCACGCTACGCATACCGGTACTGTACATGCATATTGCCTAACTTAGCACGCGTTCTTGCGTGGGTGCAAGAAAGAACAGTGCTGGGCATCGTTAGGTAGGTTGTCAATCCCTACCAGTACACTTCTTTCACCAAAACACTTGGTAGTATCTATTCGTACTCGAGAATATTGACTGTTGTTTAACCTATAAAAGTCAAGCTGCAGCCATACAGGTTAAATTACAGGTTAAATCATAAAGGTGGTTATTGTACGAAGAGCAGTACGGAGAGGTGGCGTTTCGAAAAAAGAAGATGGTCTCCACAGTATACAAACTACTAGTTAATATTTATTTACATTCTATCATGAAAATGGCTCGAATTGTTGGTCGTGGCCACCATATATATCATTTATCCATGCGCAGTACGCCTAGCAATTGGTCGTGCAAAGCAATGTGGACTGACCATCGCCCCTGACCCCATCCGCCAGGAGCGTTCTTCAAACTTGCGGCATCATTTTTGAAATCACAGTTGACGCCGCCATGCACTCGTCCAGGTCCATGTTCACGTCCCCGCAGCTGTCCATTGAGGAGCAAGAGATGCTCGTGCTGGTGGCCACCAATGCGTTCCGCAACTTCATCGAAAGCACGCGGCTCATTGGACCCAAAGGCGCGCTGTTCAAGTCGGCCAGCAACACGTCCATCAACCTCGCGCATGCGTCGCTGTTCCACGGGTCCACGATCGTCAAAGGGTGCACCGTGGGCGACGTTAGTGCGTACCACCTCACGGCCATGACGTCCACGGAAAGCTACTGCCGCGTCAACCAGTGCATCGACACCAAACTGCTGTACACGCTTGAAGTGCCAACTCCAGACCACCCGCACCACTACTTGGCCCTGCGGTGGTTTGCCATGGCGTCGACGGTGCCCATGGTCAAGCCTCGCGACTTTGTCGTGTTGGAGGTACCACCACCACGACCTGTCATTCTGTTGATGTTGACGACCTGGTAGTACCTCGATTCATTCCACGACGCGCACGGCCGCACTGGGTGGGCTCGTTGCATCCACTCGATTGAGCACCGTAGCGCGCCGTCGCTTCTGGAATCCCACGGGTACGTCCGCGGCAACATCCAGAACTCGGGCATCGTCGTCTACCACGACGACGTGGACTCGATTTCCCGAGCCAACATCATGCTCCTGTGCGACAAGAAGACGTCCATGGCGTCCAAACTGTTTGTCAAGTCCATGATCCAGGGCATGTTCAGGCACTTCGACACGCTCAACGAGCGCATCCAAGTGTACCGGCACTCGATGCGACTGTCCCAGCGAAGCAGCACCGGGTCCGGCGTCAATAGATCGCCACGGTCGCCGTCTTCTCAATATGGCGACAACGAGATCGAGGTAAACCTTGAGGGAACGAACCAACGATCGAGCGAATATACGATGCGTTCAACATCTAATCCTTGCCATGATGCTATTCTAGTCGGCAGACCGCGCCAGTCGCAAGCACTGTGTGTTTTGTGCCAAGCGGTTCCATTTGTTTCGACGACCAGAATCGTGCGAGACCTGCCACCAAGTACGTGGCAACGACACTCAATCTATTCGATATATATCGATGTATGTACATAATATGCGATATATAAATGTATACATATATGCGATATCGATATATATATATATCTACGTAATATAATATTCGATATACGCAATGTAATACTAGTATTCGATATATACTAGTATATATGTAGCTACACGAAATTTATATATATGTATGTATATATGCGCAATATATACTGCAGTAGTACGTGTATGTATGTATACATTCGATATTTATATATATATATATATTGGCCATACAATGCTGCATATATATGGATACTACCGGTGTATACATGTCTATCTATCTGTCTATGTATTTGTCGGAAGATATGATTTGTGGTTTTATAATAACATGAGTAGGTCGTGTGTTCGAAATGCATGCGTCGGATCACAAAAGCTTCCAAGCACAAAGTGTGCATGTCGTGCTTCATGCAGCATCAATGCGGCAACATGCCCAGCAATCCATGTGCGTCTTCTCCTAATCAAATGCCCTTCCTGACCACATCCCATCTCTAGTCACCGACTGCCTTTGGATGGGCGACGGGTCGGCGCGGCCGTCGTGGGCTCAGTCCCAGGCGTCGGTTAGTCCGAGCCTCGTGCTGCGATCGTCGTTTGCGTCGACGGTCGAGCCCGCGTTTCAATTGTATGACTAGTAAGATAGAGCACTGTACATTACAAGTCGAGTGTTAGGAGTCGGTCACAACAGGGTGGTGGTGGTCCATCTGTCCGAGTACGCCACTGGCCAAACTGTCAAACAGCCACTACGCACCACACACACACGCATGAGTAGATACACGCCATGTTTGAACCCAAACAAAAGAGCAACATTGAAGTGTACCTTGGGCGAGACCATGGGAAGCCCAGCCAGCGATGCCCGTCGCCCGACTGCAGGCTCCACGCCCATGCACACATCTGCCAGTGCCATTTGCGAGCACGGCTACATCAACGTCATTTTATTAACACACTCAGTCCAATATATATTATGTACATATCTAGTAGCTACAACACGTACATGGCCTCCGGCAGCCAGAATCAACGCTTGGAGGGTCGCTTTGGGCGGGTCGAGGCCGCTGGCCACGTAAATCTTGATGCCGTCGAGCAAATTTGGCGGGGTTTTCTGCATGCACGATGGGGGATCACCACTGCACTACAATCGAACAGCGTACTGTACCTTCTTGGACACTGCTGGGTACTCTGTCATCAAGAAAGGCGACTCATCCAGCCACATCTTGGCTTCCAGCGACGAAAATACCCACGCGTCCGATACAATGTACGCACCCGTGGCCAGCCCAAACAGCACTTTCATCGTTCGCTTCGACTTGTCCGACACTACGACGTGGGTCACGGCCGCAGCAGCTCCAAACTCGTCCACAATTCGACTCTTGCCATCGCCAGGACCTACCACCAGCACGAGATTTATCCCAAAAGACATATATATATATATATATATATGATAGATAGATGGCGTACTGGAGGCATCGATTTCGCGCATGGAGCTTTCCAAGACCAGTCGCGTGTCCAGGTTGGCCCCGCTCACACTGATCACATACCGTGGCATACGTTTCGTCTAGCGATATATATCCACAACAAGAGAGGTTACTCCACAAATACACAAATACCCCCCTCTTCCATACATATCTTTCAATCGTAGCAATACACTATATATATATATAATATATATACCTTAGTAGTCGTCGATTGGTTCATTGCAGTGGCGGGCGCCTTGCTTGTCGTCGCTTCGGATTTCTTTGTCGGCGCAGGAGGAGTATGCGATACCTTGGGCTTGACAAGTACTCGCGGGTGCTCCACCGCTGCTGCTTTGCGCTTCACGGCAGTTTGTTTCGGCGCTACGTCAGTGGACGTTCCTTCCTTCTTGGAGGTTCTCGCTGCACTTGGCTTCGCAGCTTTCACCTTGGCCTTGTTTGATGCAGTCAATTACAGCGTGATCAAGCATGGGTGTCTTGTACCTTGACGGGGGTGGCCACCTTAACAACCGGAATCGATTTCAACGAACTGGTGTTGCCGCGACGAGGCGGCGTCGGCGGGTGGTGGCCTTGCTTGGGGGTGCCGATGGGCGTCGTCGACGGTTGCTTCTTGCGAGGCAACGATACTTGAGGGGTAGGAGTGTTTGGTTCCACGGGCGGTGGCTGCTTGGTAGCCAGTCGCGTCGCTGGCTTGTTGGATCTGCTGCTGATGTCGTCGTGCTTCTTGGCGATTGATCCCACCAGAAGCTGCGATGGTTCAACTCCCGTCGAGGACGTCCCGCACATCTTGCAGCGTTTGGCGACTCGGGGGTTTTCAAACGTACACGACACACACGGCCACGTGCGAGGCTACTTCATGACGTGAGTTGGGATCGATGTTAACAAGGGAATATTGCACCGGGTTTTTTGTGTGCTTGGGAGTAGCTCGGTGGGCCGAGGTTGCTTGGACACTGGATGCAGGTGTACAAAGAGATTTAACCACGGTTTTGGCAGGGGATGTCGTTGGTTTTGCGGGGGTGGTGGCGGCGGCATGGTTGGACCCGACGCTTTGTCGTGAGCTGTGAGTGTCTTGACAACGACGATCAGGTCGATAGAGGATGCGTCGTATCGGGGGAGGAGGGGAGGTATGTTCTTACCTGATTGCGATGGAGGCTCGGCAACTTCGTCCACAGTGGACAAGTTTGTAGAAGCCTCCGTTGGTTGCGAGATATCTACAGATTGTCGTGACAGCAGGATAATGCCAACAACGCCACCTACCGTCGTATTCTGGAGACCTGGACCGGCGACGGAGGCTCAGACTGCGGGCGCTTACACCTTCTTGCGGTGTGAGCGTTATCGCCATTGGGGTCACTGCGTCCAAGGTTTGCTACATTGCACCACATCAAGAGGATATTCTAGAGACATGCTGAATGGGAATACCCTGCGAGTCTTCTTGATTGGAGTAGTCAACTCATCAAACACGTCTTCTCGGCGAGGTTCCATCAAGCTCGACCGCCGCCGTTTCTTCTTCTCGGCTGCGGGAGATGGCAAAGGCGTCGACTGGTTGGCGGGGGTGTCACTAGGAAAGAACTTTGTCTCGGGGACACGCGTCGCGGTCTGAAGGCACGCCTCGACCCATAGAGGCCCAACGAGCTTGACCTCGCTCCGTTTGAGGGTGTCTTCGCGAACATTGCGATTGCCATTGAGCCACACGACGTGGGTCGTGTCTCTGCCCAACCGCTTCACGACTTTCGCTCCGAGGTGCACCAGCTTCTCGCTGACTGCCGCTGAGCAGTCCACGTCCGCATCACCTGCCGACATGCGCACATCCACAATGCATTTCACTCCCTTGAGGACTGGCGTCGCATCGCGGCCCATGTTTTTCCCAACGTCGATGTCAAAATGAGAATGTGCTCCGGTAAATTTGAATTGTTATCCGTAGTCCTGTCGCGCGCGAAAATTCATGCCGAGTTTACATGGACGAAAATAAAATGCCGACTTGGGATTGTTTCATACAAACATGAAGTGAAGCATGTTGAAATTCTTTCTAAACCGTTAACTTCCAAATAGTATTAATAGTATGGAATGCATCATGACTGTTAACTGTAAGGGCAAACTCCGGCCTTCGTATTGTAACAAGCCAGTAACGAGCATTTCAATATACTGTATATATTATATATACTTAGATTTTGATTTCACTATTTTCATACAAAATATAAATGAATTTGGCTTGTGTTATATTTCTGCGTTACCGTACTGTCTCGTTTCAGTAGGATTATCCGGACTTTTGGTGGCCATAACCGTACAAATTTGCCAGTTTGGTGTGGCTCCAAAGAACATAAGCCGCGCGAAGCCACCGCCGTCGATTTCCACGTCCAACCTGTCTTGATGTCATCCAAGTTGAACCCTAAAGCTGGCGCATTTGTACCCAGGTATGCTGCGACGATGTGACGACAGGGACGACTTTATCTCAACGATGTATAGCTTTGTAGTTCCAGTCGAGGTTGTGATTACACCTGCGCTGACGACGACAGTTGTGGCACCATCCCCGGGCGGTTCCAAGAAGAACAAAGGAAATGGAACGTCGACGCACAAACCCCCCAAGAGTACCCGCCAACCTGTCACCATGGTACCAACCGAACCGGTGACGCCGCCACCCATCGAGGTAACGGCAATGATCGACTCATAGTAGACCGACGACCACCTGCAGAAACAACCACACACATGTGTAGATCCCACTGCCAACCATATACAGCGTCGACGAACTAGTTGAGGTACACACATGGATCCTGTATCACGCCGAGGCGCTCATATATGCGTGCTCCAGGCGGGTCGCGTTGTGCGTGGTCGGCAGCACTACTCGATTCCAGAGCTGTTACAGGTACAACATCTATCCGTGCCACCACGTTGTAGTATTGCTGAGGTGGTGTGTCCTAGTTCCGTCCGTTTTTCACCGCCGTGCCTCCGCATTTCGACTTGGCCGGGGTCAACGCCACATGCGGGGGCACCGTGAAAGAAAAGACCAAATCCGCCGCCAAGCGGGACAAGCAGCGCGCCGCCGCCGCTGCCGCCGCCGCACAGCCCGTGCTCCATTACGACCCGAATGCGTACGCGTACTTCCCCACGGTCGGTACATGCTGCCATCGTTCGTATTCAGCTAGCCATTCTGTTGCATACTCACAACATTGAAGGCGGCAGCATCAGACCCTGACCACAAAAAGGACAAACAACCCCGTCACACACCAACCGAGTCACCCGAGGACGAAATGAACGACGCCGTGGCGAATGTCAACAGGTACTTCCCAATACTTTGGTTGGGATTTGGGCTAAACCTGTGGGGGGGGGGTAGCTTGCTGGACCGCCTGCCGCCGTCCGACATTTCCGTCGACGCGACCGTCCATTCATTCCACGGCATCCCCGTGACATGCACGTTGTCACTGCAGGCCGTCGTGGGCGTCTTGTTTGATCGCGCGATCGCGGCGCCGCACTTGAGGTGGATTGGATGCAGTTGAGGATGGTGGGTTAACATTTGTAGCCACTTTTACGCCCCGTTTTGTTCGGGGCTGTCGGACACGCTCCCGGATTTCAAGGACGGCGCCCGGACGGTCAACTTTCGCCGCATTTTACTCACGAAATGCTACGAAGCGTTGGTCGAAGAGCCCGACCATGCGGTGCGATCGATTATTATTTATTTTTTAAGATTTAAATGATCTCACAATCTAGTATCTTCCACTGTAGTCGTGGCGACGACAGAGTATGCTGGGCAATGTCGGGTTGATTGGTGAGCTCTTTCGACGGTAAGTATGGTGGACAAGTGCAATTTACTGTCAAGACTCGTCCAATTTAATTGTTCTACTTAGCCAACTCCTCACGGAGAACATCATGCATGTGTGTGTGGCCATGATGCTGGACTCCGATGTGGACACCGTGCAACCCGCGCCACAAGTATTGCAAGCGGCCTGCCAACTCCTCCTTCAAGTACGAATATTGTCCATTCCGCCAATATGTGGAATGGAAAATCGATCGATTTGTTTTGTACTGAATGTGTGTCAAAATTGTTCCGTGTCACACTAATATACGTCACACACTAAATCGATGTTGCATCGTTGAAGCCAGAGTTTGCTTGGTCACTTGAATCGTGTTCTGTCTTTTGATTGGTCGATCGATTGTCGATTTCGTTCGATGGAGCAAGCAGCACCCGACTGCAATGTCGAAAAATCGAATCGACAATCCATCATATAGATGGAAAATGGAACCCATGGGGTGTTTTATAGGTGGGGGATCTGCTGGATGGGTCGTCCCCTGCGTCGAGGCGCACCATGGACGAGTATTTCGACGCATTGCAGCGCTTGGCGTGCCGTGACCACCACCTCCCGCCGCAACTGACTCAGCTCATTCAAGAGGTTGGTTCGTGGTGTTATATTTGTTATATAAACCTAGGCGTGGTATCGTTGTAGACGATTGAAGCGCGGTCGAGTGGATGGATACGCAAGCGAAGTGACGTTGCTGACGTACTAGTACAGTCGTCGTCCCCGACGAAGCAATCTGTGTAGAGCGTTAAGTACACGACTTGTCGCCGCGTTGAGATATTTAACATGTACAATATGACGTCCACACCCGGTTCGTTGTTCATAGTGCAATTTGTGGTTTGGTGGAATTAGTACGCTAACTATTGGACACGTTTTATTACTTCAACCAGCGAATGTTGCTCACAATTCTGTGGAATTTTTATCAGGTTTACTCAAAGTCGTACGTACATTAAATGTACGAAAATAAATGTACGACGACTCTGCGGTTGAAAGGTCAAGCAAGGTTCAATCGCCGTTTCGTCCGAGATTCGCCCCTGCTACGTTTGAATCTCGTTTCCATATTCTATTGTGGTCTCCTGTAGCTTTGTCCTCAAATTCTACAATACTATTGACTAGCCTAGAGGTACATATCATGTTGAAGTCACGGTTCTCATAAAGTTAGTTAGCTCAGTAGTTAAGTCCGCTAGCGCAGCTAGTACGCGATCGTGGCCATAAAGTGCCCACTGAGCGATTTTAACTTTACAGCGTAATATCTATATCATAAAGCTAGTTAGCTCAGTGAATGCTTTCTTGATTGCTCACATGAAGGCCACGTTATAGTGGGCAACATCACAACGCCTTATGAATCGAGCTATTCGTGGCTTTGGCTCACACTGTCAACTGCAAATTCAAGCCGACTGGCATAGATTCAACTACCATATCGTTCGAATCTTTATTGTGTCCCTAGGTTTCCGAATCGACCAACAGCCAATAGAATTGCAAGGCACCAAGTTGAAGTGGTCACCTTGGGACAAACTCGGTCAACATGGCAAAGTAAGTCGTAACGTTAATGCAAAATGAAGTTGACATTAAATACTGCTCGTGTCATGGGTGCTACAACTGGATACAGTCGCTTACGAAGTCACTACGGGGATGTGGCGGATGTCCATTTCGACACCGCCACTATACAGTGCCTTGATCGGTGCCGCGACCTTGGTCAGTTCGGGTTCCTTCTTGAGCTTGTACAGCCCTTTGACTTCGAGTTCTCGGATGCGCTCGTAATCTTGCGTAAGCACCGTCGCGTCTGGATGCACCATGAGCACACATCCGGGCGTCGTAAACATGTCAATGGTTGGGGCCATCTTGACGCCTTCCGTGTGTCGAATCTTCTTGTCCACAAACGACGGCATCGACTCAATCTCAGACAGCCCAGGCATGGAATGGAGCACGCCGTGCTCGTACGACACAAGCGTCGTCTTGATGCCGTGCGCCTTCAAACTCGTGGGCATCTTGGGCAGCGCTTGGAACGCCTGCTTGTCAAAGTACGCGTCCACCGTCGCGCCCACTTGGTTGTAGCCTTGGCATCGGTCCAAGATAGGCATGTCCGTGCCCTCTCGGCCGTGGCACCGCGCACCAATCTCAATCAAACACGGCTCGCCGCGCACAAACTTGACTTCGGCGTGGCCAGGGCCGTGCTGAATGTCCAACACATCCAGCACCTTGAACACATAGTCCACGATCGCCAGCACGACTTCGCCTTTGGCCTCGCGCAGCAGCGCGCCATAGTACACGAACGCCGCGCCGTTTGCGCAGCGCTTGTCGTACTCCCATACCGCCACGACCTTGTGCTCTCCATTGCGAGACACAGAGTCCACAACGTACTCGGTGCCTTCGAGGTACTCTTGCACCAACAAATTCGTGTTTTCAATGCCCAAATGGTTGATCTTGCCAATGACGTGGCGAAAGCAGCTGCGCACTTCGTCCAACGATGTGCACAGCGTCACGTCGTCACTCCCAGCGCTATCCACGGGCTTGACAATCACCCGGAATGGTGACGGCTTCAACACGGTCGTGATAAATTCCTCCGCCGCCGCGTACGTCGAGGCCAGGCATTGCTTGACCGCGCGCATGCCTGCCGATCGAATCTTCTCACCCATCACGTACTTGTTGCGTCGACCTTCAGACCCTGCCGACCCGTTCGTGACCAGGCGCATGTACTCGGACAGACGATCGCACAGATGCACACCGGGCTCGGCGCCCACAATCACACCCGACACAGTGTACCCGTAGGAAAGGATGGCGTTGACAACACGTCGCAACTCGTCTTCGGAATCGTCGGCGCCGTCGTGAAATACTTCGCCAGCAAACGACTTGCGCACGTCCGCCGACAAGGTGGACATCCAATCTCCAAACAGCTCTTCGGTCTCGCTGTACACGGCAATGCAGGCATACCCGCGGCGCATGACGTCTTGTGCGAGGCATAGCCCTGTCGAGAACGGGTCTACCACCACAACACAGTCCTTCTTGGGCGAAGCAAGCAGAGGCATCTTGACACGCAGGCAAATTTCGAAATGACCAACGATGATGTGAAAACCAAAAGGCGGTATATCTTTCACTTTGTATGTACGTTTATCCACAGATATAATGCGGGACAAATGGGTGTTGAAGCAATTGCACAGAACTTTGTGTTTTGAAAACCTGTATGAATACATTTTATTCCAACACTCAAATTATAGCCATAAGCACGTTTATGGTAGTATAGGATTGCATAACCCGTAATAATGCATAGATATGCAACCTTTAGCAGTTGTTTGTATTTTTCCCAATAGCCATGTCGCCAGCACGAAACCGACATCAACCTGTGGATCATGCCCGAATTTTTGTGCTCAACGTTAACCACAACCAACACACCAAATACATGTAAATTCAAGGCTTGACACGTTCTTAAAACGCAGCGCATTGCAATTCCGCTGGCCCCGGATCGATAGAAACCTCTTTTGGTTGTATCGCTACATACGGCTTGGAAGCCCTGTTTCCATTGCTTTAGTGTAGTGAATTGTCCGCCTGGGGTGGCGACGCATGTAAGATCGCCCAAGCGACATCAACACAAGTATATACTAGTATGTAGTCGTGAACGCAGTCGCACGGAATAGAATTGGTGGTGGTGACGCTGGTTACACAGACGTGGGATGTAACTGCCACAGCGCCAATGTACGGAATGTACCATCTCTGTATTATGTACGTCGACAATGTACTTCAAGTGGACCAGTTCAAAATCTATTAGGGTGCGTCTGGTAACCGGAAATATTGCAATATTCTGGCCCAAAACGCCATTTTGGGGCCGAATTCAACAAATTTGATCAAAATTGAAACATGTCTTGCTTGAAGAGATTTAACCCAAATCCAATAATTCCACCTGGGATTTACTCGTTGAAAAGGCCCAAAACGCCATATTACAAAATGGACCTTTTACCTCCATTTTGAAGATGGCATTTTGGTTAATCCCATTTTGCGAGAAAATGGAATATCAATTTTGAAATGTTACCAGACGCACCCTTAGTTAACGTTACAAAAGGATGATACCAACAGACAGCTCACAACCACACTTCGTTACGTGCAGAGCTGGAAGAGCCATATCCTGGCTTGGGAGAGGCTGCCACAAGCGGTGCCTCTTCAGCAGGAACGCCTCCTTCTTCGACATCACTTAGGGGTGCTTGAAAGTCCTTGTCAGAATTCGAATGGGTGAGCATAAACCGTAGCATTGGCCCCGCGGGCATCGGAATTTCGGATGGGGCGAAGGACAGGCTGGGGTTGGTTTCTTCGACAACATGGTCGCTCACTTCAGAGAAGGGGAGGCTGTCCACACAAACGGACGTGGTGGACTCCATGGACTTGGGCGAGTACAGCACTGGTGCACGCAACGATGCTTCGTGACAGTAGGCGCTGCGAAGGACCACATCGAGCTCTTCTTCGATACGCACGATACGATTCTCCAAGTCAATGTCGTTGTGGTCGGTGCCAAACGGGCACTCAATTTCACGGGCGACGTCGTCGGCGGAAAAGATGACAAAGCCCCAACCGTACACCCAAAATGGGGTTATGTAGCTCGACGCGTGAACAATCGCAAACGTGTACACTGTGAGGTAGGCGGTCATGACCGCAACGAGGAAGTGAGCGTAGTTAAATGGGATGGGAATGTTTGCAATCGTGTAAATCGTCGAATAGAGGCTGACCAACGTCGAGACGTAGCCGTTGACGGCCGCGGCTTGGGGCATGCCAAACCAATTACGTCGGTGCCCACTTTGAATCAACCGACGAATCTACCAACGTACACCCGTGATTCGAGTTTATGTCACATGCTCGGCATGTCTATTGAAGACATACATATACCGGTATATATTTATATATATATATATATAACACCAGTCAAATGTCCACACCATACGTACCCACAATTCGACCATGGACGACCGCAACTTGTACGGGTTGGCTTGGGCCACAGACACGCCGCGACCTTTTTGAACCCGCTCGCGGTTGCACACGACCCCACAGCGCTTCATTTCTTCGGCCTCTGTCTCATCGAGCAAATGGCCCTGGATGAAGGACGACAGGTCTTCTTGCGCGCATCCTCGGGCGTCTTGGACCAAGATGGACACGTACAGGCACACGAGCCGCCGCAGCTCCCCTGCAAAGCGAAGCTTGTCTTCGCCATCCTCTCGTAGATCCAAGAACGATACCGTCGACGACACAATGCTACAAATAATCCACAAGCCACATTGTTGTTAGCCGAGTGGCCAAACCAAAATGGAAACGATATGGTTGGTATAGTACATACCCCCTTGCGGCATCCCCCACCGACCCCATGGCCACGACACCCGAGCGCCATTGATTGAACGCCGAGTTGAGTCGAAACGAAATGAGGAGACCGAGGAACACATTGAACACGTTCAGGGTGTACGTGCAGGCGACGCTCATCGTGGACGGAATGAACGCGATCGAGTACATGTGGTTGCCGATGGCGACGACCATGGCAAAACACGCCATGAACAGCGCGCGGCGAGGCCCGTTACCGCGGAAGGCGGAGCCTTGCAGCTTCGACAATAGCGTGAAGAACTCGTCTTGGTTGTACGAGATCATACGCCACGAACGATAAAATTGAACTCTGGGCACCAAACATGACCCCCCCGTTCAATAATCAAAAGATAGAAGTATGTAGCATCAGGGTTCTCTGGTAGAGGTCTGGCCCCGGACCCTTTGGCGCATGATGAGCATCCGGATATATTCGGAAAGGCGACGTTTCGTCAGCCAATGAAATTCGAGAATAGTAAACGTGTGCTGTGACAAGCCTTGGTCAAAACTTCGTCATATTCTTCCTGTTCAAGATGCCGAGGATGACTGACGCAAATGGCAAGATACATGGCACATGCACTAAGTGCATTGATGACAGACATGCTTATTTGAGGGTTATTATTGTGTGGCAGCAGACGTATGCAACCGAGTCGACACTTGGCTCCAGCGTTCCAACGTGTTCAACGCTATACATTCAAACCAATCAATCCCGACAACCACAGGGACACCTCGTACCATGTCCGGCCTTCAAGGCGGCCTTGGCTAGCTCGTAGCCGTGCTTGATGCTGTCCGCCAATCCATACACATACAGTCCTGTCGACGGCAATACACATTAGCAAATACGAACGCGACGATGTGTTGGTCATGTACCTGCGCCAGCGTTGTATGCGATGGTGTTGCCAATCGCATTGTCGCAGTGTTCTCCACCTTGAAACACTTGGCGCAAGATACGACAGTTGTCATCAGCGTCTCCCCCTTCCAAGTCTTGCAACGTGCATCGAGGAATGCCCAGCTCTTCGGGGGTCAAAGTATACCGGCGGTATCCGTTCTGTCCAAACCACCACATTATTTGGCGTCAGAATATCTATGTATGAGTTTCCAAAGTTTATACCTGGGTCACTTCGACAATCTCAGCATCGCCAATGGGGTTCAGCTCGTCGAGGCCGGCACAGTGCACGACCAGAGCGTGCTCGACGCCCATCATGTACAACACCTAGCCATGTTAAGTTGTGGGAAGTTCAGGTTAACGATCTTCATCGCACTTGTCCAAACAGGTCCAATAGCGCAGGGGTGTACACGCCAATAACGGAAGTTTGGCACTTGGCGGGGTTGATCAGTGGCCCCAAGATATTGAACACGCTTCGAATGCCCATGGATTTTCGCACAGGACCGACGTGCTTCATGGCAGGATGGAAGTGTGGCGCGTACCTACGACCAGGTTTATGATGAGATACCATCATACTGTATGTGGCCAACATACATGAATGCAATGTTGGCTTGGTCGATGCAGGCGGCAATGTGTTGGGGTTCCAACATGGGGACTCCCATGACTTCAAGCACGTCGGCGGACCCAGATCTGTGTGGACATGCGTAAGCATTATACGTTGCGGTACTTTGTAACGTTGTACCGGCTGGACACGGAGCGATTTCCGTGCTTGGCCACTTTGGCGCCACATGCGGCAGCCAAGATTGCAGCCGAGGTCGACAGGTTCACAGTATTCGCGCCGTCCCCGCCCGTCCCGACGATGTCCAGGGTCTTCACGCCTTCCTAAGTCGTAGCCTAGCTCAACACACGAGGAGAGCATGCATGCATCTCCATCATACCTGCAATGTTACAAGGCGGGCGTGGCGGAGCATGACAGTGACCAGCGTTTGAACTTCCAGCGGAGTTTCGCCCTTGGAACGCAAGAGCGACAGAAAGACACCAATCTGGATGGGATCCATAGCTCCCAATGCAATGGTATCGATGACGATGTCCATCTCTTCTGCCGTCAAGTCTTGGCGCTGAGCTAGCTTTTCCAACACGACCTTCATGGCAGGATGACGATTGGCAACGGAATGGATACTGTAAGTCGGAGGAAGTACGTAACATCGACCCACGACTGTGTTTCTTTTTCTTTTGGTTGGTGCTTTGTTTAGAATTACAGCCAATCAAAATCAAATACCTGCGCTTGCCTGCCGGGTAATAGCCCAAATACCGGCCACGTCATACTACTACACTGTAGTACAACTAACGTTACTACAATACTTCGAAGTATTAGTTTGAATTTGTTCATTTTGTTTTGTATCGATAATTATGCATAACGTTAGTGTGAAAAAATGGGTTCCGACTATTATGATCAGCTATTATGGAATCGGTTGACTCTTCGGTTGGTGATTGGTCGATTTTGATCGACCAATCTATTTTGGGACCACTGTAGTTAAAAACTCTTGCTGCCTCGCACATCACCAAGTATGGTGAGCGATGGACTCACCCGCCACAATGGACGGCCCGGTCGCTCCAATATTGGGCAAGCAGGTAAGGCAATTTCGACTCCGGCCCTTGCTGCAAGCATCGTGAGCAGCGACGACCTGGAGCGCATTCGGCACAACTCGACCATCCTCACGGACAACGACCTTGCTCGCCTTGCCAAGGAAAGCGAACAGTCCAAGCTCGCGTCGAGGGCACAAGCCCAAGACCGCAAGAACCGCATGGTCGAAAAGGAACTCCAAGTTCGCGCGCGTCGCGAACAATACGCGACCCAGATGGAGTTGGACGCCGAGCGCAACTCGGTGCTGTCGAAAGCCGACGTGCAGCGCGTCGAGCACCTGGACGACGTCAAGCACATCCAAAGCCTCGTGGCGAAGGCCATGGCGGTGACGGGCTGCGACGTCCAGCGGCAGGAACAAGACGAGACGAGGCAGATCGAAGCCTCGTACAATCAGCGCATTGAGCGGGGCATGGAAAACGATCGCATCGCAGAGCTCCGGGAGCGGGATCGAGTGGCCACAGACGCGCGAGAAAAGCGTGTGGAAGCCCGCAAAATGTTGGAAGGTTCGATTGTGAAAGCCAAGGGCAACTAACCAACTGATGGGATGTGCCAGGGCAAATCAACGAACGGTTAAAGCAACAGATTCGTGAAGAAGAAGCTAAGGCAATCGAAGCCAAGAAGATTCTCCTCGTGTACAAGCAGTACGAAAAGGAAGAAGAGGCCAAGGTCACTGCCCATCGGGTAATGCACACGCCAACTCTAGTACTCTCGAGCCAATCAACACTCGACAAACGTAGGCGCAAGTCCAAGCGACCATCGCTCAAATTGCAGCTACGAACGAAGACATCAAGGAGATGAAAGCCGAAGCCGCACGACGAGAGGTACACTAGTGGCAACCTTAACGTGCATAGCTTATAGAGCACTATTGATTTCAACGCAACGTTCCGGGTGCTTCACGATGACCATATGTGACACTGTGGTAGGCCCATGAAGAGCAAGTGGCGGCGCGATACCTTCGCGAAAAGGCCAGAGAAGAAGAACGACAACTACTGGAGCATGAAGCAATCAAAAAGTCCAAGGAGCTGCGGGTGGCCAAGTTGCGGGCACAGCAAGAGAAAGCCCAAGACAAACGCATGGCGCAGGACGAGTTCAAGGCGAAAAAAGCGTTTGAGGCGAATGAGAAAGCGATGCGGCAGAAGGAGGCGGACGACCGCGCCAAGAAGCGCGAGACCGCGGAGACCATCGACCGCGAACGAAAGCAGCAGGAATCGTTCAAAGCTGCGGAACGAAGCGCGAACGCCGCGCAGGAGCGGCTGGCCGACCACGTGGCCCAATGTATCGACCAAGAGGTAAGGACGGATGCATGTATGTATGGAGTGCTACATGAATGGCGGAAGTGGCATCATTGGATGATGGGTAGACCCACGCCAAGCGCATGGCGGTGCGCGCCAAGGAAGTGGACGCGCACGCGTCGTACATTGACAAGCTGAACCAGCAATTCCAGGACAACGCTACGAGACGGAAGAACAAGGCGGCGCTCGAAACCAACGAAAACGCGGCGCAGGTGAAGAAAGCGGCCAAGGAAGCGATCATTGTCGACAAGATCCGGCGAGATGCCATCCAGAAGCTGCAAAAGCAGGGCGTGCCCCCCGAGTACTTGCGGCCGCTGCAAAAACTCCACGGGCGCAGCAGCACCACGTCGTAGACTACTGCCTCGCCGAAAAAAAACGCAAAATAACATCATCCACCCATGTATTTTCATCACGTCCTTGTGAAAATACAAAAAGTGCAGCCAAGCCCACCTTAACCCTCTCGAATGGAGTACTATTATACGTCGTATTCTTTACATAAAGTTACTATTAATACAATTAATATTAATAGTAGTATGTAAAGAATACAACGTAATAGTACTTAGTATACGTGAGTACTGACAGTGACGACTTCTAAGAGCATCTCCAACGGCGTTTTTATTTCTATTTCAATTCGAAGTTACGGATATAGAATAGAAACTCTTGCTCTATCCGGAGGGTTTGTTGCTATTTCACGCGAAAATAGAAATTCTGCGGGACGAAATTTCTAAAAAGTCCGGATAGTGTTAAAATAGCAACCGTAAAAACGAAGTTTGACGTTAACCTATGCTTTAGCAATAGGTTAGAATTTACTGTTGGAGATGCTCTAATCAACACGATGTTCAGTTTGACGTTGGCAAAGAAGCTTGAAGGTGACCTTCTAACCAAACCTTGTTGCAGTGTACTATTAGTATTGTACTACGTAGTACTACGTAATAATATTACTTAAGTATGAAGTACACTGTACTGACCGACCATCGACTTTACTCATACGTCACGGCATGGGTTCATAGGGACAATAATTTATTACAGACGAATAGCATCAAATATCGAGCAAAATAGAATAACTGGGGCGCCAACCAAAATCGAATAAATACATGCGCCTTGTCAGCTCTGTAGCCATCACGGGACGACCTCGTGGTCCAGCAGGGACGAGTACTTGGTCTCCGAGTGTGGTGATTGCTGGGGGTGACGTTGGTGTATTTGTTGTGGTTGGGGGTCGTAGTAGCTGCCGCCTTCGCCGCCGCCGCCAGAAGGGGTGGAGCTGTCGCCGTCTTCAGCGTAGTCGTTCCAGGTGGTGGCGGCGGCGCTAGGGGACGCCGCCGACGTAAACTCAGGATCGTCGTCTTCATGTTGGTGGTGGTGGCTGCTGCTGCTGCTGCTACCGGTCGCATGTGCTGAGCGATACGAAGTTAGGGGGGGCACGGGTTCGCTAGCGCTTCGAAATGTGCGCGTCAAGTGCCGTGCGTCATGCACTTGCTGAGGTTGGTGCTGGGGGTTGTGCCGGGTGGGGATGTTCTCGATGTTGTACAGCAGCCAGTCGACCCACTGCTCGTTGCCATGGTTCACAGCATGCCGCTGGGGTTGAAACGGGTTTAGTTCGTCTCGGGGGCGGGGGGCGCCGGCGCCAAGGCTGATGTTCTGGAACGCGCGGCTGGCTTCGGTGGTCGGGGTCGGCTGCTGCGACGACGATTGCTGCTGGTGATGTTGATGATGATGGGGGATTGTAATCGTCGGGAACGGATAGCAGGTGGGGGGGTTGGCGTGTCTGTCAGAGGACACGACGGCGCGAGGCGCGGCATCGTACGCGTCGGATGCCCCGCGATGTTGAAACAGGTGGGTACCACCTGGCAGGTCCTCCTTTTTGCCGTGGAATGAAGACGGGGACCCATACGATCCACCTCCTACCCCCCCAGTCGATCGGCTAAACACCGATGGCTTGTCGAAATGCTCGTTTGGGAGATGGTTCTCGTTCGAGTCGCCGCTAGTGTCGTCGTCGCCCTTCATGAGGTCCGCCGACAGCAGCTTTGTGTGGGGCCCAGCGTCGTCTATCTTTTGAAGCTTGCGAAAATACTTCTGCGCGTGCGTGCGCGTCTGCAGCACGGTGCGCGTGCCCACCGCCTTGGAAATCTTGCGCCATCGATTCAGCACGCCGTGGGGGTACTGATGCAGCCCTTCCACGAACCGATTGTGCTCTTCGCTGGACCACCGCCCCGAGTGAAAGAGGACGCCCGATGGAATGTTCTTGGTCCGCAGCTGCTTTTGCGTGTCGTTGTTGCCTATCTCGGGAAACGACGTGGCGTTCATGATGCCATGGGTGACTTCGTATGCGCCCATGTCTACGGCCGAGCTCGATCGCGGCATCGCGGCGCCGCGTTGCAACGAAGAAGGTGGAGACGGATGCGACTGGTGGTGACGAGGGAACACCAGTCCCGTGGTGACGGCATTGCCAAACATGTCGCCCGTGTGTTCCTTGCGATAGGGCATGAGGTCCATGGACGGGAAGCTGTTGCTACGGCCGACGCGACTACCTCCACCTCCGTCGTGATGGTACGACCATGGCTTGACCTGGTGTAGCTGTTCCTGCTTGCCACTGAACCGATCGTATGTGTGGGATGCTGCTGCTGGTGCATCGTCCTGCATAGACGAGGACCCCGTCGTGTCAAAGCTGGAGCGGTCGTATCCGTCGTGGCTGTACAAGCCGTGGCTCGATGCACTGCCACTGGGGCCGTCGACGAAGGCGGCGGCAGTGTTGTTGATCCCGTCAACCGAGCTGGAAGGCGACGAAAAGTGGAAGCGCATGGACGACGCGTCGTTGGCTGCTGCGGCCGTAGACGTGCCGAGGGATGTGGGGGTGGAGCTATCCATCCTCATAAGATACTTTGACGTAGCTGCACCTTGGCCGTGAGAAGGGAGCTAGCTTTGCAGAAGGATTCGCAGTCGGCTGCTGTGCTGTTGCCTAAATGAAGAGTGCCACTCACCCACTGCCGTATGATATTATGATCGAAGTTCGAAGAGCCAGACCAGCTCGAATACTGGGCCCAAGTGACAACTTGAATTGGAGTGCACCTAACCTTGTTCCGACTCGATGCAATCGAGCGGGCAGTTGCGAGAGGGCGGTGGCGCTGGGCATTGAGCCGAAGCACAGCGTCATAAAACACAAAGATCCTCGGGCTCATAAGTGGACTGCTTATTCCGTTTGTGAAGCTGTGTGATCGTCGTCGGAACATGGGCAGATAAGTATGTACCGGTATGTATTAATACCACTTCGTGACAACGCCAGCAGCGGCCACATCGCTCTGTTTTGTCTCGTGGGCACAACACCGCCCATTATTCTAAGGTGCCCATGCGGACAATAACGCCATGAACCATACGATTGGACAGCGAAGTTTCGACGTGACCAGAACCTCGTCTATTCGTTCGAGTGTGCTCGGGCAATCATACATCCAGCGGAATGAGCTCCGTTTGATGGTGCAGTGTACTTATGGTAAGCTTACCGGTATAGTGTAACAGTAAGTACGTACGTGGTGCACTTGTGCCAAGTCGTGTCCAACTGGTGCAATTTGTACCAAGTGGCGGCTTGGTCAACCCACTTCTCAGCGTTTGGTCAGAGAGGGCTGACATTTGCACTCACAAACCCCCACAGCGACGGACGTGTCGCATCAATGCCGGAGCAGACTTTCATTGACAAATCCTGAAACGGTGCTTCATATATGCGTTAAGAAAGCATTCCATGCCTTTCATCTGGGACAGCTCGCGCTTGCATGGACAGGGAATGAAGCTGAAGTTAAGGCAGCGCAGTGGCGACTTCAACATCAACCAGCCGATATTGCCATTCCCCCCGCCTGATGCTGCTTCTCCCCTATTCTCGAATTAGCTTCGAACTTCGATTCATGGACAGGGGGCGTGGTCCAATCGGAACGCGGTACTAAATTCCCTCTAATCATCTTGATTGCCTTTCTACCGTAGTACCATGGTAGCGATCTGTCTGTGATTTTATTGTTCTCTAAAAGTAACAAAGTGCTATTGTGCTTTTCAGTCATATTTGCCTATTTTGGGATTGATGAAATCGCCAACCAATCGAGAAAAGGAGTATGATTGGCTCCAAAGAATGAAGATTGCAATATGATTGGTTATAAAGGTGGATTGATGCATTGCAGTCACAAAGAAACCTCTAAAACTTCGTTTTATATGAAATTTCAAAGGTTGTTCGGCGATTGTTCGGCGGTTCATTCAACCAAACGGCAACGGAGGAAATTTTGAGTAGAACACACAATAACTCACCACAACAGTATTGCGTCACATCGGCAATGGAAAGTGTACTGATCTAAGGTATTCAAAATGTTTGCGGTTGTGGCAAGGGCGGGCCTATTTTACTGAGCTTGCCTTCGAAGAGACGCGGGTGGTTCTGGTTGAAGGCTACGTACATGGTCTCTTGCCACCAACTGTCATCTTCCTCTGTCACAAAAATGTCCCCTCGAGAGGGGGGCAAAGGTTGGTACTGGTTATACATAACCGGTAACGTCAACTCCAAAGCTTATCGATTTGTGAATACGGTATGGTACATACTCTTCAGTCCACAGAGTAGCCACCACATGGATTGCTTACTGGTAAACATTCATAGTTTTGCTTGGAAGCACTACGGAGTAGTACGCTTTTGCTGCCCTCGACGGGGTACGTGTGGCGGGATTACATTGTAAGGATGCAGTTAGCTTGCACGAGATGATGGTTCAAGCCTGTATGACAATCTGCAACCTTTCACTGGATATTCCTGTTCATTTTACTGTCATTAATTATGACAGTAAAATGACCACAACATGTGAAAATGAATCATTTACTATTTCGTATTAAATGAATGATTTATACATCGTGTGTGCCGGTAAACCTTGGTGGTTGTTCGGATAACTACATATTTTGCCGACGAAGAACACGCAGAATGAACTGGTTCGAGAAAGGATGCGTCCGCGCCGCGCCTGCGTTCAAGCGGCGGACGTCCCAACATGACCTGATGGGTGACATGCTTCGCCAAGGACACTTGTCTCATCGATCGGCAAGCAAGCTCTTTGAGGCTCCCAAATCGACCGTGCTCGAGGTACTATCGATCATAGTGTTGGATTTCATGTTAGCTGACACGTTTGTCATGTTCGCAGCCTCTCCGAACTACCGAAGTGTCGAGTACAGATGCGCTCGAATCGTTTGCGTTACAGGCGTCCCACTACCGTTTCCGTCCCAGCATCTTGCTGCCCTTCGCCGCGTGTGCCAGCGCTTCGTTCGGTTCGTTCCCGTCCATCTACATATGACATGTTTTGGTGACACGTATATAGGTCACATCTTGGGCGCAGTGTCTCCAACCCTGAGCACATCTTACGCTGCGGGTGTCAAGTTGGCCATTGGCGACTACTACAACGACCAGATTCGTGAGATCTATGCCGAACTGCCCGAAGCCCCAGAAGCGGTCCCTTTGAAAGAGGTATCGTCGGCACGCTTGCTCATGTCTTAGACAATTCATGCGATAGCTCTTCAAGACGTTGCGCGATGCGTCCCTTGCCGACGTCGAGCGTTTGTTCCCTTCCATCGAGGTCCAGAATACTCCGTCTCTTCCTCGTTGCTCACTCGCATTCGTGTAGGCGGCCAAGCAAGATGCTGTCGCCCAATATGCTAAGACCATTACCCAAGTATTGCTGCGTCCAGGGTCTGAAGTGTGAGCGCTGATTCAAACACGAAACAAACGTCTTGTTGCATTCGAAACAAACGTCTCATTCAACATAAACCGCACTATGAATCGTACATTATATGTACTAACTAGTACCAGTTAGTTTACCAACAAATGCGGGGCCCCTTGAAAGGATAGACTCATTCTCAAGGAAGCATTGATATCGTGCCACAATACACCCACGGTTGTAGGCGTATTTTGGGATATTAATAGTAGTTTAGAGTGTACGCCGAGGTTCTACGAGTAACTACTTAAGGACTATTATCAATGTGTTGAAGGAGTACTACGAACTATTAGTACTATTAATAGTAGTACTACAGCAGTCTATTCCATGCTGGACAAGATATAGATGCAAAACTCGCTGATGATAGAGTATTTAGACCCACACGTTGTCGTGGGGGTTTTCAATGTACACCCACAGACAGAGCACGCTGAGCACAATCGCGAGCGAGAAGCTGCCGACGACGTTGCCCTGGTCTGTCAGTGCCTTGTGGCTCCACCCAAAGTACGTCTGCAGACTCATGCGGACCATGGGCATGAGCTGGCTCGCCGTGAACAGCCCGAGGAACATGGACCCAAACAGCAGCGGCGTCCCGTGGGTGGTTTCGGCGCTGTTGTACCCCACAAAGAAGCGCACGATGCTCCAAATGACGCCAAATACCATGGCAAAAAACACGAGGATATTGGGCAGTTCCATCGTCGAGTTGCCGCCCAGGGCCCCCGTGTTGGCCCACGCCGCCTCCTTGTCCGTGATCTACATGTTTCAAACGCGTTTCGAACGCGTTTCGAACAACAACACGACCGTACCTTCCAGTAAATGGCGTCAATGACCGCCAACACGTGCACGTACGCATACGAAAACCACGTTTGCTGGCTGCGTAACACGTCATTGTTGTCCACCGTGCGGTTCATCATGGCCGTCAACACCGATTGCACCACAATCTTGGGCACGAGCGCCACCAATAGCCTACAGCGAATAAAAAAACGTAAAAAACGTTCCCATGTGTTCCGAACAAGTCTACATGGGAGTAAAAAACGTAAAAAACGTTCTCATGCGTTTTCCAAACAACACACCAAATATAACCAACACTATGGGCCACAAATACGAGGCAAAATACTATGAAGTCGAGTGTGTGCCTTCAAATAGTGTGAATACATACAACATTCAGTATAACAAATCGTAGGTTTGGGGAAACAGAGTACAAAATTGCATCCAAAGTGTCCGTTGTGAATACTATTCCCCTCTTTTGGCATCTGACGACAAATAGATAGAATCGTCATGCAAAACGCAACGTCGAGTCGTACCGCAAGCCAGCCGTGTAGATGGGCGCGTTGCCGGAGAACAAAAAGTAGCCCGTGATGTAAAAGAAAAATAGCGCCGGGAACGACCCGATGGGGTAGATGGTCAAGTTCATGAAGAACACCCAGCGCATAAACCCATTCACTTTGCGTGGTGGCGGCAGTTCAATGTCGGCCGGCGGTGTCCACGTCGGGTCCACAAGCGACGTTTTCCGCCGCAAGAAGATCTGAAAGTTGCCTTTAGCCCATCGCTTGCGCTGCGCCAGACTGGCCGACACGGTCTCGGGCACGGCGCCTTCTGCGAGTCGGATGCGCTCGCCTTCTTCGCCCTCAAAATCCTTGCGGAAGTACAGCCCCTTCCATCCCTTGTCGATCATGAGTTTGCCCGTGAATGCATCCTCCGTCAACGATCCGTACGCGATGCCGCACACAGAGTCCAGCGCGGACCGCCGAAAGATGGCGTTCGTGCCAGCAAACGACGCGCACTCGTACCCGTCCATGCCCGTCTGCGCCGAATCAAAAAACGTCGAGTTGCGATGCCCACACGGGTCGCCCAGGCGCAACTGCAGGCAGTCTTCAAAGTACTGAGGCGTTTGTACGTAGCTACAGCATAGTTAGTAAAAAAACCTTATATGTTTCGTGGAAGGATATATATATATATGGATCTAGTGTTGGGATTATGGTCGTCTACACTGGAGCGACATGAAGAATACTACGGAATTGACACAACCATCATAAACCAAAGAAGACTCAATCGGCACAAGTACTTGCTTGGCCAATCAGGTCGCAGGAAACTAGTGTCAACGTCGAATTCGTGGGAGACTTCAATTAGTGTAAGATTGCAATCCCTCCACATGACAACTCGTTCGTTGTATACAAAATTTAGTAATAAATCGATCGAGAATCCACACTCAAAGGTGTAAATGGACACAATATGAATACATACAGTGTTGACTCCAAACTACATCAACAACACACAGGTCAACTATATCAATGAACACGACGCAATTGGTGTATGACCAAAATTAGTGTGACAACAATTCCTTCAATACAAACTGCACTGCTAAAAACTCGATCAATTTGGACAAAAAATCTCACAAAATTCCAAATGTTGGCTGAATGTCGTCCATGTATCACCAGATGCAGGGACACGAGGTAGGACCCTATATATATATATATATATATCTTACCCCACTTGGTTATTTTGAACGTCGTCGTTGTAGTGATCGCCCATGGCGAGGGCGTACTGCGCCGCTTCTTGGGTTCCCACAGACGTGCGCCGCCCCATCGCTTTCTTGCATCTACGTCCATATATATTTATTTATATATATTATTCCATCCAAATTCAATCACCACAGCACAGCTTTTCTTTATACAAAACAACTTTAACGAATCGATCGATGTGGCCAATCAACGTACCCAGAGCACGTGCCAGACTTTAAGTCCACTTTGCCGCCACAGGTCGTACAGGTCGTGCGGTTCACTTTGGACGTGCGCGCCTGCCGACGGTGCACCTGCGAGTGCACGTGGTTGGACGCAACGAAGCAGTCGTTGGAGCAGTACGAGATGGTCGCCTCGGGCACGCCGGCCTGCACACACAGCGTGCATGTGATCTTGGCAATGTCTGAGCAGCCTGGCGCCCGGCATCGGAATGTTTTCGTAGACGCGGGCGAGTCGAAGAAGAAGGGCAGCGTTGCTTGGATGAACATCGGGTGCGGCTTCATGTCGTTGTCGAGGATGATCGCATATCGGCCGCACGCCCCTTCGTTGTACAGCACGTTGTTGATGTTCCCCGCTACGAGAAAACACCCATCCACCATGGTGACATATAGTTCAATGTGAGAGATATCATTTTTCAAAAGTGGTATATATCATTTTTCAAAAGCGATATATCATTTCTTTAAAGGGCAAGGTGACGCGACTGACATACCCTTGGAATGATGCGTGGGCGGTTTGAATCGACCGACGTACGTGACACGTGGCAAGCCAGCATACCGGTAATCGTAATCGTCCCGTTCCGACCCGACCGCGCAATCGATGCGCGCGGCCACCTGTGACATACCACAACACGATCACGTCATCACATATTGATCACGTCATCATATATTGATCACGTCATCGCATCATCGTACGCGGGGGTTGGTGGGCGTGGGCATCTTGACCGTTGTGTGCGACTGGCGCCACTCATTCACTTCCATTTCCACGGCGCGCGTGTAGCCAATCCCTTGTCCTTCTCCGTCCAAGTCGAGCACACGCTCGTACATAAAGTGCGCCAGTTCATACCTACATATATATAAATATATATATATATATATATATATATATATATATATATATATCAGTAGAAGCGTACCGGACGTCGCCAGCGTTTTCAATCACACCCTTGTTCACCACGACTTCGGGGATGGGGTTGCCAGGGGTAAACTTAGTTTTGAACCCACCGTCGTCGCAAATGTACACGTGGAGTTTCTCGCAGGGGTAGTCGAGCTTCATGATCGCTTCCAGCGTCGACATCGTGTCCTCGGCCGGCTCGGCGTAGTGGCACAACATGATGTCCACGGTGGGCCACTACGTGTGATGTGTGGATCAGAATCAGGGTAGAATCATAATCAGATGGAATCAGTACGAACCTTGTCTGGGGGGAACGGAGGGTTGAACTCGCGCAGGTAGTGGGCGCCTCGACGCACGGGCTTCCACATGCCGAGATAGTAGAGCGCGCCAAGCAAGATGGAAATGAACTCGGCAAAGTAAAAGCAAAAGTACGACACCCAATGTGCCAACGTGGGTACGCGGAAGCATTGCACGCCCACCATGCCGGCCTGCTTTTTGTAAAAGTCGGGCGGGTTCCACAGGCCGTTAAAGGGCTCGGGGCCGCAGCTACACGATGAGGTGGATGACACAAGGTCGTCACGGCACCCAAGAGAGGACTACAACGACGTACATGGGTTGCTCTTCTGGGATGTATTTCTTCATGATGTCCGAGCAGTTGGCCGTGCGCAGTTTCAAATTGCACGGCTCAATGCCAAGGGGGAACCATAGGACAATGCCGGCCAGTTCGATGAGGGCCGTGATGAGAAACAAAAAGTAGAAGACGCGGTAACTACATTGGGACAAGGAATATGACGAGATGGACGGATGGAAGGGATGTACTGTACAGTACATACCTCGTGCGCCCCTTCATGACGTATTCGCGGACGTTGGGCAAGTGGCGCTGGATCACGTTGCCTGCGTCGTTGGTCATGATCGTCGTCTCGAGGGCGTCGAACCACATCTTGAACTCGGCGTCGGTCTCGGGGCATACGAGCCATTTGCGGATCTTTGTGTGGATCACAAGCCCCTTGGACGGAAGATCCAAGCGGTCGCTTTGTTCCAGCTTGAACGCCGTGCGGAGATCGATCGACCCGATGCACAGCTCGGGACTGCGCGAGTTGAAGTACTTGCGCGCGTCCACAGGTTCGTGGAAGTAGTAGATCTTTTGACCTTCCAAGCAGAAGAAACGGCGGCGCCAACTCTTGGCGCCAGGTCCTACATGCACCAAGCCACCACCATGAGATAGGGAATATGTTGGCGTAACAAGGGGGTCGTTGTCAATCATACCTCGAATGACCCGCGTGCCTTGCTTGTGCATCCATCCAAACACCCGGATCGTGTTCTCGTCCGTGTCGTTAATCACGGGCAATGCTGCCATGTTGGGCGTGTCACTGGTCACGTAGTCCGTGCTGGAAGGGTTGCTTTCTCCATGCAGGAGCTTCTGGTCGGCCGCCATAATCTTGCTTCCTTGGACGAGGAGAGCTTGAAATTGTGAACGCGACGCAATCGCCAGGCGTCAAACTCAAGCACCCGATTTTGTGGAATGATTCGCCGTGCGGTGGCCAATCACGAGCGACCAAGATGCGTTACAGTAATAAAATAGTTCACGGCAACGTAAATACCTTGGGTTTGTATGCGACTCCGGTATGCTTTATTGTATTTGAGCACCTGGGTCGTACCCCGGGGCACAATACCTGCACCTCGTCCCCGCTTCAATTCCCGAATCCGGTGCGTGTTCCGTCCTTGCTCAAAATTCTCCACCCCGTGACTTACACATGTCAGTTTCTTGCCCCCACTAGTAAGTTTTGGCGGCACGGACATGCCGGGGGGACAAGTAAAGCGACAAGAGCCTTACTTAACTCAGGACATTTGAAGCCCCCGTGTGTGCAGGGGGAGGGGCAATGAGGCTTCAGCATGCAGCCGCTGGAAAGCTTCAGGCTCGTTGAATTTACCGTTTACACAAGTTACTGTACCGTAACGTTACAGTGCATTTGCTAACTACTCGATTTTTGAGAATTTTCGGAAATCAAGTCAATAGTGCATTTGCTAACTACTCGATTTTTGAGAATTTTCGGAAATCAAGATAATAGAAGATGGAAAATGGCATGTAAGGTCCAGCTGACGTAATGAATATACCGATCGAGGAAAAGAACTTCCCGCTCCAAGTGGTAACGTTTATGCTTAGGAATCTAATGATCCTCGTTCATGCCGCCACGGTGTGATTGCCAGCCAGATCTCCAGCCTAAGTGAAGCGCTATGAATAATAGCGAGTCTATTTGTCATCGGAGTGACAAATACTGATTTTATTTTGGAGTCCAGTCCGGATACATGTCGCTTCCGGATACTGCGGAGATTTGCATAAGAATCTGACAACGTTGCGAATATGACCTCAACCACACTGTCGGCGACCCAAGAAGCGCTGTTAGACCGACTGGAGAAGGCAAGCCATGGACGAGGAGCGGTGGACGCATTGCCCACGACGAAATCACCCATGTCGTTGAAGCAGTATTACGCGTTGAAGGTGTCTGCAACGCCTCTCGCAACGAACACGCCAGTGCCGCTCTCGACGACGATTCAACAGTTCATGACGAACGCTCAAACGTGCTACCGGGTCTGCGAGACGGTGGAAGAGCACACGGAGAAGTCGTTGGCGTTGCTTCAAGAGATGGAGGACCGCCATGTGTCGGTGAAAACGTTGACAAGTGCGCTGTATGAGAGCTTTGAGACGCTGTTGACGGAATTGGATGCGCTCAACGTCAAGGTGCAGAGTCTTGAAGGGCCGCTGCCGTACTTTACACGCATTTCCTCCATCGCGAAAGCAGTCGGTACGTGACGATGCCTCGTCGTGATGATGCATGCTCATCTTGGACGTGTCCACAGGCGGGAAAGTAGACTATTCGTCCAAGGTCGACGCCACCGGAGCGGCCACGGTACCCATCCAGTTGCTCCTTCCACGATTGACAACATGGCCATAGGTGACGGTGCATGTCCGCCCATATACGTTTGGATCCATCGACCCCACATCCCCGACCTTCGACCAAGGCATCGGCGACATCGACGACTGCGTCACGTTCCTCCAGCAACATGTTCGTGCTAACTTTATGTTTGGCATTTTCGTCACTTGATTTGGTCTGCGGTAGATGGATTTCAAGGACACTTCCATGTACTTGGCCGCGTACGGAGAGCTCATGATGCATGCCCTGCACATGCTGCGGGACTTCGCGGTGGCCACCGTCGAAGCTGCTCGCGACCACGTGCTCACTGCTATTTCTACCCACGTACGTGATTGTCCATAAATATATATATGTGCAAACCCCATAGATTTGGAAATATATGTTGGCACGAATATTGTATTTATCCACATATACATATAGTACATATATATATATATATATATATGCAAACCCCATAGATTTGGAAATATATTTGTGATTGTATTTATCCACATATATACAACCTTAGCCATCGCCGGCGCTCGACTTGGACGAGGCGAGTGTGTACTACCTTCACTTCCACGCATGTGCTCCTGCGTGTCAAGCACTTACCCGGCACTTGGACATGCGAGACACACTACCAGGGTAATATATATATATATATATATATATATATATACGAGCATGGTTTCATTCCTTTCCATACCATTCCGCATATATAGAAATATGTATTTATATTTTCTTCATAAATGCAAAAGCAGAATGAATTCTTGATATCAATATCGCGTGGGTTTCATTTTCATTCCATTCCGCATATATACATAATGTACGCATATATTTATATTTTATGTTTACTTCGAAGTATATACATGCGAAAAAAAGTCGAATGGATTCGAACGCAAACATGTATATAATATATATATATATATATAAGTGCGATACTATTTATTTACTGATATACTCTGTACATTTCCATTGAATCTTTATATACGATATAGGAACGAATCGTTTCTGCCAGATGTGTTGGACACGTACGTGACCGTCCGCACGCAGCTGGTGACGCCAGTCGTGGACGCGTACTTGACCTCTGTCAACCAAAGCACCGACATTGTCAGCTTGGTACGTTATACAAAACATAACATTATATATTTGTGCATACGCTATAAACTTCTAAAATTCGTCTGGTTTGTCGAATCAATATAGAATTATGCTGGAGTTCTGATTGGCTGAATATACTTGTCCTTTCTGTAAGAGCCAATCAAATATATCCACGCAATATTGGATTAACCAATAGCGTGGATTCGCGATTCGATTCGACGGGGTCTGGAAATTCGTATCGAATCCACAATATATATATATGCATATACATATTATCTATTTTGGAACAATGCGTTGATGGGTTTAGAACTACTATATCATAACTGTGGCTTGTAGCTTCGCATGGGGTGTCAATACATGGTACGGCTCTGCCAAGCAGAATACACGCTCTTTAGGCATGTGTTTGGGGTTGTCCCCTCGGCTCCCGTGCTGCAAGTCGAGGACCAAGACGAACACGCATTCCAGTATGTGAAATATATATATACACTAGTATATATTTCCCGCCTGTGACACTACTGTAGACGCATGATCTTCCAGCTGAGCTATTCGCTGTACCACGCCGTGCGGCCGCGAATGCTTCAGCAGCACAACCTGGACGTCCTCTGCGAGATCGTCGAGGTGCTTCGGCGGGAAGTAGTCGACACGCACATCCGACCGATGGGGGACGCCGCCGAGGCCGTGGAGCCAGTCGTGGACCGCATGATCGGAGATGCGCAGGAGCGGTTGATTCTGTGCACGCAAAAGTACCTTCGCGACGAAATTGAAGCGTTTGTACCGACGTTGGCCGACTTGAATTACCCTGACAAGCTGCTCGGTGCGTGTGCTAGTATTACTAGTAGTAGGACTCATGGCATCGCGCGTGGTTTTGGATGTAGCACCGACCGTGTATGCGACGTGGTACCCGACGTTGGAGCACACGTTGATGTGTTTGTCAAAAGTGTACCGTTATGTGAATGTACGTACAGTCTAAACACGATTGGATTGGTGAAAAAAACCATCGTGTAATTGCACTTGTAGATGCACATTTTTGAGGAATTGGCGCAAGATGCGGTGCGAATGTGCACTGCCACGCTGAACATGGCGTCCGCCGACATTGCCGTTGAAAAGGTAGCGTTCGAATATATATATATATATATATTAGCGTCACTTGGACATAGGGCCATTTGGACGGCGGGCTGTTCTTGATCAAACATCTGCTCACGCTACGCGAACGCATCACGCCGTTCGACATTCAATTTGCCGTTACGGAAAAGAACTTGGACTTTTCGTCAACTACGGGTTCGTATCCTAACTAGTTGGACGTTTTCCCCCGTTTTAGTTGGTGAATTGTATTTGAAAACACATATATGTAATATTGATTTGGTCTACACTTTTAAAATTCGCGCGGTTTGTCGAATCCATATGGAATCTTGCTGGAGTTCTGATTGGTTGAAAATATCCATGTCCTTTCTGTAAGAGCCAACCAATCAAATCCACTCAAAATTGTATTAGCCAATAGCGTCGATTCGTGATTCGACGGGGTCTGGAAATTTGTACCAATTCCACAATATGTTAAACGTGGTTTTCCTGTTGTTTAGATTATACTGTATATTTGGCCATAATATACGATATGCTTGTAGTCGTTCGTTCGTTTTCAAGTGTTTACCTGTTTTGTGTTAGATGCGATGGGTAATATCCTCAACGGTAACATCTTGGCCGATGCATTTACCCTCTCGGTGGACAATTCGATCCTGGGGCTGTTGACACACGGCATCCCCCATGTCCACACGACCACGTCGGACGTGAAAAAAGTACGATTCTCTAGAATATATATATATATATATACCGATGGCCAATGCATATATTCACAAGGCATTGTGGGGATAGGACTTGGAGCACGAATTGAAGAAAAGCTGCACCGTGTTTATTGAACATGCCGTCCAATACGTGGCGGCTCCCCTCGTCGCGTGGCTGCACAAGGTATAATATATATATATATATATTTGCGTTTGATACTATACGAGGATGGAATATATATATATATATATATATATATGGACAAAACGAATGGCTGAAAATGATATTCATAGGCCAAGGCGGCAGCGTTGAAACAACCGTCCAATCCTACTTCTACTCTGCGGACGCAGCTTGGATCTCCAGGTCAACCACCAATGTCCATTAATATTATGAATAATATTGCTCCATTTGAAGTCCTATAAATATTGATTAATATTGCTCGTTCAGAAGTCGCATAATTGTGCTCATGGTGTCCTATGTGTTAGACACGATTCGAGCCATGGTGATGCAGTTGCATACACAATTGGAATCGCATTTGCCCTATGTGCAGGACAAAATCCATGCGTATTTGGCGAATGCGTCGACGGAATCCATTTTATTCAAGCCCATCCAAGTAATAACTAGTACTACCTTTACTAACCCTGTGGTCCTAGTAGTAGTAGTAGTAGTAGTAGTAGTTATGAGATACTAGCACATGCCGTCCTAGCTCACTGGCATGCTGTGTAGCTTACAAATGTATGGACTCACGACTGAATGTTCGAGTAGACGGGCCTAGCGGATGTGGTGGAGCAGCTCCAGGGCATTCTCGAGAAAGAATACAGTGCCCAAGACCGCGCAGTATGCGACGCCGACGTTCAAGCACTCATGCAGCGAATTGTGCACGAAATGTAATGGTTGTGCATGCTAAATTTACAATAATGGTTGATGATATGATGCAGCAGTATACATGGACACGCTTGGCACTTGTTTACTACGCCGTTGTATCTACAAGTTCCTCCGTCGAGGGAAAATGCTAAATTTAACTCCACAAGGGGATCGACAAACCAGGCGAATTTTGGAAGTTTATAGCGAATTCACAATAACTACTATGTATATTGTCGATTTGATGCACATTTGGGAAGGGGGTGCAATCGAATCGCGCCAACCAAACCGATCCACAATCGATCTGATTGGTTGAATTTCATGGAGAAGGTTTTAATTGGTTAATAATTTTGAGCTCATCTGAAGTAGCCAATCAAATCGATTTAAATTCCAACGAGAAACCACGCCACAACACGAAATTGCACTCGAAAGCACAATAATTCAATCTTTAAAAAATTTGCTTCAAAAACCGTTCGGATGATTGATGCGTTACCTCCGAATTCCGAGGAAGGTTGTGTGAGTGTTGTTCGAAAACTAATTCGAAATTCGACAGAAACCATATGGCACGTCGAATTGTGCTGATCCATGGCTTGCGGCACTCGCCGCCGCCGATCGAGGCTGCGTTCCGGAGGCTGTGGCCTCAGGCACAGTTGGTGAACCTCATGGACGACTCGTTGGCGGTAGACCTGGTGCAATGTGGCTCCGTTGCAGGAGAGCCGTCCCAACTGCATCCATCGATTCTCCAGCGCTTCTTCGCACTGGGTCGGTATGCGACGTCCACTGGAGCCGACGGTATTCTCTTCACGTGCTCGGCGTTCGGGTCGTACATTGACGCCGTCCAAGCTGACCTTCCATCGCATCTACCTGTACTGAAGCCCAATGAAGCCATGCTTCACGACCTCGCCAAGATCCCGACGGACGTGGCCTTAGTCGCGACCTTCGCCCCCACTCTGCCATCCATGGTCCAGGAAATCAAATGTGTTGCTCCCGACACAAAGGTCGTTCCATTGCACGTGCCGGGTGCGTTGGCAGCGCTCGACGGTGGTGACGGCGATATGCACGATGCGCTGATTTTGGAGGCGGTGCAGGAGCTACTGGCACAGCGACCTGACATCCGAGGGGTAGCTCTAGCCCAGTTCTCCATGGAGCGAGCCCAGCCGCTACTCGAACATCACCTTGACGGAGTTGCCGTGCTTACCACACCATCATCCGCAGTGCGCGCGATGCATGCCAGATTAGGCTGAGTACACTGTCTGCCTTATTGTGTAAGCATTGCTGGTCATTGGCAATGACCACCAATTTGGTTATATGCAACGCTACCCGGTAGCCTGTGAATGGGTGGGTTTTCCGGTACAGTACTACACTCTCATTGCGCAGACCTGAGCTTACAGTCAGTCGTTGGCAACGGTCCAGGAACAACTACGGTATGGTACTAGTAAAATGGCACCGGGGTAGTACTGCCACCACAGAACTGAATAATTCCCTCATTAACAGTTATACTGTTGTTTAGAAGGCGAATTTTGGAAGTTTATAGCGAATTCACAACACATCCGGATACACCTTTTCGCCCTGTAACCTGGGACTCCGTCCAACCCCCGGTGAGTACATATACGATGCTAAATCTCCGGGGTTAACTGCATCGCTAGTGGTTAGTCAACCACTGAGATGCACTTAACCCCTAGTAAGAGGTGAGGTGGTCTGGGCATACAAAGTTCCATATAAACCTCATTGAAACAGTATTCTGTATGGACAAGCAAGCAAGCTTACGTTGTGAAGGGCAAGTTGCAGCGTATTTCGAAGTAAAAAACAACTTGCGGTCGACCAATCAATTCACTGCAACAACTACCGTATGCGAAGGTGAAGTTGTGAATGTCACTAATAAAATAACAGTAGCATACCACCAAGTCATGACAAGGGACAGCACCGAGGCGACATCCGAGGAGGAGAGGGTGCGGAAACGTGTGTACTTTAGAGAACGCAAGCGCATTCTCCGCATCAAGCAAATAGCGGACCGACAAGACTTGGAAGGTACAATCATGGAACTGACCGAGCGGCTCCAAATGTTGCAGCTACGAAGTCGCGCACTGCGGACGCCGCCGACTCCATTGTCATATCTCCAGTGGAAGGACGTCGCCGCAGCCATTCAAGAGGGCCGGAACGAATCGATTGCCGACCACCGCAAGTTGAATCAGCTCGTGTTTGTATCCAAATCCACCATCGAAAGCATGAAGCGATGGGTTGAGTCATCGTTCGCACCTGTGGCCGTGCGTAGGACACCTTCGCCCTTCCATATTGGCTTCTTCGCGTTAATGGTGTAATAGGCCTCGCTAGACCCACATCGCGAGTCCTGGCGCCACTCAACCCTCCTCGCCCCCGCTGAGACGAGGAACCTCGGCAAAGAGTGGATTGTGTTGCAACTGTACCATAACACCGCCGCGATGTTGGCGAAATTTGACTTCCCTCCCCATCCCACCGACCTCCACGACGCCACGTTTGAGTTTGAAGCGGAGCAGCATGTGCAATATCAACGGCGGTGGCAGACTGGGTTTCCCCAGGACATGGCTACGATGCTCAGAGTGTTCCGCGATCACTTTCCTTCCATTTGTCTCTTGGACGAGCTGTATCCAGTGTCTACGAGCCAAGTACGTACATACCTTGACTTTCGCGACATACATATATATATATATATATATATCCATGTAATCAATCATCTTCACGTTTCCAACATCGTCATCCGTAGACCATTCGGGAACCAAACACGTGGACCCAACTGCATCAACTCGAAACTCACCACCACCACCGCCAAGAATGGGTGAATGCATTGACGGGCCAATTCGTATCTGATGACCGGTGTGTGCTGGTGGCTCGGCAGATCCAGCAAGACGACTCGATCACTCTACCGATAAACCATCCGCAGCGAAACATGCTCTATTGGTATGACTTCCAATGACAGCTCTCTCGCCCCGACACCACCGGCGTCCCCCACTAACGCTCCGAAGGCTACCTACCTGTACACATGTTTACAACCCCGTGACTACTAGGTTGGAGCTGATCCCGGACGGCGGCGGCGGTTGCCGCATGAGGTCTCTGTTTGTCATGTCGCATCGACTGAACAACGACAGATCGTTTGTCTCGTTCGACGAAGAAGCGAGAGATGGATGGGGGTGTGACCTCCAAGGGGTACCCGTGGGACAGCGCGAGGCTGTGTTTCGACGGCACGGCGCCGCACGCGCGAAGGTGCTGCAGGCTGAATTGGAGCGACGGCTCCAGAATCACATTCACGCAGTAGTAGCGGCAGCTATAAGGGAAACATAGATACTAATGCCAAACACTTGGCCTTTAAGAACACCAAACTCTATTTTGGTCACGATTTTCTACTATCTATATATTTACTACTGGTATGTACAGTGTACAACTGTTCCTGACTTGGAATTTTTGAGTATAATACAGTATCGCAGGGGAATATCCTGGGGTTTTACCAGCGGGATGTACGTAGCTTGAAAGCTCATACACACAAAGCGTACTGCAAGATGGACGGGCACTCGTGTCGCAGGAAGCGAAGTTGTCAAACTTGGGTGAGGCTTGATTGCTGAGTACACTTTGTTTAATACTACTAGTGGCGTTAGTAGTACTTGTATTATACCCCCCGCTTCACAGTCAATACCTATGAAAATATGTCAGTGAAATCTGATCTGATCGAACCGGAGAAATCATAGGTACTGAAGCGGGGGGTATACGGTACTGTAGTACGGCGGCACCATATATGACGTTGTGTGCGACAGAGTTTCCATCCAGAAGGTGGTCAAGACCATATGATTATATGGAGGAGAATATGCAAGGTCATTGATCGTGTGTTATTAATCTATGTGAGGGTATTCGCTTCAAGAGACGACGCAATGTGTTGTCTCCCGTAGTACATGTTGAGCTGGACGGCAAACCTACCGTGATCGAGGTCAGTTCCACACGATCAAGTGAAAGTTGGTTGCCCCATTCGTACCCCTCATTGGGCTGGGCTTGTGGCCTAACTTGGCGGACTAGTGCCAAGGCAGATTCGTACGACATGTGATGTGTGGCTATAAGGTAAGCTACCACAGCGGTCGTCATGGGTTAGCTGGGATGTGGTTGCTGGTGCTGCTACCTATGACGAGTGTCGCTGACCGCGATTTTCCTGCAAAGCAATGCACCAGCACTTTCCCCCCCACTAAACCCCTTTGTCCCGCGATGTAAATCCACTTTTTCTCGTACATTTTCGTTACCGAGCAATGAACGCATTTGAGTCGTCGAAGAAGTTGACGATTCGGGCAGAGCACACGTCGCCGATGCTCACGCGAAAGTACTCAAAACGACGACTCGACTCGAAGGCGGGTTGAACTGTTTCGGACACGACCAAGATGTGCGTGATTCCCTACGAGGAAGTAGTCATTGACCAGCAAGTACCGCCAGAACAGTACCAATTCAGATAGTGCGGCCCAGTTTGCACCGGCCCCAACGGAGCCAATGTACAGCCCACGCAGCACTTCGGCCTACAGTCAAGTGTTGAAATCGCAATAGCGTCACCATACATATGTGAGTGTAGGATGTACTGGTTGGTTGTCGTGCTCGAGGTACTTCTGGGTGAGCATGCCATGCCAAAACTTGTGAAATGCACCTACACGCGGCGATTCACTGTAAGAATGATCTTAGGTCGCGTGAAATCCTTCGACTAGTATCAGTTAACGTTATACTACTTAGTACCTGTTTTCGTACGCTTTGAGCCTGCTTCCGGTGGAGACCCTTGTGGCTCGTTCTGGGCATCCATCACAGCGCCGCCAACAGGTAATTTGTTCGATTGTTGCGAAAGTATTAACTAATGTCAGCATTTGATATGTAACGAATTCAGCAATTACTCCGGAGTACTCCTCAAGTGCTGAGTACTGTAAGTTACTGTAGTACCAGTGTAGTACATTAGGTACTACTCCCTGTCCAGTGCTTCATACTCGGAGCACTACGTAGTATATAGTACCACTGTAGTAGGTGGCAGAGCCATCAGAGATGACGAAGGACGGCATGTTCACAGCAATATTGTTTGCGTTGAACTTGCCATTGTTGCGCCCTACTCGCGTCGTTTCACTGGCCAATCAGATGTCGCATTGACTGGTACTAATCGAAATGGGCCAATCAGAACCGCCGGATTTTGATGAATGATCGTGCGCGGCATCTACATCGGGCACTAAGATGAGCGAAGGCGTCCACTGCGACGTCGAGATCCAGGTCGCACTGACGGCCATGGGCCAGAACTCGCCGTCGAAATTCGTTCGGAATGCCCTCCTCTGCCAGCGAAATGGTGGCTTGCAATTGTTTGGCGACCGATACAAAACAGCAAATTCAAACGGCATGGTGTTGAATGTACTATGCAGTTAGCTCGCCGTCGTCATGATCATCTTCATCCTTTCGTGATCTCTTATCGAGAGTACTAGTGTACTTTAGCTACGTCTTGCGTGGAAATATCACGTTCAATTGGTTCGTTCATGCATTGGCAACAACTTCCAATATGTAGTCACAACATGCGCGCGACGCGGCAATTCACCCAGTACAATTGCCACAATGGAGATCCCAAACGAGATGCAGCAGCTGCACTTAGCCATGGCGCGATTGCCAAGACAACCATGCCATGTCCTGTTGCAACGCTATGTGATACTATTGAACGATTAGATTATGTACACGTAAATTTGGCATAACATTACATCGCTTTGCGGGACACTTGGCCACAGATACACTAAACGTGCGTGCGATGGATCGTCGCCATGATCCAACGCAACCCGGTCGCGCTGGTTTTTTCGGTAATAAATCACGACTAGACCAGTTAGAGATCGATCGGATGAAACTAGGCGTGATTTATTTCCAAGCTCGGTCCTCTGTCGTCCGTGCGTTCGTTCGTTCGCTCGTGTTTGGCACTTTTGCTGCATATGGTCGCCTGTTTGAAGCAACCGCACGACATTTTCGACAATCCACTCGATTATTTCTGCTGATTTTGAAGGGCGATTTCTACCAAGTGCGTGAACCTCCCTACCTAGATGGGGATATTGTACTATATATGTGAAAGTAGTTCATCGTTATTGTACTTAGCTGCCACCGGTGGCCCAAGATCGTCAGCCCCGCCTTTGCTTTGACGTGGCAGCGTGGAAATGGTTCAGCATATTCAGCACCCTTTCCAATGGTCTCTAGCATGTACAGTACGTTGATTATGGCATGCTGTTTAGTGGCATTTCCACATGCATCGACCAAGTGTTTGGTCACGCGGACTCGGCGTTTGTGGACATGCTCAATTGTGTGGGTACCCACACTACGGTACGTACCCTTGTTCTAGTGTTGAACGAACGTTGTCTCATATTTTGCACAAGGCGAGGCTGTCCTAGTTGAATCAACGCGCCGCCGTCCCCGATTGAAAGACGATGGTCCAAGTACTTTGGCACAAGGATTTCTAGCTCTAGAATAGAATCAGCCAATCATAGCGTATATAGGGTTTGGAATAGACCAATGGGATGCCTTGTTGGCCAGCGCGGGAACACACACGTTGATTTGGATTCCATGGCATCGACACGAGTAGCACCCACCAACGGCAGTGCGTTCAAGAGCGACGAGCCAGTGGGCATTCGATGCGACGTGGAGATCCAGCTGGCCGTTACCGGCCCTGGCCAAAGCGGCACGGGCAAGAACGTGAGCTCCACGACGCTGCGAAGCGTCGTCTTGTGCAAGCGCAAGGGCGGGCTGCAAGTGTTGCGCCAGGATTACAAGGCAGCCATCCGAACCCTCGGCGTGGAAGGTACGTAGTTGCGTCACATCAAGAAGAATCTGCTTGGGTTTCTGAACACGTATGACTTGTTGTAGTGTTCTTTGGGCAAGTGGCCAACGGCAAGCTCACGTTTATTCGGTAAGGGAGGACTACCATCCATCACAGACGTGGTGGTATATGGTATGATCGTACATACATCGTTGTAGACGGGAGTTCCAAAAGTATACTCAGTACAACTTTTTCAACGGAAGCCCCCGCGATATGGTCGAGCTGAAGGACTTTGCATTGAGCCAAGGCGGCATCGCCAAATCGAAAGCCATCTCCACCACCCACAGGTCGGATGAGTTGATTCCGCAAGCCAAAGCGAAGAGAACCACGATCATCGACAAACCAGTGGCAAAGAAGGCACGCACTACAGCCACTTCCACGAACGTACGATGTATATATATATATATTTCGATCTGCTTTTGCGTCAGTACTATATATTTATTGTACTGTATATATTATATTTGACATGACGTTTTAGTACATTTAACCACTACTCGTCTTTGTATAGTATGCTCCATCGTCGTCCCCAATGCTCCCAGAACCTGAGCGCAAACTTACCATGAAACAAGCCCAAGTACGTACATATAATTTATATATATATATATATCTCGCTGCTACCGACTTGTATTGGTGATGGCTTGACAATGACGTATACATGGAATGTGGTCCTATATATATGGAATCTGGACCAAGTGTATGGTTATTTTAGGTTCTGCAGGCCATTCAAAAGAAGGAAAACGTGTTTTTCACAGGACGTGCGGGCACGGGCAAGTCGTTTCTGCTCGGTCACATCCGACGCGCCATGCCCAAGCAAGGTCTGTTCCTGACTGCGACCACGGGCATCGCCGCCTTCAACATCAGTACGACGACACACGTCATTCCAGTGGACCGATTCAATCACGCGTCGGGTGGTTCTTCATTAGATGGCATGACGTTGCATCACTTTGCTGGGTTGCCTCAAGTCGACACGTTCGATGTGACCATGTTGATGGCGGCTGTGCAGCGCAACCGCCAAGCGCTTATTCGGTAAGTGGGGCAGCACATGACTCGTTACTATCTTAGCTACTATAAGTTCAGTGTTGGTTTTGCAGTACTAGTTACGAGTTGGTTTTGCCTTGCTCGTGACTAGTTAGTAGGCCTAGTTTTCAACAAAGTCGTCGTTGATTTAGTCGTTTCTTGGTATGTAGGTGGCGCGATGCAGTGCTGCTGGTGATCGACGAAGTGTCCATGCTTGGTAACAGTGATTTCTATCCTTGCCATGTCGCAGTATATATCTTGGTTGTTTTGCTGTCATATACTAGTAACTAGTACTTGGTTGCATTGTTTACACTTTTCTCGAAATCGAATGGCGCGTTGGACACTCGTGAACAACAGTTTGTCATATTGTGTAAATATTCGCTATAAACTTGCAAAATTTGCGAGGTTTGTCGAATCAAAATAGAATTATGCTAGAGTTTTGATTGGTTGAATATACTTGTTTTTTCTCTGTAATAGCCAATCAAATCCACTTAAAATTGGATTCGCCAATAGCGTCGATTCGTGACTATTCGATTCGGCGGGGTCTGGAAAAATCCACAATAATATGTCGATCTTATTAGATGGTCAAATGTTTGACGCCTTGGAAACGATTGCGCGCATCGTGCGGCAGTCCAAGCTCTTCTTTGGCGGCATTCAGTTGGTCCTCTCGGGGGATTTTTACCAAGTAAGGCGCCCCCATAACCTAGTACTATTACTAGTACTACTACTACGCATGCGACATCGCGTTGAGTATATTTTGTATGCGGCATTACAGAGTACGTTGTCGTGTCCACTTGTAGCTGCCTCCTGTGACAAAGGGCGAGCCAACGTTCTGCTTTGAGTCACAAGCGTGGCAACGGTAACGATGTCACATATAATACCTGTCATGGATGATGATCATGTATATATATCTGATCTCCTTGTAATCTTGTCGTCCGACGTCTTCTGTCTCTGTGACGATGTTTTAGAGGCATCAACACGTCCATTTGCCTCGACCAAGTGTTTCGTCAGTCGGATGACCCCGAGTTTGTCGCGATGCTCAACGCCATCCGAGTGGGCACGCACACATCGGTACCCATTCTTTTCTGAGTCTACTCCGATATATCACTTTGCAGACGGTCTCCCTTGTTTCTGATTCTGCTCCGATATATCAGTTTGCACCGTCGGACTGCGACTGATTGTGTATGTACACCCGTAGGCCATGATCAAGACCATCAATGCTCGATGCGTCGACCGTCGTCGGCATTCGGCATCGAATGAGGCGATTCATATCTTTTCGCATAACGCCGAAGTGTTGGCGGTATGAAAATGCATTGTAAATCCTAGTATCGACGAGGACTGTACTGTTGCTGTAGATGAACAATGCGCGTTTAGAGCACCTCGACGGAGACATCCATGACTTTTTTGCGATTGACACGTACGTTACAACTACCATACTGTATCGCAGTCCCCTCTACAATTCTATGACTTGGGATATGCAGAGGCGACAAGGGTTTGCTCAAAGGATCTCCCATCCCCGTCCGCATCCAGCTCAAGCGTACGGCCCTTTGCCCTATCAGTGTATAGACATCCTTCGTGTGTAGAGGGCGCCCGCGTGATGCTGACCAAAAACTTGTCCGTTGCAGCGGGCCTTGTGAACGGGTCGCGCGGCGAGGTATGTACACATGATAACGTCATAACGATGATACAGTCCCATCCTTGTATGGGTCGACGAAAAGGGCAATAATCTGGTCACGGGCTTATGGGGTTAGGTGGTCGGGTTTGCCTCGGGCACGAACCTGCCCATCGTTCGTTTTGACCACGGGGTCACCCATCCCATCCTCAAGGAAGGCTTCAGCGTCGTGGCCAACCACACAGTTGTGGCGAATCGTCAGCAGGTACGAACTAGTATTACTCGACTTGACTACTGTACCATCTCTAGTATATGTATTAGTATCTCTCTCTGGTCGGAACTTCATGGTATTGCCATGAGTGTAGTTGCCACTGACACTGGCGTACGCCATCAGCATCCACAAGAGTCAAGGGCTAACATTTGACAACGCAGTGCTGCACCTCGGCAAAGTGTTTGAGTATGGACAAGCGTACGTGGCACTCTCTCGGCTGTCGTCCCTTGCAGGTAGTACATACATACAGTCAGACACTGTCACATATTGTGTCTGTCCTGGCTCAGGCATGGAGTGCATATATATATAGGACTGACGCTGGCGTCGCCGCTATCGCATCAAACCATTCGCGTGCATCCTCGGTTGCTTGTGACCGACGAAACGTTCTGCACCATCAACCAAGACTGCGCCGTAGCTACAGTAGCTAGTACCTCTACAACGCCATAATCAAAGTACTACCCTCTCGTTCGTTGGCCCATATCGTTCGTTATTCATAGTTGCTGCTACGAATGTGTGTGTGGGGGGGGGTTGTGTGTGGGGGGTCGAGTTTGAATACGTTACGCTTGTGAAACTGTACGAAACCACAATTTACGGCTGTACTTGTGTGGGGGATTCCTACTTGGGCCTTCAATACATCACCATGATGGATGACGGCGACAACATGATGGACGAGTCCGGCGGCTACCAGGCGTACCGTGAACGGTCCAATGCGACCGTTGCTACACGCAATGGCCCGCTCTTGCGCGTGGTACGTCGGCTACACATTTGCACTTGTATAAAAGGCAACTTGCCCAGCGTTGATGGGAAAAACGAACTACACACTTGTCTTAACTACCACGTTGGATATTCCTTGTGCAACAGCAGCAGCATTGGATAGCTCCCTGGCATAACCCTGGTGGTTGGTCGGTAGATTCGGCCTCCGAACGATCAAGAAACGGACTCGAAGCGCACCGAGTTGATTGTGAATGCCGAGGAATTGCTTGGCCATGACATGGAGGATCTGAAGGACGCGACGCACGTGCGCAACTTGGAGATCCAAACGCACTTTGTATGTCAACCCCCCCTCCCCCCCTTTGATCTCTCTTGTATTACCACCTATCTAGCTAGCCACACGAATATACGACCACTTCACCGTCTTGTACTCGAATTCACGACCGTGATATCCATACAGGACGCCATCAACGAGCGCAGCCGGCACTTTGAAGAGAAACTCGGCGCCGAAATGAAAGCCCGCGACGAGTCGATCGCGGAGCTCCGCGCGGGCGTCATGCGGGCGTTCGAAGGCGCGTTTAGTGCGATGGAGGCCAAGGCTGGCGCGGCGTTCGACCTGCGCTTGAACGACACGATCCTGGCCCAAGACACTAGGGAAACCAACGTGCAAGTGCACTTTCACGAGTTTATCCACGTGACTGTGCCGGGGATCATCGAGGCGCTGCAAGGCACGGTCACGCGACGGTTGGACAAATCGCATGAGACATTTGACATTGACAACACCAAACTGGTGAAACGAGAAAAGAAAATGACCAATCAGGTCGAGTCCCACGAACGCAAGACGGCGCAGGCGTTCATGGACGAGAAGGACCGCCGGTCGACGACGTTCATAGCGCTCCAGGAAGGGATCCACACCACCATGCGAACGGACGACAGGCAGGTCCGACAATCAACCAACCGGTTAACAGACTTGGTCGAATACGAGAATGTATGTATGTGAGTAGGCGGAGAAGAAGCAGAATGGCATGATCGACACGATTGTGGCCTTGAAGAGCCAGTATGACGAAGAGCGACGGGTGCGCGAAGCGGAAGACGCCGAGCTGCTCGAGAAGGTGTCGAGTGCGATGGAGCGGTTACACAGGAGCATCTTGGACTCGTTTGGCGAAGTAAAGGACATGGACGACGGGCATGGTGTTGGGACGACTCCTGGCGATCACAACAACGGAGACTAGAATTCGATATTCCACATCATCTTTTTATTCTGCGTCCAGACGAATACAAGGGACAACAATGCACATTTGCTGCTACTGGTACCATGACCACGTCGATAACCCGAGTTAACGAACTACCTACGCAGTCCTCTTCCAGCGGCGGCAAATGGGCTAGCGCTACCCTTGTGTCCACTCGAACATCCCAGTCAGATTCAAAGATAGACCGCTTAGTTGGTGGCGGCCTTCTTGGAGACGGCCTGGCTACCTACAGGATGGAGAAATATGGGGATGAGTCACTGTTGATGGGGCGGAGCGAGGGAGCTGGCGGAGAGGTATATAGATAGATACATGCTGTATACACACACATACCTTCACGGAATCCGTTCTTGAACTTGCGGGGGACAGTCTTCAAGTAACGCATGCGGCCGGTACCAGTGGTGCGGCGGCGGAGAGCCTTCACGGACCAGTTGTACTTGCGCAACTTGGCAGCGGGGTAACCGCACGAGCCGCACGTCGACTTTTGGATGTGGTAAGAAGACTTGCCACAGCGACGGCAGATCGTGTGGGTCTTGTTGTGGCGCTTACCGTAACTGGAGGTACCTTTGGTCTACAAGATACAAGCGGATGAGGGCCTTGGTTCTGTCTGTGGCATGCCTGTGTGGAGTCGAACTGGTGCCTGTGCAGCCAAGTGGGTCCGGTATGACATCATGCTGCCAGTTCCATGTCTCAAAGGAGCGACGACATGGTGGTCATACATGTGCAGCCATGGACACTTTGCACCAGGACGACACACACACACACACATGCATGGACGACAGAAGTCGCATCGACGTACCATTTTCAGAAGATGGGTTGGGAATCCGAGTGAGTAAACTGCTCCTGAATTGGCCCACGAGGTTTCCACCAGTCAAAATGTGCATACTTTCGGCTCCCTACACACCAGTCAACAGAATGCACCAATCAGAGGCCGTCGTGAACCTTTCACTTTTGATATTGTACTCGGCAGAGCATGATATCAGCCAATCAAACCACCGGAATGGCCAAGTGTACCCTGTGAAATGAAATCCTTTATAGCCAATCAGCGACGACCCAAGAAATACTGTAGCATTTGATTACCTGTATATTATATAGTTCCTGTATAATAGAATACATTGTCAAACCAAGTTCCAAAGTAGTGTATCATGCTCGTGCCGCCTTCGCCATTACCGCCCCATGTGGACTGGGATGGATTGACATCGCTGTCCACAGCACTGGACGCACTACGTGATCTCATGCTCTCAGACGTGCTGCTGGATGTGCCCATATTCGTGATGGGTCAACCGCCGTTGTTGTTTGCAGCATCCATGTACGACGAGGACATGGCGATGCTGGTAGATGCCATTGCGCCGCATATGTCGAAGTAAACTCACGCTGGTTATCATGGTATAGATCCTATCACAGAGACATCGCATTCCCGTGGACGTGAACGTTGTGGACAACCATGGCTTTACAGCGCTGCATTACGCAGCAGACTCGGACGCCGTCGACTTGGTTCGAGCGTTGCTGGAGTGCCCGGACGTCGACGTGCACGCCACGACAGAAGATTTGTCTGTGCTTGGACACGTCGAGAGTGGTGGACGGACGCCACTGCACCTTGCTTCCTTGCGAGGCAACCTCGCCATTGTCGAAGCGCTTGTCCTTCATGATGCGTCCGTGCTGTCGGACGTGGATTGGGACGGCAACTCGTCCCTTCGTCTCGCTCAACTTCACGGCCGCACATCCATTCAAGAATTCCTTCAAGTACCTAATCATTCAGTTATCTGACAATTGCATTACTGTATCTCATGTCTGACAATTGTATTACTGTATCTCATGGTTTGTAGTCCCAAGAATGTTCACATCTTGTTGTGCCACCACCCTCCGTCGAAAGTTGTTTGGACCACGAAAAACGAACCCAACAAACTGTCGCCGCGGCTCGATACGCTTCCTCTTTAGCGGTAGGTACCTATCCACCTACCTGTACTAGTACCTACGTATCAACTACTGACAGTATGTACCTATTCAACGATATACTATATGAAGTACTACCTAATATCAGGTGGAATTAGGTACCTGCCGCTTTGGCCAACGTGCACGTGCTCCGGTCCATCCTGACTATTGACGAATGCAACTACGTCACGCAAGCCTTGATAGCGCACACCAATCGAGTGGGCTGGCAGACCAAACGACACACGGCGTACCCAACGACGGACCTCCCGAGCTACTGCCTCCCGCAGGTGCATCTATGGGTACTAGCCACGTTGCGGTACGTAGCACTCCATCTCTCGATTCCTCACACTCTGAAGCTCGCGGCTGTTTCCTGCGATTCGAGCGGCGTACGGCGGCATGACTTGTGACCTGTCGTTTCGCGACTTGTTCTACGTCAAGTACGAACGACGGCCAGGCGATGGCAATGTGCAAAATGCCTTGGGGCTGCACTGTGACGGATCCATCTTGTCCTTCAACGTGCTGCTGAACCCCCGCAGTGCGTTTGAGGGCGGGGGCACGTTCTTTGCAGACACTGCCGCCACGGTACGGACGGTTGTCCATAGTGTGTGGATTAGGGTTGTTGTTTTTGTCGTTCACACTATATAGACACACATTCCGTTGGTTCCGAACTACACACGATGAAAAGTCTCTAACCAAACACGGGATGGTGGTGCAGGTGCACATTGAACAAGGAGACGCGGCGGTGCATAGCGGCCGAGTGGTGCACGGCGCTGCACCAGTCATCGATGGAATCCGACTCATCTTGGTTGGGTTTCTCAACGTACGACAACGATGTATGACGAAGTAGTGTATATTTTGGTCTTATAGACTTGATATCGAAATTACAAATGAGTCCAAGTGTTGTTCAGAGGCCTCTTTGGTCGAGTTCCACCCAATCCAGCAAAAGTAACCTGCAGAGTTTTGATCCACAGGAACACAAACTATATCACCACTGCCTCAGATTTCACGATAAGTACGCTATGATGGGCCAGTACTGTAGTGAGGCTACGATATAGGGTGACACTACTAACGATTCCCGCTGTCATATGGTACGAAGGTAGCAGAGTGCTCTACGTGCTGGAGCCTGACTACTGCCAAATGCTATTCTAACTGATTAACTACGTACAGGAGTAGACTAACACCTACCAGGACAACTAACTAGCTACTGTAGGACCTGCAACCAACCACGTCTGTCCTTGTATGCTTTATTTATAGGAAATGTTTCACTGGGTAGCGTCGTGCACAAACTCCATGGCGTGGGTGCCGCCCCGACCACTAGCTCGATGCACCATCTGATATAGCGCCAGCACTGCAAACGCCAGCACCAGCAAAGCCAAGTGGTACCCCACGGGCAGTCCCAGCTCGACCTGGCTAGACAAGTACTCGCCTAGTGCTGCGTCGTATACTGCCCGTCGTTCCGCCTCCATCTTTAGATGAGCCCCCAATACCCAATGCACGGGTCGACCTAAAGAATTATTCAAAAACCACGTCACATGTAACCAATGCCCTATATATATATATATATATATATAGGGCATTGTGGCAATATCTAAAGCCATTGCTGCCACAACTCACACACACACTATATATATATAGTGTGTGTGTGAGTTGTGTCCAAATGCAGGGTGATGGGGGGCGTACCGTGGACGGACTCGACAAAGAGAACCCGGCGCTCGTCGTCGGTCAAGCCCAATTGCTTGAGGAGGACCGCGCTGTAGCACAGATCCAAGCATTTCCAACGTAGTTGTTCAGAAGGAGAAGTCGTGGCGGAGACAGTTGCTGGTGGTTGGGCAGAGTTCTCGTTCGATTTGGTCACGACTTTATACGGAAGGGCGCACAGCGCGGTTGCAGCCTAGACGGTCAATGTTGGAGACTTCATGCACTTCTCAAACGTCATTCTGGGTACATAAAAATCAAAGTGAAAGCAATGCGTTGTGCTGGGCCACCAACCACAGCCATCGTTGAGTTATCGACATTTCATCCCTTTAGTGCCCCCTTGGGATCGTTGTTTTCACATGGGACGAACCTGCTCCATTTCGTAACGCGATGGCGTGGGAAAGTCAAATCGAACAGACGACGAGCTCAACGTGCTGTGTGCAAACGACGCTGCTTGGTACAGTTCGTTCAGTGCATAAAACGGTCCCGATGGTCGTGGTTGCGCCTACATCCTGCAACGTGAGCTTGCCACGTCATCGAACATCACTCATACATGAGACAGCAACACGCAATGCATGTTATTGGTGCAATTTGAGTTGGCGGTGTCCACGATGGACTGAATCAGGGCCATGCATTCACGTCCGTCGCCGCCGTCGGGCTTCGGTGCGCTGTCGTCCGCAGTTGTGAAGCCGTCGACAAACATGCACGGGTTGTCTGTGCGATTGAGGGCACTTAACGTTTCATCAACCTATGACATTCATCACCGCATGTAGTACTACTAAATAAACACATACATTCCACCACAGAAACAAACATTCGTTATAAAAAGGGCACAGTGCCGTTCATTTTATCAGTGCCCAAAAGGTTGTATGATGTGGGTGTACGAACTTGGTGACGAATGGCTGTTGTGCCAGTGTTGGCAAACGTGTGGACGAGAAACTCGGACTGTGTCAACGGGGTTGGGCGATATGCCTTCTTGCGGACGTTGTGGCGCCACCGCTGCTCGACGTCCATGACCAAGCGGACGCTGGATGGATCCTATGGAGCAACTATGTGTGACCAACTAGCTCTAGAAGTTTCTCACGCACGAGATCCACGATGCCGTAGAGCTGTAGGGCTGACGGCTCCATGTCCTTCCCGATACGCTTGTCCAAAAAGTTGGCGGCCACGGTCAACAGGTAGCTTTCTTCATCCTCTGGAAGGGTGCGGAGGTTGTATCGATCTAATATGAATACATGAAATATGAGCGATGCTTTTAACTCTTGATGCAGGGTAGAAGGACGACGAGTACCTAGGGGGAGTTTGTCGACGGATTCGTCGGCTTGGTACGATGCGTAGATGGCGTCGTAGATGTCGGATTGCCGCGCTTCGGGAAGTTCTCGCATGCCGGACGTGCCGACGATGTGAAGAGGGCACCCCGGTCGAACCTTTGCGTTGATGTGTTGCCGGGAAAGCTACGTGACACACGATCATGCTACGGAAGGAGCACGAAGATGATCTACCTCATGCAAGGTATCCTTCATAAGAGCATATGCAACCGCCGGGGCCATGGTGTGCAAGGCTTGCGTCAGAGGCGGCAAGGGGTCGGACATCGCCACGTCGTTGCTGTCGTCTGCGTGCGGCGACATGACGAAGAATCGCATGGCGGCAGAACTTGCTTCGACAATGACGCGGCATTCCGAGCTCGGCAGCGGTGGAGTGGGGAGTTCAGTGCCAGTAACCACTGGGACATGAGGAAAGACCACCAATGCTAACGTTAGCGGAAGAAGACACGACCAGGACCTCGGCGTCGAAAGCATGTCCTTCAAACGGTATGCCAGCTTGATGGCATCTGATTTAAAAAAAGGAAATATCCGAATTTTATTCAATTTAGGCATTTTCTCATCTTTAATTAGGTTCGAACTGCCATGGATCAAGCATAGAAGGTGCAGCAGCGATCGTAACTACGTGGAGCTGTGGTGATGGGCGGCCTGCGCGCGGGTGAACTCGCCAAAGTCTGCGCGGTAATGTTCCAGGTTGTTGTTGAGCGATTCGGTGTAGAACTACAAGGACACCGCCGAAGGTTGCTCCAGGTGACTGACTCGAGCACACGACGTACCCGCATTTGTGGGACCAGCAGGCCGTACGACGTCCACAGCGGCTGCAACACGTAGCAGATGAAGTTGGACTGCACACTCAGCCGCGCTCCCTTGGACTCGAGGTTCTCCATGAACGGCGCCACGGGGAGATTCATGTCAGCTTCCTCCCTCGCTTGGTTCTGGAACTCGTCGAGGGCGCGGTCGCCCCACTTGAACGCGAGTTTGTACGGCAGCGCTTGGGCGCTCAAGTCGGATGCGTGCACAATCAGCTCCATCACGACCATCCTGCCAGCAACACGCATCAGGATACACTCGTCATCCTATTCGAACCACCACTCCCCACCGATTCACGGCATCTTGCAGCTGGTGCCGCGACATGTTCTCCAACGCTTTGCACTGCGTGAAGTGGTTCGCCATGTCCGTGGCCATGATGCATCGGATGATCGTCCGGCGAATGGACCGAAACGCGTCGGGCGCGACCTTTTCCAAGATGTTGGTGGACGGCGTGTTCAAAATGAGGAATGTCACGCGGCAATGATGGCGTTCCAACACGGCGTCGTCGTTGTGCGTCAGCGCGATGGAGCTCACGCACTTGACTTCAAAGTCGTTGTTGTTGCCTGGGTGATCCACGTCTACACCCGTCAAGTCAGCATGTACTCTGTCGCACACAGTATCGCATCATTCATGGCACTAACTCCTTCAAAACACAAGGCCATCTGGCAGATTTTCACATTTCGAGGCACCACGATAAAAGACTACTAGTAACTACTACTACTATACTAGTACTACGTAGTACTAGTAGTACTTATTACGAAGTTGAGTTGCAGTCGTTCGACACATTTACATGTATGTACTTGACATATCCAAACACATATATCTCGTGTCACCCTTCGTTCCATCAACCAATGTTGGTTGCCCCGACGGCATGTGCATCAACGTACCGTGGCAAAGCGCGGCGATCATAAGCGCAAAGATGTCGAGTCCCGTGAGCAACTTGCGCATGTGCACTTTGAGCTGAATATGCGCCGAGTGCAGCACTTGAAACGCATGGTAAAAGTTGTGGTACGAGTTGGCGCGGTAGTGCTGCGCCACGGACGCGACGAAGCTCTGCATCTTGTCGGGGGAAATCTCGTACGTGTCGATAAATCCGTACGCGCGGAACAGCGTCTGCACGCTCTGGATCACCTCTGTGAACGAAAACGACAAGATGTCGAGATCCCACGAGTCCAGCTCAGGGCGCTGCGTCAGTTTGACGTCGTGGGCAAACACGTCGTCCGCCACACGATGGTCACCGCCGCCGTCCAGTTGAGTGAGGTTGGCAGTCATGATGCCCGACGTGTTGCGGCTGTGCTTTTGAAGCAGCGACGAAATCACCCCCGCTTCCGTCACTTCCGACGACCCCGACAGGTTGCGGTCACTCACGACCTAAGTCGTGTACAAAGAATCGATCAGTTGCGATCGGGGACTAGGGGGGATGCCGACGACGACATGGAGGGGTGGGGCGGGTCTCGGAAAGAATCAGAAATATGTAGCATTTTAGGTATTTGTAGACGGGGTTCAAGAGAATCAGATGTAGGACACACACTCGCATGCATACGATGTAGGTACATATGTAAAACTCTGCCTGCGGAATCAGATACTAGTTTGTATACAGAGACATGGAGGGTTCTCAGGAGGAATCAGAAACACAATGTGATATGTAGACGGGGTTCAAACCAAAAGAATCAGATACTAGTACATACGATACTCGATCCGTTCGACCATGCAAGTAGATGCCGACGGAGACATGGAAGAGGGGGGATCTCAGCAGGAATCCGAAATATATCACATTTGGAATCAGACATGTAGATCCTCTCTATTTCTGATTCCTGTGGAGAAATACAGTATGGTCCACCACCCAGAATCAGATACAAGATCAATCCTCCAACAATGTGAACGTTATGATATAGATGTGTATAACACGTGGACTGAACATCCGAGACTAGATACATATATATATATTATATATATATATATACATGACAGAGATACCTTGAAGTAGCACACTTCCAACGACATTTGGCCGAGCGCGTGCTGCATCTCTTTGCAGAACCGGGCCATGGTGAGTTTGTCCTGGCTGTTGAAGGCAATCACTTGGGACCCTTGGAGTTTATTGATGCACATGGCGACGGCCACGACCTTGGGCTTGGTGGGCACGTGCTCTTCAAACACGGGCATGCACAGCACGCTCGTGGTGCGGTACCCCGTGATGTTGTCGTGCGTTGGGTCGAACAGCGAGTGCGTGTCTAAATATCACCCAACCCCCCCCCCATGAACACTCATGTTCATATCCCAAGTAGAGATTCCCCCCCCTTCACAGAAATCATCGTTTGCATCAACCCACCAACCACACGTTGTAGTTTGAGTAATACACACAAGGGCAAAGCATAACCAACTTCGAAGTATTGTGCTTTCGAGTGAAATGTCGTGTTGTGGCGTGGTTTCTCGTTGGAATTGAAATCGATTTGATTGGCTACCTCAGATGAGCTCAAAAATATTAGCCAATCAAAACTTTCTCAATCAAATTCAACCAATCAGATCGATTGTGTATCGGTTTGGTCGGCGCGATTCGATTGCACCCCCTCCCCAAATTTGTATCAAATCGACAATACACCCTGAAAAACCTAGACGTAAAGCAGAGACAACTAATATATATCTCTATTTATGTATACCCCAACTCCTATAAGCAGTAATGCATTCACACATAGAGCCATACAATAATAAATCTAACTTTTTCAGCAGATATATATATACAACATACAAGCGTCGCGGGTGCACACAGTCTCGCCGGTGGTCGCGACGAGGCCGCTGATGCCTTTGTAGATGGGCTGGCGCAGCGTGACTTGTTCGCCCAAGTTGCCGTTGTTAGACGTGATCCAGAGCTCGTTCTTGAGATGGTCCACAAGTAAAAACCCAAACCGATCGCAGTCCTAAGCGACACGTTCCACACTTTTCCAATCAAACGCTGATGATTCGTACTAGTAGTACTATATATATATATATATATATAGTAAGTAGTATAAATATATATATATATATAGACGGAGACCGACCATGATAGCTTTGCCGTGCACCATGATCAAGTCTGTGAGGCTGTGGATGTCGTTGTGGTTGAGTACATAGTCCGACAGTTTGAGCCGCACGTCCGTGAGGCGCTTGGCGATAATCACTTCATTGTGCAGGTACGACTTGTGCAGCGAAATGCCAGCCGCCTATAATATAAAGATAACGTAACCAATTGCACACCCAAGCAGCCAATCGGTACAGTAGGACCTCGGCAATATAGTTGAGGAAGAGTGTGTCTTCGATGGAAAAGTCGGACTTGTCGACCTTGTTCACGGCCTGGACGACCGCGAGGATCGTGCCGTCGGGGTCCTTGACGGGTACGCACAGCAGTTTCTTGGTCGAGTTGCCCGTGCGTTCGTCCAGTTCCCGGTCAAAGCACGGATGCTCGTCCACGTTGTTTGTGGTTACAACTTGGCCTGCGACACAGGGTGACATGTCCGTTGGAGTTGATCACGTAAACAAGACGACGTCATGTGTCAGAGTGCAAATACAACAGATTTTTTCAATGCGTTAGGCATACATACAGTGGACACATGGTGTTGTGTTTCAATGCAGAGTGCAGATCGAACGGCATCACATATTAGGCGAACGTCATCACATATTATTTATATACATCCCCTAACTCGACTCGACTTTAAACCCACAGACAAACAACCCTTCGACTCGAGCGTAGTTCCCAAGGTACCCTCGACTCGTGGCTTCACACTCACGCAACCAGATATCATCACAGGTGGCTGCTGACATCACAACATGCATAGTACTGTACAGTATACCAGTAGAAATGTGTTTACTCCGGAGTAATATGTGACAAAGTGCAAGGTATGTCACGTCCATAATGTATATCTATATTGCACCTGTACGAGCCACAAGACCGGCTATGCCCTTGTCAATAGAAATGTACTGCCCGCGGGTGGCGTCGTTGGCGTGGGCGACAAACAGATCGCTCTCGCCCTGGATCTTGACAAACAAGCTCACGCGCTCGCAGCGAAGCAGTTCGTAGGACACGTCCATGATCTTCTCGAGGACTGCGGCCGAGTTGCTTTCGACGGCGATGCTCCGGTTGAGGCGGAGAAGGATCTCGATGCGCGTTTGCGCGGTCTGCCGCTCCTTGGACAGCCGCAGGTTCCAAATCTACATCACACCCATCAAATGTCCATCCTTCTACGTAGTCGACACGAGAGGCGGCTCATATCGCAGTTCGTACCGCCGACCCCGACACGACGCACAAATGCTCCAACCTGGTGGATATAACGTGTACAGCTTAGAAACAAGTGTCGTTCAGAGGTAGATGATATATGGATGGACGGGAGCTCGTGAGTTCAGTTGGTAGTAGATGTGGGTTGTACGAACCGATCTTTGTCCAGAGACGTAAACACTTGGTTTTGCATGTACTCGTCGGAGTGTTGTCGCTGGGTCACGACTTGCAGCGCCCCTGGACCATTCATTTCATGAGACACAGTGCGTTGGGGTTTCGGGGGTTTCCATCAAATCGTACGTACGTACCTAGTATCGTGCCGTGGGCGTTGCGGATGGGCATGCACAGCACCGAGTGCGGAACAAAGTCAAAGTCGTCCATTTGCGACTCGAACATGCCCGTGGCCGTCGCTTGCAACGCGTCAAACACGGTGCCCGTCTGTGGTGTTGCCACGTCATTGTATGAATTGCACTATGGAGATATGTGTGTACCATGATAACGTGGCCAAACGTGGTCGTGTTGTCCACGCCCATCGAGCCTTCGTCCTGAAACCCACCGTACTTGTTTACGTGCCGATCCTCCCCGGCCGCGGCGAGACTCAGCACCCCCATCGAGTACAGGAGCATGGAGCTGTTGCCTTCGTTCGTCAGCGCCAGCGAGTACATGCGCGCCGACACGAGGTTCCTCGCGGCATTCAGCGTTGATGACACGACTTCGCGGTGCGCGGTTTGGTGGGTGATGGCGCGCGTGGCGGCGATGAGGGTTTCCAGCTACCATTACGAGTGTGGTATATTATGGAGATGCGACGACACGTACCTCGTTGGTTTTCCCGCGCAGTTTGTAAATCTCTTCGTCTTTTCGCATGTGGTCGGACGTTGGCGACAGCGCGCCGTCGCGGCCGTCGCCCACGCTGCGCTTGGTTTTCATGACTTGCAGCGTCAAGTTTTTGAACTTGTGCGACGCGTTCGACGCAGGTGTCTTCGCCGCGGATTGCATGGCCACCTCCGTGCGCATCTGCTGATCTGCGAGTTGCCGCTCCAGCGCAAAGATGCGTCCACCGGCTTCGTCGAGGCGTTGCTGCAGCAGTCGTTTCTCGCTTAGAAGCGACTTGGTGCCTTCGACAACGTTCTGGAGGATGTGCTTGGGCACCATCAGGTGCAGACCTTCCGCGGGGCTCGCCATGTCCAAGGACAAGAAGGATGCCGTCGTCGAACGGAAAAAGTTGTCGCGGTGGGTCAATTGTTCGAAGTATCGATGCCCGTTACACAAATCGACCCACATTCAGGCTTTTCTAAACGCAAGCGTTTCAAAATGACATGCATTCTGCCCGCACTTAAGAAGACGTTCATTCTATTAATTGACGGTTACAGTGAAAATCGACACACATTCTGTAACGTTAAAGGGCGACAGATGGCGACGAGCGAGGGGTGGTGGTTGGGCGCGGCAAGACCACGCTGCTGCTCATGGACGCCGCCGTCAAACCTCGTGACGAGGTAGACGACGACGATGACGACGGCATGGACATGGAATGCGACATGGAGTAGCGCGCGGCCGACACTGCCGCCAGCCGATTCAGTCCATTCGCCGGACTACAGCGTCCCAGCATGAGATGCAACGTAAGTCGGGAAAGCAGAGGCGTATACCTCGTCGCGACGGCTTCCAACGCATCATATAAGGGCTGCGCTGCCACGGGAGGTCGTTCTAGTCGCCATGATCACTCATGGCTCTACAACATCATGACTACGTTCCCATCATACCTCGACCACCGAGCAGCTCGGCGGCAGTGATGTCCTTGCCGTAAAACTCGCGATTCACGTCTGGACGGGCCATAACCACCGACCCTTCCAGCGAAATGCCAATAAACAGACCCTACCACACCCACGTCAGGTCACAATATCGAGGGTGCTACATCCAACTTGCCTTCGAATGAGAGTACGAATAGCAAGGAGCGACACCGCCAGGGCCTACAAATAACACGTTTCCATTGGAGATGTACGACATGTTCATCTGACCGGCTTCCACCGCGCCCGCCGCCACTCGGCCCACTGGACCCGCGGCAACCCCCAGTTCCGCCCCCAGATTCACTTGACCTTGGGCGCAAAATGTGTCGACGGCGCCTACCGACGTGTGATCACGTCATTTGAGATCCAGATGGATGGTATGTCATAACGACGTGTCCATGCTAGAAGGAAGGGCGCGTGGTACCAACGTGAGCCAAATGTACGTACCTCGGGTGTTGAGAATGATGACAAAGTCTGTGACTTCGCCGCCAATTTGCGCGCCCCATCCGATGCCGGCCGTGGCAATCGCAGACGGCGCCGACCTGTGAGATGCCATCATGACGTGAACATGGCAGAGGTTGAAGTACCAGGAGCCATCGGGAAGCTTCGAGAGCACCAGACCCGTGCCAAGACGACCCGTGACCACAAAGCCGACTTTGAGCACAGTGAGAAACTACAACTCGGTGACGACATCATTGGTGACGACATTGGTGACGTACAGCGATGCCTTGGGCATTGGTCAGGAGCGGGAGTGGAATCGATTGGTCTTTGATCACGCCATCCAGCATAAAGTTCTTGATGCTGTATGCAGCTTTGCGCACTTCTTCGCGCAACGTGAACGAATATGGGCTTCAAAGAGGTGGTGAGGATGAAGGAGGTGAGGATGACGATGCACCTGTTGAGGAATCGCTTGGATCCCGCTTCATTGATGGAGTTGGGCTGTACCGCATTGCTGGCAGTTTCCCCTACGCAAGCCGACGTAAGATGATCTGTGGTGTCGGGAGCGGCGCGGAACGTACGCAAGATGGCCTGGTCCGGCAGCAGGATGTGGTGGCAAGGCTCACACACGCGCTGGGGGTTGAATGCGTTCACAGACAAGTACTTCTTGTTCGGGGACGTCAGGATCTTGTCCTCGCGGATCATGCTGCGATGTCGAGTGCAATCATCGCAAAACAATTGCCCTACACCCTTGTTAGGATGCACGCATCTGAAGCTAGTCGATGCATGCATATGCTTCTACCGCAATATCTACCCAGAGGAATGTGAGAGGAGTACTAGTATGCGGTAATGGCCGAATGCTACCTGCAATGGTGCTTGCGACGAACCCAGTCGAAGAGCAATCCGCACGACTTGCACAGGGACACCTCCCCATCCGAGATCCATCGGATGGTTGTCGAAGGCGTCTTCTTCTCAAAGAGATCAACTTCCGGACCTGCCGCCATCGCCGCCGGTTTGTTGTTCGCCGACAAGTCTTCGCTCGCCATCATCCCGTAGTTGCAAAAATCCGAACAATGGAAAGATTGCAGCATTCAAAGGACGACTACATTGGGGCCATGTCATGCTAACAAATTTAAATTTAATCTTGGCATTTATATTGGAAAGGTGAACTTTATATACTATTTTCGCCCACGTCTTATATTCATTATCTAAATTGTCTCAGGTTTTACCTTGTTTAAAGTATACTTCAAATGTGATTTGAACTTTAATATTGTAGATCCGCCCAATCGAACTTTCCTCGCACCGAACCTCGCTGCGACCATTGATTGGTCGATCTTAAATTTCATTTCTCTGATTGGTTACATTATTTCTCTATTATCCATGTCCTTCTGCGGATTATTTGGTAAATGTCGCAGCGAGAACGGGGCAGAATTGGGAAAAAGTAGCCCACTCCATCTAAAAACCTCATACATTTCACACCTCACGCGGGGCGTATTATTTCGTTGCCGCAGTTTAATATTTAAGTATAAAAGGGATGGAATCGATAGAATAGGATAAGAGGAGAGATTTTGTGCATCAGATCATGGGAATTAATAAAGAAATGACAATGAAATAGACTTGTAACCGATAGGACTCAATAATATATGGGCTGGGACAATATTTCCAAAACAGTTGTATCCGTACTAAGTATCCGGACGTTTAACGTTGTAAATCTGAGTTTTAAGGGTTTAACGTATCCGTATACAAATTTAACACAACGTTAAACTATAAAACGTGGTTATCCGAATTGGCCAAAGATTAGGAAGGAGTATATATTTGTTTTTAGATGGAATAATGCACCATACCAGTATGAAGAAAATTCACAATAATATTCGAGCTGTTTGTTCAAGTTTCCACGAAGCTCCGCATGACCACAGCCATAGAGCCACCCCTTGCGAAGGCGACCCCACAAACATAAACAGAGACATGTGTGTGCTTTTTCGTGTTGTTAACAGTGCACTACGTTGTTAGCAGTGCACTGTGCACATACATATATCACGTCTTCTTCAAGGGCATGACAAACCTGAACGGGACCTTGTACTCGGAAATGGTCCCAATTTCATCTGCATCGTCGTCGAACCGTAGAATTACATATAGCGAGCCCTGGAACCAAAAAATATGAGCAACATATTCACATAGTCAAGTGGGGAAGACGAATGGAGTCTTCCTCGTACCGGGGGGTTAGGCACGATGACCACGGCAGGGTAGAAGCTCGTGGTGCTGGGGTACATCGCCATGACGCGTTCATTGACACGGAAGTTGAACCATTCGTCGATTTGGTCTTCCCGAGGTAGAGGCACTAACCAGTCGCGAGGGACAACATGGTGGCGCTTCCCCTCTGTGTCTTCGTCCCCCGAGTCTTCGTCTTCTACTTCGACCATGCGCTCATCGGCCTTGACAACGGACGCCAAAATCCACAACTCGTGGCCGCGGGCAACACGCGCGGCAACCTGCGACCCCACTTCAAGCGTCACGGTCGTGCTTTGTGGTTCAACGAGACTGTGTCGCTTGTTTTCACGATCTTTCAGCCGACCTTGCTTCTGTTCCTTCTCGATAATGTCAATGCATGCATTCAACTCGATGCGTTGCTTGTGCAGCTCCAAGCAACTCTTCTCCAGCAAGTCTCGCAGCGTTGGAGCCCATCGAGCACGTGTGGCTGCCATCTTGGCGTCGAGGTTGGAAGTGTCGCTTTCACCTCCGATCCCTTGAAGTGCCAGGTACGCCTTCTCCTTCTCTCTCAGCTTCGCATACACGCGACGAATCTGACGGGCGAGGGCGTCCATGGAGTTGTCGATCAAGTGACTCCGAATGATCTCGTTCAGAGCCGCATCCGCGTCCACTGTCGACTCCATGATCACGTCGATGTGCGCAGTTGAGATTATCCGGATAATCCAAGGAACCGGATATTTGAAAGGAGCAACTTACCAAAAGTAAAAAAAGTGAGGGCAGTCGAAATATACCGGAAATAACCTGAACTTACTGCTAAAATGGTGTACATAACGTTGTCGAAATGAAGCTCATTATCTGCCAGACTTCGATATCTGTCTCCTTGGAGCCGCCTGCATCTTCGCTCTTGACCAAAGCTTCCGCGCGTATCGCTTGTCGCATCGTCCAAGTGCGTGCCATGGAATCCCGCATACAAATCCATCCAACACCCAACCAACCACGCAGACCAACGTGGCCAAAGGTACCGATAGCTTTATTTTGTTCTGGGTGCTTAATCGTTTGCGATTAAAACGTGATTCTGCTTTAGGCCTGGTGATCCGTCTTGCTAGTCTCGGCATCAAGGCCTGGGTTGGGCTCATGTCTGACTGGATGGCACGGCTGTCACATCGACAACAGCGGCGGGTGTGTGCGTCCATCAAGGCGTTGTCTCTCAGTGCCCGGTCGATCGTCGACAGTCATTCGTGGATGGCATGCTTCCAATCCGCCAAGATGTCGACGTTGCTCCAGTTCGGGTACATACCGTCAAAGTACACCAGTTGACAACATCACCAATATGTATTTGGTTGTGTAGACGTTATAGTACTCGCTTAGATCGACGCTTCCAGCGATATTGTGTCCGATGTCGAGTCTACATACGGTGGACAAAGCACTCGAGTTCAGGTCGTTCGTGTTGCCGTAGCCGGCGAATGCTGCGACGACATGCAGTCACCCGGGGTACTGGCATATGTTTGACCGAGAATGTAAGGCAGAGAGGTTGGATCAAGATCGATCATCGTGTCCACTCTGTCATATCGACGGTGTGCCCTTCGATGCCTGCAACACAAGGAGTAGGAATCCAAAGTACTCTATGGACGGTGGCTCCAGTCGGTTGGCGCAGTTCATTGAATAATCCACGGATCATATTTGCTGTTCAGCCTTTCACCACACCTCAACATGATGTTTGATTTCACTTGTACTGTACAATTAAATATTTGTATATCGTCGTCGTTATAGTGCGGGCTCGCTGGCCTGGTGAAATACCTAGTTAGTGTAAGTTAGCCAAAGAATTGTCATATCGGGTATCGAATCTCACCGAGCGAATCGAGCACCAATCTCTCCCATTGGTCTATCCGAAATTGCTTGTCGCTGATTGGCTACAATCCATTTTCGAGTTTCTACTGGAAGGGGCGAAGTGGATAATGGCCAATCAGATGTCTCGGCTCTATTTGTGCTCGATTGTGAACGAACCATGCAAAATTGGGAAATTTGAAGAAAATCCACAATAAATGACATTTCCATCGTCGTATATATATGTTGATCCCCCAAAAGCGTACTGTTTGCCCTTTGCACACACGACGATGAGCTTATCCAGCATGTTTCCAGGTATTATTAGTCTATGTACAGCATCCATATCGAATTTGCGACGTCTGAACAGTAGAAGACGGAAACGATAACCAACAGGTTGAACGAGTCTAGCCATACGTACAGTACGTACGTAGGTTGCCCATACCGTACTCTGAAACATCAATCTATAGATCTCGTGTTTTGCTAGTGGAAAAATCCTAGAGCAATGCCAAGAGCGAGTCTGCCGCATCAACAATACCCACAAGGCCGTCGGCGTGAGCCGTGTCACGCAGGGTTTGCACTGCAGGTCGGAACGTGTTGTTCAGCATTCCTTGGGTCAGAACGTCGTCGGGTCGAAGGGCGGTGAGCCAGGCGTGGCAAATTCCGAGCTGGTACGTCAGCACCGGCACGTCTTCTTCAAAGATTGGGATGGCCGCAAACATTTCCGAACACGACGCGAGCCACTCGAGCCAAAACGCCGACGGCAGCCAGTCCATGGCGGCCGCCACCGTCGCAGTTTTGTCGTGCAGCAACGCACTCAGCGACTCCAATGCAGGCTCTCGCATGGCCAGGACGCCCTCCGTCACCAGGTTAAAGTAGGCGGCGGCGGCGGCCTCTTCCTATAGACCCCCGTGTGTGTGTGAACAACTTTCTACGCAACGAAAAGAGTACCGCGAACGGCGCCAGGCAGTAGAGCCGCGTAAGGGCCCGCGTCGATGCGTTCCGGACGCTGGACGACGAATTCATAGCCTGCATGTCCAATAACGTGTCGGCCAACACGGCCAAGTGCGGGTGGAGATAGACCCCCGCTCCCAGGGCTACATGTGCGACACCGTCCACCATGCGAAGGGCTAGAGTCTACACCATAAGTCATATGAATAGCCATTCTATACTGGAGTGACATGGAAATAAAATGAATCGACACGACCAAATAAAATGCACAGAAGTATCATCGGCAGAAGAGTTGAGCCAATCCGATTACAGGAAACCATGATCAACGTCAAATTCGTGTGTGACTTCAATTAGTGTGATACCAATCACCACAGGACTCACACGTTTTTACATACAAAATTCATATCAGTACAAAGATTCGATCGATAGATTAGCACATATCAAGTCCACATTTTGCATATAACGAACACATATATCTATTGTCGATTTGATAGTACAAATTTGGGGAGGGGGTGCAATCGAATCGCGCCGACCAAACCGATCCACAATCGATCTGATTGGTTGTTGAATTTCATTGAGTAGGTTTTGATTGGCTAATAATTTTGAGCTCTTCTGAAGTAGCCAATCAAATCGATTTAAATTCCAACGAGAAACCACGCCACAACACGACATTTCACTCGAGAAAGCACAATATCTCTACATTGAAAACTAGATAAACGAATAGACAATTGACACGATAGGCACCAAACATAGGTCGTCGCATTGTATTCTGACGTTACCTTGGAGTAGCGGTGGGCTTGGCGCAGCCCTTTGACAAAGATGGCCACAACTTCAGCCACTTTGGACGCGTACCGATCGGTTTCGTCGGCGTCTGTAGGTCGCAATGCGAATAAAAAGTCGCCAAACACGAGCGGGTCGGCTATTTTCACCACGACTGCATGCAAAAAGTCGAATTCCAACTCGACGTCCCAGAATGAATGGCCCAACACGTGCACGAGCACCACCAGACACTAGGAACATCTCATTACTATCGCACTCTATTATTACGAGTAGAATATATATATATATACCTCGATGGCCGTGTCGCGGATGTCGTGGAGAGTTGCTTTGATGCCGCGAAGACTTCGATCCTTGGCCGTGTCCTATGAACGTTCAAAGGATCGTCGTGATACATCTTTCCACGACGATCTATGGTATGTACGTACACTGAGATAGGTAAACACGTGTTGCAGAACTGGCACGACTGCTTTCAAGGAAAGTTCAGTGTCTGCTAGTGGTTGGGGTGCATGGACTTGATAGCGGCGCAAGAGGAGGTCCCGCAATGACTCGATAGTCATAGACACATGCTCGAGCGAGTCCATCGTGCGCGGCGGCGACGTTGTGGCCAATGCTTGCGAGAGCCTATAAACAGTGTCTCAGATACGTTTTTCAATGACGAAAACACCCAAAAGACACCAACTTACATGGAGTTTGTGTGTTGAAAGAACGCTGCAAAACAAGCTGATGACGACGCAGCAGCAGCATCTAGCGTCGCTACAGCGTACAACGACGGCAGGACCGACAGCATGGACGTCATGGCGTCTGGAGACGACTGGAAACGACGCCAGTCGTCGCCAGACATGACATGCACGGCAAGTTGACGTTTGTGTGGTGGCGAGAATGAGGGTGTCGATGTCGCAGAGCGTTGCGCGAGCAGGGAGCGGGCGGAAGGGAGCGGAGGCAAGGCCGTGTCAAGCAGGACAGACACAAAGGATGCCAGTTCGAGGATGTCGTGTTTGCACTGGTTTGACGAGTGCGTACACAATTTCCTATGGGGGGTCGTTGTGCACGGTGGGAGAATGCAAGGAAACATGGAGGACGTACGTCGTGTACAGGTACAAGTACCGCGGCACAATCTAAGTACATATACGACATCACCAACGGTCGATACATGAGGAGTGAGATTGCTTGTTCACCGCAAGCAACGACGGGATGGACCGAGGATGGACTTGCACGATCACGTTCAAGTGTTCGCAAGTCGGTCGCAGCAGCAATTGAATGCACGTGGCGGCGGTCGGATCGTCCGACGACGACAGCATCACGTCAACGGACGAGGAGATCCAAGCCAAGACATCGGCATCTCGTTGGACAACTTCGCCAAAGCTCTCCAAGAGCCGCGTGCACCCGCGCAACGCCACCATCTACAAGTCCCATGACACTTGACGCAACGAACACGGCGATACCTTGAGTCCCAGGAACGGTTTGGTCCAATTTGGAATGCCAAGCACATGGAGAAAGATTGATTCGAACTCGGGGAGGTACGCGACGAACGTTGGCGCTTCCGTCACGTATCGCACGGTCTAAGGCCGATTCAGTCATGCTGCCTGCATGAACATGGGCTAATATACCATTCCAGCAGCGGACAACAACGTGCCCAGCGTGTCTTCGCTCCACTCACTGCTGTCGACCGGCACAGCAACGTGATGGCGCAGTTCGCGCAACAGCAGTTCGATCCATGCGATCGTGCCCTCCTTACCTACAGAGGTGCCGTGTACCTGCTCCTTGACCACATCTACCAAGATAGGTCCATGAGATCACATGCATTGACGCGAGAAAGCGGCGAACCTGCAATGTTCTTGCCGCGGTGCTTTCCTGCCGTCAAGGTGTCCATCGCGCGCGCGGTTTGTTTGGTCCAATTATGCTACGATTGGTGTCATATCCGGAATATTCGCCGGATAAAAAACTGTGCACCATTTTTGACAAGGCGATGTGTTGGCTTGCTGGCGGTTCTGCCTTCTCAGTTCTGCGGGACGAGAACTTACTCGTCCAGATCACGCAGTACCAATGCGGCATCTTCGAATGCCTCAGGTCGACGTTCCTACGCAACCATCACTTCCTCCACAGATCTGTCTTCATCGAGCCGAGCTTTGGCATCGTTCGACATCGACGGCTAGTTGCGCTTGACCTCGTCCAAACCGGCGACATACAGCTCCTTCAAGTGTTGATGCGATGCCGCATCGAAGACATCACCCAGACGATATCAGAACACTGGAAACTCATGGACTTTGCGGCCATGTACGGCCATCTGCCCGTCCTGGAGTTCCTTCATGCCTCGGGACTGCCGATATGCACCATGCACGCGTTGGACCTTGCCGCACAACACGGACATTTGGCCGTTGTTAAGTTTCTGCATTTTCACCGCACAGAAGGCTGCTCCCGACGTGCCATGGAGTCCGCCGCCGAGCGCGGTCATCTCTCTGTCGTCCAGTTTTTGAATGATCATCGAAGCGAAGGGTGCCGGGCGTTGGCAATGGACCGGGCAGCGGCCAATGGCCATTTGGACGTGGTGGCGTTTCTACATGCGCATCGGTCGGAGGGTTGTACGACCTTGGCTATGGACGAAGCCGCAGCCCACGGCCACCTCGAGGTCGTCCAATTTCTCCACCAACATCGTACAGAGGGATGCACCGCGTGGGCAGTGGACCAGGCAGCCACGTATGGCCATCTAGAAGTCGTCCAGTATTTGTTGCAGCATCGGAACGAAGGTGGGATGGCCGGGACCATCGATAAAGCCGCGGCCAAGGGACATTTGGCAATCGTCAAGTACTTGCATGCCCACGCCATTGAAGGATGCACCCATCGAGCCATGGACGGCGCGGCCGAAGGTGGACATTTGGAGGTTAGCTTGGGTCGTACAATATGTCCAATGGCCATTCATTTCCTGTACGTAGGTAGTTGAGTTTCTTCATTCGCATCGACGGGAAGGCTGCTCGATGCACGCCATGAATCTCGCAGCCAAGAATGGCTACTTCAATGTCGTTCGCTTCCTCCATGACCACCGCCACGAAGGTAACCTCGATCGTTCTTGTTCGTGTTTTCGTTGTTGATTTGTCATCAGGATGTACCGCGGCGGCCGTCGACGACGCTGCAAGAAATGGCCATCTGGAGGTCGTCAAGTTTTTGCTGACGTTTCGCACCGAAGGCCACAGTGCCCAGGCTATTCAGGCTGCCGCTCAAGCGGGACATGTCGAAGTGGTCAAGTATCTCCATGCGAAAGCCATCGTTGGCTGTGGAGAAAGGGATTCAGGCTTGGCGTCACTGGCCGTTCCTCGGATACGAGCATGGGATGCCACAGAGTGGAGGATGTAGTAGTAGTAACCTTCGTCGTGCTATGGATGTATATCGTGACGTAGTATCGTCGTCGATGGGAGGATGTCAAACCATGAACCCTTGCAACAACAGGGGAACATGATACATGTATCTTTGTGGGGTTACTTGGGTTTTGATTCATCGCAGCATTCGCGAATGGATTGAGATGTCCGATTGGTAATTCTTTTCGCGTCATACTTCCAGTGGCACCAATTCTTGTGAAATTCAAGAGCAACATAACTAGTTACTAGTATTTGTTGAAAACCCATTTAAACGCAGGAGCTGAAGAACGCTGCACCGTCCAGGCATAAGATTCCGACCTGCTTGCCAATGCAACTTGTTGGATTAGACACTACTAGTATGTATTGTACCGTACAAACCCTTGTATAATAAAGAGTCTTGTTGCACGAGGTGGTCAGTACTCAATACATAGTCCTGTATGCAATCAGTACATACTAGAAACTACTTACCAATGTAGTAAGTACCATTCTCTGAGGTACTAGTTGATTATTGCCACGCCACAAGGTGCAAACACAGGATTTAGTAACTGTTTCTCATGAAACGGTCGGTACACTTGGAATTTGTATTCGCAAATTTTCGAATTTCACAAGAAGAAGGATAATGACAAGCCAATAAAGTGCCACCATTTCGAATGCCAAAGGATATATCCACATACGAGGACGATGTGTGAGCACATTGTTCATTTAGTTGTCCAGACGAGACACCAACATGGCTGCCGAAGTTGCGGAGTCGCATGGCGGAACCCTGAGCATCCCTGTGGACAGCGACACGGCGTACCAGGGCGTAAATACCCCAGGTGTCGGCAAGCCTACGCCCAAAGACGAGCCACCGAAGAAGTTGGCTCCACTTTCCAAGCTGTTTCAGTACGCCGACGCGACCGACGCGTGGCTCATCCTGCTCGGATCGATCTGTGCGGCGGGCGCAGGGTTCTCCCAACCGCTGCAGATTTTGCTGTTTGGCAACATACTGAACTCGTTCAACCCGCCCCCGAGCAATCTTGTGTTAACACAGGCAGAACTTGACGTCCTCAACGCGCAAATGTCCAAAGGCATCAACGAGATCGCGCTCAAGTTTGTGTGGGTGGGGCTCGGGGTCATGGTGTGTGGGTTTGGCCAGGTGGCGTGCTGGTCGATCACCGCCAGTCGCCAGGGGAAGCGCATCAAACAAGAGTACATCCAAGCGATTTTGCGGCAGGAAATTGGCTGGTTTGACGTGAACAACCCCATGGAGTTGGCGACCAAAGTCGCGGACACGACACTCATCATCCAGGATGGCATCGGCCGCAAGGTCGGCGATGGCATCAACTTCATCGCGATGGGGGTTGGCGGCATCACCATCGGCGTGGTCAAGGGTTGGAAACTCGCGCTCGCGCTCTTGGGTTTCACGCCTTTGATTGCATTAACGGCCTTCCTCATGGTCAAGACGCTCTCCACGGCGGTCCAGGCGTCTGTGACGGCGTACGGCGCGGCGGGGGGCGTGGCCGAAGAGTCGCTGTCCAACATCCGCACGGTGCAAATGTTCAACTCGATGGCTACGTTTGCTGACAAGTACAAGACGGCGCTCGTCGCAACCGAAAAAGCAGGCATCAAGAAGGGGTTGGCGGTTGGTATCGGCACGGGATCCATGTTCGGTATGATCTTCATGACGTATGCGTTTGGGATGTGGTACGGCGCTGTGCAAGTCGCGACCGATCAGCTAACATTGCCCAAGTGCACCGAGAGCTGCTACGACGGAGGCCGCGTCCTCACGGTGTTCTTTACCATCATCATGAGTGCCATGGCGCTGGGCCAAGCCGGACCAAGTATCCAAGCGGTGTTTTCCGCCCGAGCGGCGGCGGCGATCGTGTTTGACATGATCGAGCGACCGTCGCTGGTGGATGCCACGTCAGCACACGGCAGCACGTTGCCGTCCGTGGAAGGCGACATTCAACTGGATCGCATTGGGTTTCACTACCCCGCACGCCCTGAAGTCCAAGTGTGCAAAGGGTACTCGCTGCACATCAAAGCCGGGGAAAAAGTCGCTCTTGTCGGCCCCAGCGGCAGCGGCAAGTCGACGATCGTGTCGCTGTTAGAACGTTACTACGACCCGCTGGAAGGCGTGGTGAAGCTAGACGGACACGACCTCAAGATGCTCAATGTCAAGTGGCTTCGGGCCCAAGTCGGACTCGTCGGCCAAGAGCCGTCGCTGTTTTCGTGCTCGATTGCCGACAACATCCGATACGGCAAGCCAGATGCGTCATTGGAAGACGTGTATGCGGCTGCCAAGCAAGCCAACGCCTACGACTTTATCTCGGGGTTTCCGCAAGGCTTTGACACGCAAGTGGGGGAGCGCGGGGTGCAACTGTCTGGCGGGCAGGTACGTCATATACTGGACTACAGTGGAAACCAATTTTTCGTAGTATAAGGATTGTTGTGATAGAAACAACGCATTGCGATTGCCCGAGCGATTATCAAGAACCCGGCGGTGCTGCTTCTGGATGAAGCCACGAGTGCGCTGGACACGGAGAGTGAGCGCATTGTGCAAGCGTCGCTGGATGCGCTGCTGGCGTCTCGGAAGCGCACGACCATCATCATTGCCCATCGACTGTCTACGATTCGAGATGCTGATCGCATTGTCGTGTTGAGCGGGGGCAGCGTGGTGGAGGAAGGCAGCCACGGCGACCTCATGAGTCGACCTAATAGCCAGTACAAGGCTCTCGTCGAAGCTCAGCAGCGCCCTGCCCCATCCAGCCCCACTAAGATTGAAACCGTTCAATCGTTTGACGACGAAAAGGGGGCAGTGTCTGCACCAGCCAAGAAACCCGTTGACGGTGCCTCTGGAGGTGGGGATGCGGTCGTGGTCGCTTCAGCATCTGGTGACGTGGCAGGCGGAGATGTGAAAACAGTCCCTTTAAGTCGCATTTGGAAACTCAACGCCCCCGAGGTGTGGTACATCGTGCTCGGGTCCGTGGGTGCTCTCATCAATGGCGCCGTGTTCCCTGTGTGGGGGCTTCTACTCACCAACGTCACAGTGCTGTTCTTCAACTACTCGCTCACGGCAGACGGCATGAAGGCCGAAGCCATCAAGTGGTCACTCGCATTTGTGGGGCTAGGGATCACGTTTGCGGTCGCCGTGTCGATCCAGTACTATGGATTCACTGTCGCCTCCGAGAGACTCACGAGGCGGTTGCGGGAAATGGGGTATCAGTCCATGCTGCACCAGGACGTCGGCTGGTTCGACAAGCAGTCGTCTGGCGCGCTCACGACGATGCTGGCCACAGACTCTGCGATCATTCAGGCCATGACGTCCGAGACGATGAACCGAGGGTTCGTCAACCTCGCGACACTCTCAGTGGCGTTTTCAATCGGGTTTTACTACAGTTGGCAGATGACCCTGGCCATGATTGGTGTGTTTCCCATCTTGGGCGCGGCGTCGTACGTGCAGATGCAAATGATGTCGGGGCACAACAAGAAGCTCAACGACGGCGACGTCAAGGCGGGCGCGCTCCTCTCGGAAGCGATCAATTCGATCCGTACCGTCGCGTCGTTCACGCTCGAGTCGCAAGTGCACAATCAGTACGTCGGACATTTGGACCTGTCGGCGTCCAAGGATGTCAAGACGGGGCTGGCGGGGGGCACGGGGTTTGGGGTGAGCCAGGGCGTGATGTTTTTTGCGATCGCGTTTTTGTTTTGGTTTGGCGGGTGGCTCATCGTGAACAACCTCGTCGACTTTAAAGGCATGTTCCTCGTGCTCATGTCGATCATGCTGAGTACATTCGGCGTGGGCCTTGCAGCTCAAAACATGTCGGACAGCGTCAAGGCCAAGGAGGCAGCGTCCCGGCTCTTTGACACGATCGACCGCGTTCCCCCCATCGACTGCGCCAACTCGACCGGCGATACCCTGCCAAGCGTTCGCGGGGAGCTCGAGTTTGTCCAGCTCAAGTTTGCCTACCCCAGTCGCCCCCATGCGTTCATTTACAACGGGTATTCGCTCAAGGTGCCCAGTGGGGCCACAGTCGCCCTTGTGGGGGCCAGCGGGTGCGGGAAAAGTACCGCAATCGCCCTCTTGGAGCGCTTTTACGACCCCCTCGAAGGCCAAGTGCTGCTAGACGGTGTGGACATTCGCACACTAAACCTGCAATGGCTGCGCCAACACATCTCTCTCGTTGGCCAAGAACCTGTGCTATTTGCAGGCACCATTGCCGACAACATTGCGTCTGGCAAGGCGGGGTCGACGCTAGCTGACGTCCAGGACGCAGCCAAGAAGGCCAACGCCCACGATTTTATCATGCAGTTCCCAGACAACTACAATACCCAAGTGGGGGATCGAGGCATTCAAGTGTCGGGGGGGCAGAAGCAGCGCATTGCGATTGCGCGGGCGATTCTAAGGGATCCGGCGGTGCTGCTCCTGGACGAGGCCACAAGTGCCCTCGACAACGAGAGCGAGCGCATCGTGCAAGCCAGTTTGGACGCGCTGCTGCAGCTTAAACGCCGCACGACCATCATTGTGGCCCATCGGTTGTCCACGATTCGTAACGCAGACATCATTGCCGTGACCGCCGACGGGAAGATCGTCGAACAAGGCACCCACGACGAACTCATGGCCATCCCAAAGGGCAAATACGTCAATTTGGTCCAACGCCAAGTGGGCATCAACTAAATACGTAGTAGACTCGATGCAATGGAACGACGAATAGTACATGTACCGCCGCGGGTTGATGCTGGCGATAGAGCTTAATTAGTGTGAACAAGGTCGAGGACCTGTGAGTATAAGCGGTAAAAATAGCCTTCCATCCAATTCTTGAGCAAAGGATTCCGTAAATATTGCTTTTTCCAAGGCTTCCAACATGAGATCCAACTCACGACAATGTGCGTCGGAAATCGTCACATTTTGGATTGGATATGTTTTCGTGGCTGTGTCGTTAGGTTGTCAATTGCATACACTAGCCAATGAAACCTTCCGATTTGTATTTTGAGCAACCTTTTAAACCAATCAAATTCCTGCGGGCGAATCATTCAGCCAATGAAATGGCTCTAATTGCACTTTGTAAGGTCGACCGTCGTCCATCGCATCAACACCATCTTCAGCATGACGGTGATTGTCCAATTTCGACCATGAAGACTTCGTTCATCACCGCCGCGTTGGCCGTTGCCGTCTGTCTGCTCTCAAATGCGCCAGTAACCTCTGCCGGTGTGTCCCTCCGCGGCGACAGCCACGCCGACGCCGGTAGCCAAGTCGCAGCATTTGAACGCCATTTAGCCGCGCAAGTCGCGATGAAGGCTGCAACGACCACTAAGAAGCCCAAACCCACCAAGAAGCCCAAGACCACCAAGAAGCCCAAGACCACCAAGAAGCCCAAAACCACCAAGAAGCCAAGGGCCAAGAAGCCAAAAACCACAAAGAAGCCAAGGGCCAAGAAGCCAAAGACCACAAAGAAGCCAAGGGTGAAGTCAGCGAACAAGAATAACCCGGCGCCCAAGCCGAGCACCCCTGCGACGACGAGCGCAGTGACAAACTTGGCCAAGTCGGCCAAAAAGGACGAAGTCAAGCCCACGAAGAACGGCGCGGCGGGCTTTGCGCTCTTGTCGACCGTGATGATACTCGCCATGGCCACATCGCTCGTTTAATTCTATCAACCCATTGTTACCGCTATATATCGCTTTCTAGTTGCCTGAATATCCAAGTCAATTGATATTGAACCTATACGTGTAATTACTCCCAGTACCATCTTGACAGGATTGTAATGAGCAATTGGTACATAACGGTACCAAGTATATTTATGTACCTGCACGTCTACTGGTAGTTAGTCGATATCGTTGCTAGCCCAACACATGATCGTGAATATGTACAACTTCCAAGTATGTACATGTACATGTGAGCCCTCTTGTGTGCTTAATATGTAGGTTGTCAATAATAGTTTGCTTTACAAAAAGGTACTGGCAGTAGCAGCCTTGGCAGGAGGTTGCCGTTTGGTTGGGGGGGTAAGTTTGACGCCTGCGTCTTCGTCCCCCAGGGTACCGTCGGGGGATTCGTCCCCGCCGTCCATTTTGAGTTTGCGGTAGCCACAGTATCGCCGACGCAGCAGCACCACCGTCACGAGCAAGAGAAGTGCCGCGGTAGCTCCGGCGACGGCCGCCACAATCGCCAGGTAGTTTTTGTTGCGCACCACCGTGTCCAACAAGGTCAGCGTCTTGGCTTGGTAGTGCACGTATCGCAGGGGCTGCAGGTCGAAGCGTTTCTTTTGCCGAGGGGTTTCGCAGTACCCGACGTTGTTGCGCACGGCGAGCCAGTTGCTCAATTCACTCCACGTTTCCAAGTGCGCGCAGTCGGTCAGCTGGTACGGCTGCGCTTCGTTCACACCGTGTTGCTCCAAGTTCAAAATGAACTTGCCGCCGACTTCCTTGACCCCGAGAAGGTAGCAGTCGACGTTTACCACCACGTGAAAGGTGCTATGTACTTTTTTGTCCTTCTTCAAGTGATGCTGCTTTGGTAGGGATGTGGTCTCGTTGTGTGCTTCGATCGAGTCGTAGTACAAGATCAACTTGTCGCAGATTGACGTGGAGTTGTACAGGGCAAACGCGAGTTGGACAGCGTCTTGCACGGCCGCGGGAGCTTTCGACGCATCGATGGACGTCCACACCACTGCTTTCGGCGCGGCGGTGGTCGTAGAGGAAGTTGGGGGGTGGACGACGGTGGTTGTGTGCGGCTTGTCTGGGTCTCGGTTGTCGTCGTCGTCGTCAATGTCGGATTCGGCGTGATGTTGTGTGGATGTTGTGACGGGGGGCGCGACGGTGGTGGTGGCGTCCTCGTCGATGAGGTCTTCAATCGTGATGTCGTCGCGATCGTCCTCGGCGGCAACGTCTTCGGGGCAGGGATCGAAGTCGCAATCGTTCAACGGATTCGGATGGACTTTGGTTCGGCCGTCGGCGCACGTGTGCACGACTTTCTTGCACACGACTGGATCGTTGACCTCGTCGTCCTCGGATGATCCTTCGTCGTCATCGTCATCATCAACGTCACCATCCACGTCCTCCTCGCCCCTGTCATCTTCGTCGGTCACCATGTCCTCAGGACACAAGTCAAACTCACATCCGTTGAACGGATTCGGATACACTTTGGTGAAGCCGTCCTCACACACGTACACGAGCTTCTTGCATTTGAGCTTCTTCATCCCCATGAGGGGCGACGCATGTGCTGTCGAGGAAGACTCGTCCATTAAGAGAAGCATGGATCCCGCGAGGGCACTCAGGACCTTGGACAAGTGCATGTCGTGGAGAGCTGTCGTCGGAGCTCGAGAGGATAGTGTGCGCTGCGCTTGTCAAATCGCTCTGGGAAGTTCCTCACCATCTGGTAGGTCGAATAACCTTCCAAATAGTATATACGGGTACATCACATACACTTTCAATTAATGCAAACGTGACTTATCCGGATACTAGCACTGTCTAAATACATTTATGCCGACATTTTATTTGTTGCCAAATTGTAAGGCTTTGCGTCGTTTGTAATAGTTTAAAACTGGTTCTATTTTGCGTTTAATACTTGAAAATACAGAGAATAAGATAAATCCTTAGTTTAAAACATGTGGTAAACAACATGTGGTTCAGTGACGACATGAGGTATAAAACCTAGCCAATCAGAGGCGACGAGGAGAGTCATGCCGTACACTTTCGAAAGCAAAATGAAGTGGGCAACGGTGGCCGTGGTCGCGCTCTTGGCGATGGCATCTCCTTCTGTGGACGGCATGAAGTGCAAGAAGCTAGTGCACACTTGCCTCAACGGTGTGACAAAGGTGTATCCGAACCCGGACAACAATTGCAAGTTTGATCTCTGTCCGGAAGACATGGAGGACGACGACGTGGTGGCCCAAGTTGAAGGCACCGTTGCACCGACCACAGCCGTCACCGCCGTGCTCGACAAATCGCAAGCGAAGCATATTGCTCAGGACGAATGGATCGCACTGGACGACGCCGCGGTCCCGACGTCGCTGCGAGACGCGGCCAAGCTCGCGTTCGACTTGTACACGGAACCAAGCGTGTGCGACGAGTTGAAGATCGAGTACTCGTCCGTGGAACTCAAAAACGCTTCCGACTTCATTGGGACCAAGAACAAGGACTCCAAGTACAACAAGGTCGCGACGCAGTCGTACCATGTCGTGGCCACCGTGACATGCACGTTGGATAGCAAGGACCAAGTGCCTGGTAACTTTGTGCTCAACATGGAGCACCACGGAAACAAGGACTCGGTCAAGTACTTTCAGCTTGTCGAGTGTGGCCACGAAGAGCAGTGGGGCCAAATGGTCAACTGGCTGACCATTCGCAACGGCCGCGCGTACTGCCAGACGCGGGAAGGAAAAGCCAAGTTTGACGCGCAGCCGCTGCACTTTATCAACGCGGAGGCGTCTCAGTCGGATCCCAACTCGATTCTGAGCGTGATCAAGAAGGACAACAAGTACATTGCGATCACGGGTGCGCTCGTGGGACTGCTGGGCGTGGTGCTGATTGCGCTCGTGTTGGCGGTGGTGACTGGCCGACGCACCAGTCGCACGGCGAGAAAGTGGGCGAAGCAGCGTACCCCCGCGAAGCCCAAAGTCAGGTCTGTCCTCGAAGACGATGCCACGACCATTGAGAACGAAGTCCACTCGACGCGAGGGCTCATCGACGGCGTGTCGACCAAGAGCTCCATGGACGAAATTAAGATCTAAGTAAATATGATGTCAAATACAGTAATTGTGACGAAAGTCTGCTTATGATCGATAGACTTTTGATGAATCACATGTCATAGTTTTACAGGCCTAACTAACGAGTAACGTAGTTAGTCGGGTGGGCTGACCACATTCAACTCGAGGTACATAATCCAGGAGTGTGGCAGAGTTGGCTTCGGATAGTTCGCTCGCTAGGGAATGGTTGACTGCCATTAAAAATCTCTAATATTGAATATGTTTGTGATGGCCATTTTCCATTCCATTCGTCATCGAGTACTTCAGTCAACCGAATCGTCTTGTAATACAGCACGGTATAATCGCTTGACACGAGGATATATGTATCCCACTGGTCCACCGCAGAAATCCTTCGGTTTGTTTGGATTCCCATCACCGACAAATAGAACTTGTGCGCCTCTTGAGCGCGACGAACACCGGGAGGTCGGGGATGTCGCCGCCCATCGAGTGCTCGCCCTCTATCACGACAGCACGCGGCGGTATTTGTGGCGGACAGACCGGAGGATGCGGTCGGCCGTCGCCACGTCGTTGTGCTGTTGTGGGGTCAAACCCAGCAGGATCAAATTTGTCTGCAAAGGCGACCAACGACTCGATATGAATGGTCTCTGCCCCACAAATCGCTCGCTTCAAATGCGTCAGGTTGAATGTGGCGGATTCCGCCGCCATGGTTTTCCGAGATGCTAGCGCGTAGCCAAACGTTCGGTTCGGAGTCTAACGTTACTGTGTAGCGTGCCATGGTAGACGCTCTTGGCTTTCGCCATCGTCGTTGCCAAATGGTACTTTTGGGTGGTCAAGATTACCCGCGCCGCCCCAGAATCCGCCACCATGCGGTTAAATCGAGGCAAGTCCGTCGCCAAGGTATCAGGGTACGGCGGACACGTGGGATGAATGGTCATGGCACTGGCGTACAAACACCCCCCAGAACCCCTTGGCGAAGTCCACACCGAGCGGGTAGGGTAGCATACACACAGGCTGTCCATGCCAATCATATACAGTTATCACGGAGAAGACTGGACTGCCAGTCCGTGAGATCTGCACTTTTCGCGGAATGGCAATCAGATTTACGAGGACGCGTTCGCGTTCTACATGAGGTTTGACAGGTCGACTTCCGGTTTTGGCAGATAAGTGGAACGCGAACGCCAACGGACACTTGCAAAATCTCTCTAATGAAAGAGTGAATTGAAACGTTATGACAACCAAAATGCGGACTTTTCATTTCACGAGTTCGAATTCCTAAATGTATGTTTTAGCATGTACTACAGTACTATTACGGTAAGTACTACGTACTACTTCAAGTACTACTACGTAGTACGTAGTAGTATATTCGAAGTACGAATATTGAACTTGTTAGTAATGCACATCCTGATCACAAGTACTATTACAGTAATAGTACTACTAGTACTACAGTATTAATAGTACAAACCGCGAAATTGCACAAAACGTGACAGTATTACTGTGAACGTTAAGCTAGCATCTCCAACATCTAACCTAGTCAAATCAAATCATCCTGGGTAAAGAGTGTAACTAACTTATCACTTTCATTGTCTTCCATAGTCCTAAGCCAGGAGGTCGCATTGCACGTGTCGGTGGGATTTCAAAAGACAATGAAAAAAAGTGTGTTAACTAGTACTTATAAGATCACCCCGCGCGTTAAATTTGCAATCCGATCGATGGAGGCACAGAGAAGCACCAAAAACGCAACGTCAGCGCCGGGAATGACGTCGAGGATGTACTCGCCAAACAGTCGAGGATCTGGCGTCACTCCGCGGATTCGAGCTACGACGACGACGTGTTGCCCGATATGCATGGAAACGACGGCATTTCTCGCCCTCCAGTCGCCTTGGACTGTGAAATCGACCCTACAAGCAAGGGGACATACGATGGGGGCACATTGAACTTGCATATAACGTTACAGGGTCAATACCAAGTAGTGTCGTCCAAGTGCACAGTGCACTCGACATCCGGCTCGTACATTGAAGGGAACGGAAAGTTGACGGTGATATCGACGAGCCACCCAGACGCACCATGCCTACCTCGATCGACCACGATTGTATGTGTGTTGATGTTCTCGCACACCTTTCGCTCCATGCGCATGAGAATGGACCGTTCGGTGTTCATGAGTGTCATGGAGCTTCCTTGCCACAGGAATGCCACTTTGCCGTCCACAGTGTGCACCACGCCATCGTGTTTGGTGCGCGACATGAAGGGCGGAATTTGGATCGACGAGGGCGAGTCATAGCAGAAATCGCGCAGCACGATCGGCATTGGGTCCATCGGCTCCACCAGGAACGCCACTTGTGACTTGGCGTTGCCCATGCTTGGGTGCTTTCTCAACTGAGACCAAATGGTGTGTTGAAATGTCTGCGGATCCGGATAACATGACAAAAGCATCACTTTACCGGATACGTTGACAATCACAGAAAGCAAATACAGCGCGGAGGTGGTATATCCCCTCTAAGTTCACAAACTCTTAACAGTGGAAATGTAAGTGAGAGCGCAGCACATTGTAGTGCGGAAGTGGCTATCACCTCTAAGAACAAACCCTTCTGTGGACTTTTGTGCTGACTCGCCAAATCTATCGATCGTCGATTCTTTGTACTGAATTTTGTAAAAGTTGTCCTGTGGTGATTGATATCACACTCATTGACGTCACACACTAATTCGACGTTTAATATGGTCTCGTCACGAAATATGCTGGATGTTTCCGAATCTAACTGAGCAAATCACGAAATATACTGGCAGTCCACGAAATATAATGAGTGAATTCGACATTCCCACGAAATTAACAGTGTAAATGACGGAGTCGCGAAGTACTCCGGAGTATAATGAAGCTCCACGAATGCTAACTGTAAATGGGATTCCACGAAATATACCAGATATTTTTCGAAATTAACCGCAAAAAAGTGTAGTAGAGGTGATAGCCACTTCCGCGCTACAATGTGGTTTCGTGGAGAGCGACATGGCGAATGACGTTAACGTTACTAGTACATAAGAATCGGCAGAAGGATTTAGCCAATCAGACTGCAGGAAACCTAATTATTTCGCATAAATGTTAACGCAATGGGTGTATATAATATATGCAGGAGTGACGACTGTAAGCTCCAGCCAAATTTTCGTCCATGTTTTTGGCTGTATGGGTGAGGTGAAGAGCGTTTTGATACAAATGGTTCACATCAAATCATACGACAATCAACTCTACTCAGTACCTAATACTGTATGCTTCAGATTTTGCATTCGGAATTCCTCGCGCATTCATTGTAGGTCCACCAAGAGGTGGCCCAATGAATTGCAGCGAGTGGCTTACTAAGCAACGTCTTCACATGGAGTGGATGTTTCCGAATCTAACTGAGCAAATCACGAAATATACTGGCAGTCCACGAAATATAATGAGTGAATAAATCGCGAAATATAATAAAGCTCCACGAATTTAAATGGGATTCCACGAAATATACCAGATATTTTTTGAAATTAACCGCAAAATGGTGTAGTAATCGATTGAAAATCATTGATAGGTTTACTGGTTACTATTAATAGTACGTACTCCTGGAGTACAATTTTTCATATTACAGTATACAGGTATTATCATGTTTGCTGGTACTGTATCCACCTAAACCTCTATAACCAGATAAGTTCAGGAGAAATCAGATATAGGTTATAGAAATTATACGAAAGCACAGTGAAAATTGAGCATCATTCCTGATCGATTTTGACCATAACTTGTACTACGTAGTACAGTATTAATAGTACCATACTCTACGGTAGATCAGGACTCTCTAAGCATTAAAATCAGATTTCTAATGAAACTTTCTCCTTGGTAGTATATGTTCAAGGCTCGACAAAGTGAAACCTAACGTTAGCGCTATCACAGTCATTTCCAATCAGAGGGTAAGTACTATTACAGTAACCCGCTAGGATGGACGAGATTTCCAATAGTACTACCGTAGTACATTAATATTAACCTGTAAACTCAAGGCTAACGTTATATTACGTTACAATCTACCTGGTAGCAAAATGAAAATAAGCTTATCATTCCCTGCATATACTAGTTCCGTGTATACTCACGTCCAAATACTACACGCTTGCCCTGCCCTTTCATGGTACCAGTGTGCCGTTTACTTGTAGTTTCCCTTCCGAGCGGAGGTCAAAGTCACTGAAAACGAGCAAGTCAAATCGTCCAAACGATTCGTAATTGAAAGGTGCAGTGTAATGTCTACGAAACATCTGCCAACACTCTCTCGGTTGCGTATTCCTGCAGCAAATTGCGTACCCGGTATTACAGTATGGATGTATGAGTAGTACTGATCTCCACCCTTAAACGAAACGGAGCAAATTATGCAACTCTTACAGGTATTTGCAGGCTGTCTGAACCAACCATTTATACATGCATTCAAGCGCTGGGCGTCTCCAAGTCAGAGCTGAGTATGCCAGTGCGTCTCCAGCAGTTTCTCACAGTGGAAATGATGTCATCCATTTCAATGCCAAACGATTCAAGTGTTCGAATTTTGAAAAAGTCATCACCTTCCGATATGGTTGGATAATATAAAGTTTCAAAAATTATCAAGTTTACCCCGTTTCGTTTAAGGGGGGAGATCAGTAACTTACTACCGTACCGTAGTACTGTTACAGTACTTCGTACTATACTAACTAGTATTAATACATACCATCGGGACACAACTTTTTTCACATCGCTCACATTTTTGTGAAAAGACGTATATATAACATACATTCTCGTTTTAAAACTGAGCAACCTTGAAGCTGCAAAAGCTTCGCAAATTACGCCCGCAAATTTATATTTCTTGTTTTTACCGTACGGATATTTCCATACAACTTCAAGTATGTTTTTAAACTCGTCGACGCTGAGCACAACATGACTCATCCGGTCGACCAATCACTGGTCGCCTTTTGGCCGTGGAATTCAAACACTTTCATTTTCCCCGAGAAGGCCCCAACAACGCAGCAGCCGCATCATGGAGATGCAATTCGCCGAAGCCGCCAGTGTCGTGGTGTTGTCTATCGCCGCGGCGGTCGTAGGAACGACTGTTGTCATGAGTTCTCGCAAAAAGCGGAAGCATAAGATCGAAGATGTCGACGAGGACGAAGAGAAGGTCCAGCGACCAGCAAAGCGGCAATTCAAGGGCTCGTTTGCCCGCGAAGACGCGCCAGAAGAGACGATTGTCGACCTGCTCAAGCGCCGAGCGATTGAAACTCCCGACAAAGTCGTGTACATCTTCTTGGACGACCAAGGACACGAAAGTGTCGTGATCACGTTCGAAGAATTGGACCGCGCCGCGCGCAAAGTAGCAGCGACGCTGCAGACCGACGGGGGTGTGCCCTTTCCTCAATCAAAAATCTAACGTTGCTGATCGAGATCATGTATGCAGGATTATCCAAGGGCGACCGCGTCATGCTGTGCTATCCACCCGGCTTGGATTTCGCCATGGGGTTCTGGGGTTGTTTGTATGCCGGTGCCATCGGCATCCCCACGTACCCTCCGTACCCCGGTACGTTGGCAAAGGATTTACCGAAATTCAACCGCATGGTGGCGGACTCTGGCGCGCGTGTCATCTTGACCAACCGAACGTATCACTTGGCGACGCAACTCGCCACGGCCAAGAGCTATTTCTCCAGTGACGCGCCTGCGTGGCCCAAGGACATTCAATGGTACTCGACTGACGCGATTTCGAGCTCCACTGCGTCTCGGTAACAAACGCTCTTGCATCGAAATATTGCGTCGACATTTAGGCGTAACCTGGATTGGTGCACATTAGATTCACGGACGTGAACGTTGCCGTGGACGACATTGCGTTCTTCCAGTACTCGTCCGGGTCGACGTCGGAGCCCAAGGCGGTGATGATCTCCCACGGCAACATCCATGCGCAACTTAAGACGTGGGCCTCCATCGAAGAGACCGACACGTTGATCTCGTGGCTGCCGTCGTACCACGACATGGGCCTTGTCGGGTTTATCCTTACACCGTGTGCGTTTGGTACGTTTGTTTCTCTCGTATATATATATATATAGTGCTGCATATGAACCCAAGTTTGGACTTGTGGGAGTAGTCATTTTGCCAAATAGTATTCGAATAATTCATTGGACTTTATTTAAATAGCTTGTACCAACTATATAAAGATGTGTCCATGTGTGGGATTGCCAAATCCCCAAGTTTGTTTGGATTGGCTAAAATTCGACGACATCACGCGATTTGATTGGCTTTGGCGGCTCTTGAATCCATTCTCGTAACACGTTCGATTCTGCTGAATGCTCCAGTTTCGAATCGATTTGACACGATGCATTCCATATACCATTTTCCGCGTTTATTGGATGTGCTAACTGTGCAGCACACAGGAGCGCGGTGTGTGTCGATGTCGCCGTTGGCGTTCATCAAAGACCCAGCCATGTGGATCCGCATTGCGTCCAAGTACAAGGGCACACATTTGTGCGCACCCAACTTTGGGTACGCGCTCGCGGCTCGCAAAACCACCAAGGCGCAAGTGTCCAAGTTGGACTTGAGTCATTTGAAGCAAGCGATTTGCGCCGCCGAGCCCATCCGCGTCGAGTCGCTCGAGTCGTTCACGGAAACGTTTGCCCCCGCTGGGTTTGACCCTAAAACGTTCAACTGCGGCTACGGCCTGGCCGAAGTCACGTTGGTACGCGGCTGTGTATTCGTATTTGGACCTTTATTTCCGTACTTATCTATTTCCATCATCAGGTCGTCACTGGACAAGACCCCCAGGCCCGAAAAGAACCATCGGTGCTGAACGTGAAAAAAAGCGTGCTGGAGAAACACAAGCGCGTGGTGCTGGCCCCCAAGGGGCATCCGTCGGCGGACGCGACGACGTTGGTCGGCTGTGGTCATGCCATGCCGACGTTTAAAGTGATCGTGGTGGACCCAGATACATTGAAACCCGTGGGTGAAAACCAAGTTGGTGAAGTGTGGATCCAAGGCCCGAGTGTCGCGACGGGGTACTGGAAGCGCGAAGAATACACGGACGAAATGTTCCACGCCAAAGTCAACGCCCCAAAGTACGTTCTCCCGCCCCCACCAGTCATGCAATAATGGGATTTCACTCACGGTTTCGTTGGTTGGTTGGATGGTCGTAGGGCGACCCATCAAAGCTACAAAGGCAACTGGTTGCGGTCGGGGGACATGGGGTTCCTGCGCCACAACGAAGTGTTTATCACGGGACGACTCAAGGACTTGATTATCATTCGAGGCCGCAATGTTTGCCCCCAAGATGTCGAGCATTCGGTAAGAAGGCGTGTCAAGGCGGTACTAACGGATGACCATGTGTGTCTGTGCATTAGGTCGAATTGGCGCACGACCAAGTCCGCCCTGGATGTGTGGCGGCGTTTTCGATTGAAACGGCGCAGCAAGAAGAAGCGCTGGTCGTGGTCGTGGAACTTCGTGCAGAACTCAAAAAAGACACGGAGCAACTTGCGGCCATCTCACGCAAAATCGCCACGGCCGTCTTGTCGGAGCACCAGTTGCGGTGTGCGGCGATTGTGCTGCTCAAGCCCCGCAGCATTCCCAAGACCACCAGCGGAAAGATCCAGCGCAGTGCTGCCAAGAAGCAGTACGAGTCGGGGTCGCTGGCTGCACAGTACATCCATCGCGCCGAGTCCAAGGCGGCGGCGGTGCAGGCCGTGCAGATCGAAGAAGCCCCCGAGGAGGTTGACGTCAAGACCCCTCAGGTCATCAAGACCACCGACATCCGAACAGAAGAAGAAATCCAAGCGTGGTTGGTGGCCCGACTAGCCCAAGAGCAAGCGGGTGGTGGTGGCGAGGCGTCGAACAAAGAGACATCCGAGACGGACGACGATGCAGTCGACTTGAACACCCCGTGGGCGTGTTTTGGAATGGATTCCGTGGCGATTGTCAGTTTGAGCGCCGAATTAGGCGAGTTCCTCGGCGTGGTGGTCCCCCCGGCAGTATTTTTCCAGTTCGACACCCCCGCCAAGCTGATTGCTGCCCCTGGTTTGGCCACGGGCGAGTTGACCGACGCTCAAACTGGTGACCACACCAACCAACCTGTGTCGTACGTTGGAGAAGACGGCGAATTGCTTGCCGAGTGCTACGACGTGATGGCGTTCCCGGAGATTGTGCACCTGCAAGGCCAAATGCATGAACTCACGTCCGCGGGCCTCAAGGTACTGACAATTAGATTACGAAGCTAACGACGTGGGTGGGTGATGGTAGGTGCCGTATTTGGATGTCCTCACCACGGAAAAACGCAAACAATTGAACTACAACACGTACAACTACTTGGGCTACGCGTCGCACCCTACCGTCGCTGCTGCGTCCAAAGCGGCCATCGACGTACGTTTGTTTTATGTCTGAACGGTCTTTTTTGTATTGATGTCGGCATGTGGGTAGACGTATGGCACGGGCATGAGTTCGTCTCCGATTGTGGGCCAGACGATCGTCAACACGGAGGTGGAAGCGGCGCTGTGCAGCCACTTCACCGCCGAAGCCGCCGTGCTCTTCGTGGGCGGGTGGGTAGCCAACGTCACGACCATCGACTCGCTCGTGGGCAAGGGCGACTTGATCCTCTGCGACGTGCTCAACCACAACAGCTGCGTGACCGGCCAACGGCTCAGCGGGGCGGCCATCTTGTCGTTCCCGCACAACGATGTGGCGACGGCCGACCGCATCCTCCGGTCCGTCCGCCACAAGTACCGCCGTGTGCTCATCGTGATCGAGGGCGTATACTCGATGGACGGCGACATCCCCGACCTGCCGGCGTTCGTCGCGCTCAAGAAGGCGCACAAATGCTTTTTATTCCTGGACGAAGCGCACTCGTTCGGGACGATGGGACCGACCGGCAAGGGCATGTGCGAGCACTTCAACGTCCCCGCCTCCGACGTGGACATCCGCATGGGCACCATGAGCAAGGCCATGGGGTCCGTCGGAGGCTTCATCCTGGCGTCGCACGCGCTCGTGCAGTACCTCAAGTACTGCGCGGGGGGGTTCGTGTACTCGGTGGGGCTCGGTCCGGCCAACGCCGGCGCCACCCTCCAGTCGCTGCAACTCATGGCGGCCGAGCCCGAGAGGTCGACGCACTTGCAGCACCTGAGCGCGTTCTTCTTTGACGCGTGCGTCAGCGCAAAGTTGGACGTCGGCACCAACGTCCGCGGTACGTGCGTCGTGGTCGTATATGTGGGTTCGACCGTCGAGACGGTGCTCGCGTCCATGATGCTCAGCGACAACCACGGTATCAACGTCAAGCCCATCGTACATCCTGCCGTGGAAGAAGGCAAGTGCCGCCTCCGTTTCTTCATCTCGTACTTGAAGACCGAAGCCGAACTCCAGCGGACCGTCGACGCGTTGGCAAGTACATTGGTCGAGGTGAAGGCAGCCGCTCGCGAGGCTACTGCAGCGGCGGATGCAGCCGCGGTCGTGGAAGTCATTCCCGACGAAGATGAACCTCAACAAGCAAAGGACGACGTGATCGCAGCTGCTGTTGTCGAAGCCGTGTCGACCTTGTAAATATATTCAATTGTGAAGAAGTGATTCTGAAAAGTAGAGCCGTCGAATCGTAGTATACTACTGTTTATTGCCGAAAGCGTTAGATGTACTATTAATACTATTAATAGTACAGTGGACTGATTTGTGGAGTGACATTAACGTTAATTAGAGAGGTTAAATTGATGATACCCATGTTTAACAGCATGCATTCCGAGTGATTACAAACACTCTGATATCCGTGTGACGTACTGTATCCGGATGAGAACGCCGCCATTTGGGCTTTCGATACAGCATGTACAACAACAGCATCGCGACGTTGGAGCGCATCATGGGGACGCTTCGGTCCTATACGGTAAGGAGACGGATGCATGTGGTGCAAGTGTCCTGACGTAGATACCCACCGCAGGATGCCACGAGAGTGCGGTATGACGTCGAGACGTTGTTGCGTCAGATCCCGTCGATCAGTCCCCAGAACGGCGTGTACACGCACAACAATGGATCCACGAGGTAGGTTCTACTCCAAACACGTATGTCTAGCATTTGAACTCACGTTACTATTAGCACCATGCTGAGTCTCACTGGGACCATCCCCATCTACTACGGAGGGAACCAGTACAACATTCCCGTGGAGATCTGGATGCCGGAAGCGTACCCATTTGCAGCACCGACGTGCTTTGTGCGTCCCACGACGGACATGATGGTAAGAAGCTTCTTCTAAATCCTTCCAAACACAATCCACTCATCGAATTCAAAGATTCGTCCGGGGCACCCCCACGTGGACCAGAATGGGTTGATTGTCGTGCCATACTCGACGAATTGGGATAGCGACCACAGTTTAGTGGAGCTCGTGGGGTACTTACTACTTAGTTATTCCAACAAAAAGTACTCAACTCAATCACATTGCATTAGGTACCACTGCTCCATCTTTGGGGCGCAGCCACCAGTGTTTCGACGCCCAGCGAATCAACCAGCCCCTACTCCAAGCTATCCACCCCCACCACAGCAAACCCAACCACAGCCAAGCTACGGCTATCAGCAAGGAGGGTACGCCAGTCCGTCGCAGCAACCACCGCAGCCATCCTATCAGCAGCCATCACAGCCGTACCCTTCATACGCTCAACCCCGTGCTGCAAACCAAGTAAGTTATATATCCATCTTGTTTTACGATATGAAGAACTCATTTAACTACCATGTTGTTAAGTACTCGCCGTACCAGCCCGCGGTGATTGACCCCGTGGTAAAACTCAAAGCGGAAGCAACCGAGAAGATCCAGCACGAGCTCCAAAAGATCTACAAACGCATTCGAGGTACGCCTATCTACGATTTATATGTGTCTAAATTAAATGAATCATCTACTAGACGAAATCGATGACCAATTCGACACCCAGCGGGAGCTGTCGCACGGCCAGCAGCGCCTCGCACATGGCCAGCAGTCGCTGGAGAAGCTCCAGGCCGACCTCACGACTGCCGTGGCCCAGGTGGAAGCGGCAGACGCGCAAGTCACGGATTGGCTCGCGGCCAATGAAAACCAAGTACGACCCTACTATTACACCAATCAATGACGATTCTACTTCGTATGCGTACGTAGGACGAAGTGGGCGTGGACGACGTGTTGGTCGCTGCGGATCCATTGTCACAGCAGTACGAAACACACATTTTCTAGACTGTTGGCTGTTTTCTGCGACAACGTGGAGGATATGTTTTTTGATTGGCTGTTGGAATAGGCAGTTGGATGCGTATGCCGAGCGCAATGCGATCGAAGACGCGCTGTATTTCATGGATCGGGCGCTGGCCAACGGCGAGATTGAGCTGCCGACGTTCTTGAAGGTACGATGGTGATGGTATTATTAGTGTTCTTTTGTCTAGCGAATGTTGTTTTTGCCTTGAGTTTACAATATATATATATACGGCTACTCTTTTGGGTAATAGGGTTTAATAAACATAAAACGACTCCGACTATCTTAGTGGTTTTCTAATGTGCGGAGAGTATGAGTATATATATATATTCGTATATGACATGGAAATGGTTGTACTAATATAAATATAAATATATATATATATATATATATATATATTATATGTGATACAGGAGGTGCGCAAATTGGCCCGCAAGCAGTTTATGAGTGTGGCGTTGATGCAAAAAGTGCACGATGTTCAACACACGACCACAGCGTCGCGTCGTGGCTAACACCAAACCCCACTCAAGTCTGGGTTATTCCACGTGAATCAGAAATATATATATATAGTATACATATATATATATATACCCCAACAATCATGATTTTCACAGAGGATGGATGGATGTACCAGCAGTACGAGTACAGCAGCAACGCCGGTGGCAATCGCTTGGCGGCAAATGCGGCGTCCGAGATGACAAAGGATGGCTGGATGTTGGCTATGACGTTTAGCGCCGCCATTTTGTCGAGCAAATCCGGCCCGAGGATCTCAGTCACTTTATATATATATTGGTGTCACTTTATATATATATTGGTGGTTGCAATCTGTGACGACTTGTTTTGATTGTTCTATTTTGGGTTTTATTATTATTATCTTACGGGGGCTGCGTTTTGGGTCGTCGAGCGAGGTACGAGATGGCGGCAATGAGCGCGTCCGCGACAGGCCGCGGCAGTTTTCGTTTCAACAGATTCCGCCATACGACTACTACATCATTCATATATGATTATATATTGCCAAGTCGATTCAAAATTGGAGTGTTTTCAACATCGAATGAGCAGAATCACCAAATACATCGGCAGACAATCGAAAACCGACCAATCAAAACCCACAACACTACACTCAAACCCGACCAATTCAACATCGAATTAGTGTGTGACTTCAATTAGTGTGACATCCGACGATTCTTACAGTACAAACAATCGATAGTGTAAGGCACAAAAGTTCAAATTTGGGGGCAACGACAGACAAGATGAGACCACAGAGATGTGTGTGATTACACAGAACGACGGCCAAGGCTCCTCCGATGTATGTGACACGGTAGTAGCCAGTCCAAGTCACTAGGCGTTGCCACACGACCCATCCTACGTCACACATGGGATGAAACCCAGTCCGACGTTCAGTTGGTGGTGTGCTGCCTACCAGCTCGTTCGGCTCGGAAAGCTACAGACGAGTTCACGCGATGTAGTAACGCTGTATTGGCGGCGACACATGCGGTCACGTCAGCCTACAGCAGTCAGTACCCATGCACGGGTTGAGTGTGATAATGGAGTTGTGATTGAAAATGACCTGGTGTAGCTGGAGTTGCTTGTCGAGACGCGTGACTGAGTCGCGCATTTCGGTGCGGAGGACGTCCACTTGTCGCAGTTCCCTCGTAAATGTACTTTTCTAGGCAACAAATACACATGAGGAAGGAATGTGCTGATAGTATATCGATAGCAGTATCAGCTGGGGTGGATGCAACTGAAATCGTCGATTCGTGAGAGGCCATGGCAGCTTTAGCGAGTAGGCGTACCATGTCGTACGAAAGGGTGCGCAACGAGCCCGTCAATTCGTCGTGCCGTTGGCTGTCGAAGTGCAGCTTGGCTTTGAGGTCGGCTACTTCCTGTACCAACGACGGCAGTCGTTCGATGAGGGTCTGTGGTACGGATGGCGAGGTCGATCCCCCGCCTTGTGGTAACATTAGGGTGCCGCTGGGTTGTCGGAACGACGGGCTTCGCCTCCAGTTGTCGACCTGTCAAAGGATGGTTCGTATGCCGTCACCACAAGTCGTATTTCGTTGTGCGAGGTGTGTACCAGATCGTCCATGGTCTTAATGTACGTTTGCATTGCAGCTTCCTTGGACAAATGCCCCAGTGCTTTCCACTTGGCCCTATACGTTGGTTAGCAACACACGATTGCTGTAGAGAGGGAGGTTGGAACCAGGAATTGAGGTCCGCCGACGACGATCCATCGAGCGGCGGTGCAATTGCGCTGCATGATCCCAATGTGGCTTGCTGGTAGAGCGCGTTAAAGTCCAGCCGCACGGATGACGTCGGGTTCCGCAGGATGCGATGCGGACCTACATACACACTCAGTCGCATGCCCACTAGACGTGCAAGTTGTTGCTCATGCAGGTACCATTGTACGTCTGCAGGAACAGCACCGCCGCCGCAAAGTCACTCTCCACGGATGCTCCTTGCATACTCCGTGGTCGGTTTTTTCAGAGGAAATGGTGTCGAGTATTATTAATACTAACGTTATACTACTCTAAATCGAAGTATTTTTTTATATAGGGATGCCAGTTGAATGTCAAACATAGCTGAACTGTTGAAATTAGTGTACTTTATAACTAAATATACTGTATATTTGAATGCATACATATAACAAGTGTAGGCTTGTGGGAACGAACGACACACGCCTTTCTGCGAATGTGCCAAGGATGTGACCATCATATACATACTATGAACGCACATTGCGATCGCACTCTAGATATTGTACTAGTTTTATCGTAGGCGTATACCTGCTGCAACTGACACAAGAAGGCGATAGGAACTTCTATATCTGTGCTCACTGGACAGGAACACTTGCCATAGTTTGGGGGATTACACTAACTAACGCAAACTGTAAATCAGTTAATGCGCCACATACACATTACTGAATTATACAAGTAACTGTACTGTACATGCGACAGTCGAACGCCATGTACAGTACAGTACCTGCAGCGGCACTGGTATTATTCACATACTTACCGGTACACTGTACGTCCACCGGCGCAGGTATGAAAACCAATTCAGTCCACGCCACCGCAAGGTTGCAATGGTGCATGTGCTTGGGCTCGTGGTTGGTGCTGGTTTCTTGGGCAAGTGTATGTGTTATTCGTGGTAACTGTACCAGAAAAAGAAATCGCGTTCGAAATTTGGAAATGTCCGGATAAACCTCTTACATCGAATATATATCCATGTCCATCAAGTTGAAGTGGTCACCCCCCAACGTGGCCACATACAAGAATCAAGTGACTTGACTACTCGAATAGAACCATGCATATAGGTATGCGCCCAGTGTCTTGCAGCCCTTGGCTTGTCCTGCCTTGTGGGCGTCATCTCATGTCTGGACAATGGCTGACGTGGGCTTTCCGTGCAAAAATAGCCGACTCTTTCGAGGAAAGGCAATCATGGAACTTTGACTGGGAATCAAAATATAATCCAATTTCCATGCAACGGATACAAATCTCCAATGTAATTTATTAAAGTACAGAGGTGGTTGAACTTGTGTCGTTTCGTATTCTAGATTCGGTTGATGTGTGGATTCATTTAGGAATTTTCTCCGCTCCTCCGATGGGAAATGTTGCATCGTCCACGATAGGCGCACCGTCGTCGCCGCTAGCTCCACCCGTCGGGCATCCCAAGGTCCATGGAATGGTGTCGTCATCGTCACCCACGGCATCGTCGTCGGCGTCGTCCCCGCGGAAACAACACGTGAACCAAGAACAAGAGCCGCCTGTGTTTCGCATCCTGTCAAGCGACCAACGTGCGACCACGTTCGACGAACGCATCCACTTGCGTCGCAAATCCATTCCGCTCAAACCCCATCCGATCCCGCAACTCGTGCGCGCGTCCACGTTCGATCCACGTATGCGACACAATGCCCAAGCCGTGGGCGACGTCATGTACAAACGGTATTTCAACGTCGAAGAAACCCGCGACGAGTCGTTGATGCTGAGCGCCATTCCCGAACTGGATGCGCCCATGGAAGCAATTGTCGTGGTCGATCCGTTCTCGACTGGCATGGTCCTCGCGAGCGAGGTCATGTCGCGCGACTACCTGTGCATCGTCCTCTACAGCGACACCCTCGAGGTCATGCAGCCCCTCATCAAGTACATTCCCAAGCACATGCACACGCAATTTGCGGCTGAAATTTACCACAATGGTATGACCAACCATGTCGTATTTTCGTTGGTGGTTTCTGACGTATGCATGGACAGGTGCCGATCATTCCATGGCGGCGTTGGACGTGACCATTGCGCACTTGAAACAAGTCGGTGTGCCCATCGTGGGAATCCTACCTGGTGCCGAAACCGGCGTGATGTTGGCCGATCGCGTGTCGGACCGCATGGGCTTGACCACGAACGGCGCCGACGGCACGGAAGCCCGCCGCAACAAGTATGCGATGGGTGAGAAGATTCGACGTGCGGGGTTGCGTGCAGTCAAGCAATGCAACGCCACGACATGGAAGCAAATTGTTGACTTCATCGAAAACGATTTGCGACCGAGTCCGTTTCAGGTAGGCTATCCATTTTCAGCGCATCTCGTCCATGTTGACGGTGCCCACCTCATCGTGTCGTTGCCTTCTTCTCCATCAGGTGATTGTCAAGCCCGTGGAAAGCGCCGGCAGCGACGATGTGTTCTTGTGTCAAAGTCTCGACCAAGTGAAAAAAGCATTTGGCACCATCCAGGGCAAAATAAACCACTTGGGGTTGGAAAACCGAGCGACGCTGGTGCAGGAGTACCTGACGGGCACCGAGTACGTTGTGGATACGGTCAGCCGCGACGGACAGCACAAGGTGGTTGCCGTGTGGGAGTATGACAAGCGCGCGGTTAACGGCGCGCCGTTCGTGTACTATGGCGTGATCCTGCGAGAAGCGTCGGGACCTACGATCCTCGCCATCATTGCGTACATTTACAAAGTACTCGGTAAGGCACCGCCCCCCCATTTCCCCGTCTGCATCTCGACTTTGGTTGCTTTAGTTGTAGTTGTGGCTATCGACTAGTATAGGAAAATTTCTCTAGCAACTCTTGACGAAACTCTAGGAAAGCAAGCTCTCACGACATGATGTATATATATCTCACACTGTAGCTTTTAGATGCGCTGCACATTCGCCATGGCCCAGGGCATGCCGAAGTGAAATTTGTACGGGGGGAGCCGTGTTTGGTGGAGATTGGCTCGCGGTGCCACGGAGGCGAAGGGACGTACATTCCGATTGTGACGCCATGCATTGGGTACAACCAGGTAGGCGCGACGCTGGACGCGTACTTTGACCCGGCCGCATTTGATCGGCTGCCCCCGATGCCGTCCAAGCTCCACGCGCACGGGTGCGAAGCCATGCTCGTGAGCTACGCCACGGGCACCGTGAGTTCATTTCCAGGGTTTCCAGAGATTGAAGCCATGCCGAGTTATGTGTCGCGGAGCTTCCATACACACGTCGGCGACGTCATGCCCGTGACCATCGACATGTTTACGACCCCCGGCAGCGTCCTGCTCGTCCATCAAGACAAGACCGTGCTGGATCAAGACTATGCGCGGCTGCGAGAGCTCGAACACACGGGGCTGTGGGAGCTACGTCCGTTGCCAACAGCTTCGACCAAGCCCATGCAGGTAGTACATGTATGATACACCCAATGGCCACGAAACAAATGATGCCAAATGGCCAATACGAACACAATCTTAACCATGGAGTGTGTGTGTGTAGGTGGTGGTGGTCGTGGATCCGTTCTCGACGGGCGCGGTGGTAGCGCAACGAGTGACGTCGCGGGGGTTTACGTGCATTTGCCTCTACAGCAACTTGCTCGAGAATATGGAGAGTGTGGCGAGTTTGGTTCCCGATGGCATCACGCTCGAGTTTGCCGCGACGGTCGAACACGTTGGCGAGAATGTGCAGGACACGGTGGACTTGTTGTACGCGGCCGCGACGGAGGTGGCCAAGGGCGGACGGGTCGACATCGTCGCCGTCATCCCTGGCGCAGAAACGGGCGTGTTGTTGGCGGACGCGATCACGGAGGTGCTTCAAACGGCGGGTAACGACGTGGCGCACACGGATGCGCGGCGTGACAAGTACTTGATGGGGGAAGCGCTGCGAGACGCGGGCATCCGGGCCGTCAAGCAAGCAAAGTGCACCGAGTGGAGTCATGTGGAAGCGTTCATGGCGACACTCCCGACAGACAAACCGCTGGAAGTGGTGCTCAAGCCCGTGAATAGCGCCGGCACGGAGGACGTGACGCTGTGTCTGTCGATGGAGCAAGCGCACGCGACGTTTTCGACCATCTTGGGCAAGGTGAATGGCCTTGGCTTGACGAATACGTGTGTGCTCGTGCAAGAGTTTCTCGATGGCGACGAGTATGTGATTGACACAGTGTCGATGGAGGGCCGTCATAAAGTCACGGCCATCTGGAAGTATGACAAGCGCCGCGTGAATGACGCTGCGTTTGTGTACTTTGGCCTGTCGATTGTTCCCGCCAATGACGACGTGGTGAATGCACTGATCGATTACCAGTTTACTGTGCTCGATGCGCTGGGGTTTCGCAATGGCCCTGGCCACGGCGAAGTCAAGTTCTGCCGCGGCTCCCCTGTGTTGATTGAAGTGGGCGCGCGATGCCATGGCGGCGAAGGCGCGTGGGTACCCATTGCCGACACTTGCGTCGGGTACAATCAAGTGGATGTAGCCGTGGATGTGTATGTCGGACGTGGCCATGTGTTTGATGCGTTGCCCGAGCGCGTACGTGCTAGCTTGGTGGTTTGACGAGTATAAGCATGGGGGTTTGACTGGGTATGTATGTCTTGTGTGTGTAGCCGCGGACGCTGCCCCAATATGGGTGCGAAGTGATGCTCGTGTCGTACCAAGATGGCGTCCTGCGCGGCCTCCCTGGCCTCGCCGAAATTAACAAGATGCGATCGTTCTTACGCCAGGACATGCTGGTCAAGGTTGGCGACCGCATCCGCCGCACGATTGACATGTTTACCACCCCCGGAAGCATCTTGCTCATCCACACGGACCCCGCGATCCTGGACGCTGACCGCCGCCGCATCCGCGAGTTGGAACACGGCGGACTGTATGCGATGGAGACGCGTAGTTAATCGTGTCTGTCCACAAGGCAGCATCCAGCACGGTTGGCAGGTCTCGACAGTTTTGATGGCAGTTGATTGGGGACATAGGCTATAGAATATAAAATATATATATTGCGAATGCATGGTGAACTACAGTGTACTGTACAGTACTCAGTGTACAAGGCAGCATCCAGAATACAGTAGTGGCTGTCTCTACAGTTTTGATGGCAGTTGGTTGGGGACATAAGAGTACTACGTACTTGTAGTATACTGGTATTATGTACTAGTACTACTATGAGATTGTCATTCTCCATGTCGCTCCAGTAAAGAATAAATAAGACTATTAAAATAGTCTTATTTATTCTTTACTGGAGCGACATGGAGAATGAATCGGCACAACCAATTAGACAGACCTCTTGACGATGATCAAGCCTCCAGTACAAATCGGCAGAGTGGATTTAGCCAATCCGAATGCAGGAAACCATGAACAACGTCAAATTAGTGTGTGCCTTAAATTAGTGTGCTACCCATCACCACAGGACACCTTTTTACGTACAAAAATTCATATCAGTACATGTAGGTGGCATCCGACATCAAACCGACAAATTTGGAGCCGATGATTGGATAACCGACAACTTTTTGAATTTTGATTGGTCAGATATTTTATAGGCAATCTGATTAGGCGATGTATCACTCACATATAACATATACAGCTTGCTATTG